AGTAAGATTTGAGCAGCTCCAGATGTTGAAGCATGCCTGGAAGCCAGAGGTCATTGACTTCGCTTTATGGAACCTTGGTCAGGAGGAGCAGGTAGTATACTCCCTAGATGAGTTCGAAGATTTATGCCGCTTGGATGAGGAAATGAGGAGCGAGGATGTGTTATATTAAATCGACTACTACTATGTAATGGTTGCTCTTCAATGTAGACACCAGCCAGCAGCACATAGATTCCAATTTTATGGTCTTAGATATCATTACAGAGGGTAAAACCGGTTTTGACCAGTCAATAGCCAGTCGATAACCGGTCAGTGCATAACCAGTCATGACCGGTTTTTGACTGCTGTAATAACTGGTTTTAACCGGTCAAAGTAGGTCCAGTCATCAGTCACCAATTTCTCAGGATGATATGACCGGTTACAGTTATTGGTTATAGTGAAACAATAATAAATAACCGGACCTGACCTGACCTTAAAACACTATCTAACTTGCACGTTGACGACACCGGACATGGCCGAGGTGCTTGGCCCGTGTAGCTTTTTGGAGACTGGGGTAGACATCGGGTCGAGTGATGGTGAGCAGGGGGTCCGCTCCAGTTGAGCACCGACAGATCTCCTGCCATCATGATCGCTTCAACCAGGCGGCAGAATGCTCTTTCGGCTCCTTCCCCGTATGCAGTGGATATTGAAACGTCGAAGATGCCCATCAGTGAGTATGCCGTGTCTTCGCCCCGTGTGACGTCTCGATTCGCCGCCCACACCATTCGCTGGTCTACACATGTGGGAGATGGAGAGAAACCGAGAAAGCTTTCTACGCTCATTCCAACGGCTTCGCAGATGTAATAGAGGGAGTAGGGGTAATGAGAGAGAGGCCCTGTCGCGGCTTCGTATGGGTATGCCAATTTGTCGATAGCAGGGGCAAGCGTCTGCCATGCCGCGCCTTGGAGCTGGATTACGTTCGGCGCTAGTAGTTCTTGTAATGTCCAGCCTCGGCGGAACCATTCGTCACCACCCACGTGTTCGAGAGAAGTCGTCTGGGCTAGATGAATGATGCAAGTGGTGGAGTTCTGATACCATCGGAACATGGAGCGTATGGACTCGTCCAACTCGGCGCTACTAGTCTTATCGATGCAACACGTATCAATCCAAGCAAAACGGATGCCTTGTTCGGCAGCCTGTTTACAAAACATGGATAACTTCCACCAGCCATGAGATTCGGTGCGTCTGTGAGACTGCTCCATATCTTGCAAGGATAGCTCGTCGTCCGACCATCGATGAGATAACACAGCATATTGGACTACATTCTTGACTGCGGTTTGGATAACAACGGTGGATCTCGAGCTGAGAGTGTTGGCGAGAGAATCGATGGACGGCTGGAAGTAGTCTTTGACCGCTTTCCTTCCGACGAGCTTCAGATATCCCGTGGCGTCACAATGAACGAAGCGTATCGGGATGTCGTTGTTGACGTATCTGTGAAACTCCCTATTAATATCGATTGAAGACATGGATGCGAAGCTGCTGGTCCCTATGGTGGAAAGGGCGGATGTGAGGATTAGTTCTGTGAAAGAGGAATCCTTATTCACCTATGAGTAAACAGGAGAAGGCAAGTACCTGCGTGCGAAGACTCTATACCGTAGCCACGACGAAGCTTGGACGGAGGCGACAAGGGCGGCACGAAGAATGGTTTAGGGCCGGCTCGGGCCCCATAGCGAAGTGCTCACACGGAGGTCTGTAGTCGCAAACACCTAAGTTAGTACTTACAAGCCACGCCCTCGCGTAAACGCTCCGGCTCACACGGTTTACAGTCTTAGGCCACACGGCGTTCGTAGAGTACATGTCATATTTACAGTTTGATAACACAGGTCTGAGGCCAAGATTTTTCGACAACTAAGACACACCGTCGCGTAAACGCTCCAGCTCCAATGGCATATAATCTTAGGTCACACGACGAAGGTAGGGATTCGTTTTGCACGGAATATCACAAAAGAACTGAATATAATACCGGAGGAAGAGAGAGGGTTAGATACTCCCTATGTTGAACGATACGGGGTAAAAGGGACGTAGCATTATAACTCACCCATTGCTTAAAGGCCCTTGCATTCCTATCTCCAATGCTGATTCTAGTATAACCGTCGCAATACACCACTTTACACTCATCTTCGGGCACACACTAGTTTGTGTAGGACTTTTCACATCTTGGCTGAGGACTGAAGGGGTGCATTATGTCACTGCAAACGCTCCATTGAAGACGCTTTTGTCAATAAATCCATCACGCTTCATCTTGCTCAGAATGTCCTAGCAGGTGACCGGTCGATAACCTCTCAGGCAGGCAGGCAAACAATAATGAAGAGGCATAAACATATCGTTACAGCACATACACACGTCCTTACGCTTTCGCATCCCATCTTTACTCCCCACAAAGGAGGACGAGAGTTGAAGGCTATTTCACGATATAACACATGGACAATAATACTGTACATTTTACAACGACAAATTACATCAAGTTTAATGATCTGAGAGAGAAAGTTAAATGAGATTGCACGAAAGATAGCGTAGTCATACCTGGCCGCGAGAACTTGAAGCGCTCTCGTAATAGCCGGCTCAAGTTCGACATGAGTTTATACATATACATGGACGACATGGTACCGTGACCGGTTACTGCTACATTCATCGCTACAATAAGTTGACTCGCCTACACATGGTCGAGTAAGTACAGTCAGAAAGTTGCAATAAATCACATACCTAGCGGCACAAAGAGTCCGGTGCATGGCAACGTCAACGGCAATGGGATGTTGGCTAATAGTAGCATCGTTGAGGGAGACTGTTGGGTTTGAGATCCGGCAGCAGTGGCTGCATGTAAGCTCCGAGAAATATATGAAGGCTCCTGCCGGAGCTTCGATAGCAAACCAAGCCCTATGCTGCGGGCACCGTATTAATTATTAGGGAGAAGGCTCCTAGAAGCGTATACAATTATGTTTAGTATATAAGTAGTCGAGAATCGACTAGAAGCGCTATTGGCGGCTTCCCCCCATCTGAGCGTGATTCCCAAGTGAGACGTTTCGTCCAGCGAAGTGCCGGGTTCCAAGTGTAGCGTTTGCGGCGCACATTCCAGAGATGAAGCGGAAGCGCTCTCCAAACTCTTCCGTGCACACGATGGCACCAGTGGTATACGACTGTGCCCGATGGGTGACAAAGACACCATAAACGTGGGAAGACGCCAGCGATTCGGTCGAAAATTCAAGCTCAAGACATTGGGCGGCAAAGTGTTGGCAGCGGCAGGAGCCTGCAAAGAAAACTTTTCACGCATACATAACACAAAGCAAGTATAATATCAGAAGATGAGAGAAGGCAGGTAACACTGCGATAAATATTATAGGGTTAAAGAGACCCGTGTTGAAATATTTAACTCGCCCGTTAATTAAAGGCACTTGCATGCTCTTACTTTCATTGCTGAATCTAGTAGTATAATCTTCTCAATGCGCAGCTTTACCCTTCCACATCTTGACTCAGAACTGAAAGGGTGCTTTTTGTCGCCGCAAACACTCTATTGAAGACGCTGCTGCGGATAAATCCAACACTCTCCATCTTGCTCGTAATGCCCTAACGGATGAATTCCCGTGCAGCAGATAAGCAAACAACAATTAATAACATAAAATGTCGGTACATCACATACGCACATTTTCAACGTGGGTAAATACGCGCAAGCAGGAGGGACCCAAGAGCCGTCTTTACGCGCGAAATTGATGCCCGAGCAGAACGTGAGATGGTGACAATGGTCGCATGTGAGAGCACGACGAAGTTGTATACACTGGGTGGGCCAGAACCCACGCCTAGGCAGCCTCAACTGCGTCGCAGCACCAGCCTGGCTCAGTTTTTCGAGGTCCATGACAAAGATAATTTCGAGTGCGCGACATATCTTCTCAAGCAATGCAACCTTGGCATCACCTTCATAGACGGAGGATATACCAGCTTTTCCGGGGGTGTCATCATGGTCGCACAGCAACCTCGGTGGGAGATGGGATGGACGTGCATGCGTGGGACGCGAGCTATTGAGATGGGCGCGACGGCATCTCCGGGGTATTTGAAGGGCTCGGACGCTAGCAGGAGTGTGCAAGAGTCTCCCGAAAGGAACGACGGCGGGGACGGACTACGCGGACCTCGGAGAAAGCAAAATATGGGCAAAAAGGTAGTAGTGGAAAAATCAGATCAGGGAAACGACGGAAAGCTGACAGGTTGAGGTGACGGGTGGCCCTGTTTTATACCTAAAGACGGGTGTAAGGGGTTTAAACCGTTAAAAATAGTAGCTAGTAAGGAGTGGTGTCTGAGGGACATCGATGCCCAACTGAATGTACACTGGGTCTTAACCCATAGAATAGCGGATAAGTGCGGAAAAGGGACTTTAGCACAATTCAGTCGAGCATTTATAAACTAAAATAGGGTGAACATGGGCAAAAAATCGAAGGTTGCGTACAGGAGTATCGAGCAAAGATTGTATAGAAACTCTTGTCATATTCTGTGAAGGGATGCTAAAGGGGCGAACCTCATTCAAAATAAAAGGTTCAACGCGTCCGCAGCAGCTGCGCCACAACGGGACTCGCGTTGAAGTATAGAACCACTACCGACCTACATTCTGAAAACAGGGGAGACATTCAAAAGCGGGCAACGTGCGGGCCGACAGGAGCCGCAACCAAACACAACCACACCGTTCGTGTCATAAGTTTGAAGATACGATTAGATTAGATAACGTGGTACAATTGCTATGTTGAGGGGGGTATATAATTCTATCAGTATGTAAGGTCAAAATTTGTGGTGTAGCCACACCTCAAGTTATAATACTATAAGTATCAATTGTCGTAGCAGTAAAATACGGCCCGGCATATTAGAGTAACATTCATAATATCGTCGCTATCATAAATGAGGTATATATATAGACCAAGAAATCGCTGTAAAGGAGCCAGAAGGGAGATTGCGTAGCGAAGTTAGCATTGTAACGAGAAGGACAATACGCGCGATGACATAAATAGCAAGAAGAGTGCAGTTGCACGCTATTATGAAGGGTCGGGGTGGTCCCTCCCACTCGCTTCGGAGCCGCAAACTATACAGGCATAGCATAGTGCCAACGAAGAAAAGAACGGGACAAGCGACTATCACTATAGCGGAGATGTCCCATAGCATCTTCTCTACCGGTGTAGGAAAATGAAAACGCAAGACGGAGAGATGGATCAGTCCAAACAATGTAGCTGCTCCGGTGCTGAGTCCAGTAACGATGCAATACTGACGCGAAGCCTCCCGGATCCCGTCGAATGCCACTTCCCTTCTTATTCCCCCGATATCGTCGCCTCCGAATGTTCGTGCTCGCATACTATGAGTTGCCCGTGGTCCCACTTGAAGTATGGATGCTACGAAGCCAACCACGCGGTCAAGCACAGAATCGGTTGGCATTTCTTCGTTGTGAAGGCTGGTAGAAGGACCCAGATTTATCGTGAGTTACCACTGCTTAGAAGAAGAAGAAATCATTCTACGCACGGGTCTATGTGTAAATCAAATGGTGGTACACCCTCGCCTTTCCATTCAAGGCGCCGAGGGCAGCCGACGTTGAGAGGCTTCTTCCACCAAAGACCGTAAGTGAAGAAGACCAGAAGAGCGAAAGCTACGGTCGAGATCTCGAGGGGTGTCACGGTCAGATGATAGACGTATCGCGCGATGAGTTGTACGCCGAACCAAGAGACTTGGAGTACGACGAGTCCTTTAGACAGGACATCGCCTTTGCTAGCATCTTCGATCTCGGCTTCTGTGAGCCGGATAGGAGCTATATGTCCTTCTTGTATGGCCAGGATAAGCCGTGCTGGTGTTATGGTGCGCCATGGTTTTCCGTCGTGATAGACCATAAAGCCCCCCATGTACGCGAAGAAGCTATGTGTCATACCCCAAGTCTCGTCTATGAGTGACGATTAGCAAGTAATATACCTGGTGAAAAATGTACTACCTCGGTCAGCGACCCAAAGCCTTGACCACGTTCTCTTGACCCAAGCCTTATTCTCGCTTTTTTCTGGGGCTTGGAACCTTGTCAGGGATAAGCTCATGCCAGCTCAAATAGTGGCTCACCATATTCCAGATCAAAGACCAGCTCTCTTCTACGACTTAACTTCTCTTTCTTTCGATCAGCCACCTGCCTCATCCTCGACATGTCGCTCTTGAACACGTCCTCAAACATTTTGTACGGGTTGCTGGCATCTATCTTCCACTTAGTATATCTCTGCAAACGCTTTTTGATTCCTATGTTAAATAAACCATTAAGCTTGGCGATCACTACGGATTTGAAGTTTGCTTACTCTCTGGTGGGGTGTTTTTGATCTCTTCCATAAACACCAACCATATGTCCAGTATTTGCATACGGCGCGTTAGGTTTCGTGAGCTGATGAACTGCCTAGTGGCCCAAGCGACCAAGAGCTCGGGCGCGATGACGGCTACAGACATGATCTTTGCGGACCGGAACAACCGTCGCAAGGGACCGTCGTACGGACTCGGGATGTTTGGATGCACCGACGTGTATATGCATGCGAATATCGTGAGCAAGCACGGAGACACGATGTCCCATAGTGTGCGTGAGCTGTCTGATGAGATACTAATGGCCATGAAGTAAGAGGTCGTAGACGAAGAGCAGGGGTATGATACGTAGCTGCATTAGCGATCACACAAGACTTATATTGCTGAGCGGGGGCTCTCGAGCTAGGGCACTTCGCTCCGCCGAGATGAATGGTAACCAAGGGTGCACAACGCCTCATTATATCTCGGAATTCCTCCAGGTGAACGATGAACGCGTTGATTGAACTTTGTTGGAAAGGAGGATCGTCGAAGGATAACTCGGAACAAGTACAAGGGACTCAGAAAACGCGCGCAGCCTTGTTTTTCGATGACAAGCCGCAACCATCAAATATCTGGACCGAACCGATCTCGGCCCACGGGATTCTCAGGCTGTCACCCATACGGACCCACAACGCTCCCAGACGTTGCTTAACTAATCGCCCTGTACGGTTTACCGTCAAACAACTTCTTGTTAACAAGCAAAGCGGGAACCGAGAATCTTCGCAAAAGCCCGACATAAGTTAGCCTTTGTTACCAGCTTCGCTGCCTTCGCTGCCAATTCGGAAGAATGTCAGTTTCTCGGGAGCTGGGATGTGCCGAGCGGAGTACCAAAACTGGCCATAAAAATAGAAGGTCCGGTCGTCACTCCGCGAGCTCCGCTTTTGTCGGTCAACTGTGGCGCCCTCCCGCATGTTTTTATTCGTAGGCGAAATGTCCTATACATTCGTGAGGGTGATGTATGTTCAGGCAGTGAACATATCGGCTTCCTTTAAAGTTGAAAAAGCGCATTCCTTATAACGGAAGCGCTATCCTGTCGATTCCTGCCAGTAATCTCCTCTCTTGACATCGAACGCCTGCGTGGCTACTAAACATATCCTTTTGACATTTTTACGAGTGCTGTCTCCCTGTTACATTCGATTTTCCGTGATAAGTAGCCCAGCCTTTCGCCTTCATACGCGAAATCCACAAGTGTCCCTAACACAAGGAGGGTAATGAGCCGTGCCATTCCCGCTATGTAACACCGTCAGAGAATGGTCCTCAGTGACGTGCCTCTCAGCATTAAGACCACTGCCAAGTTTTGTAGCAGTTCGAGGACAGAAGTTTGTCCGCCTCGACAACCGCCACCGTGGTTCGCCGCAGAGCCCGTTGAGAGTAGCTGTCCCGCGTTTACGTCAGGAATTCCCGAACTGTTGAGTCACACGCGAGTGCATCCACAGCCTCATACAACCAAACCGCCACAGGCAACCGACTGTTCAGTACTATTCCGTTCTCACCCACGCATTATTGTTCTTGTTCTCGAGTCGTAACGCCTCCCATCATTGGAGTACCAGGGCCTTCAGATAACCAGTCTCGCAAGATGGCCTTCGTACCACTATTACCACCACTCTTTCCGCCAGCGCAACTTGACCGGTGAAGAATGCCTGACCCACTACGGACGTTCGACTGCGACACTGCTGCAGAATTGTACGTCCACCACCCCCGTTTCTCGCCCGTATCGTACCTCACGACTCGCCCGTAGCCGCTCCTTATACAACCTCGAATGGGACAAGTACACGAATATCGACGGCACCGTCTACTACCACAACCGCGCGTGGTCCGGGCTCACCCACGCCGACATGTCGCTCCCGTGCGTCCGCGAGATCCTCAACGAGCAGCTCGTGTGGCACTTCGAGACCGTCGAGGGGATGTTCCATTTCGCGGACGACGACGTGCATGAAATGATTACGGCATCGTACGACGACCCGGCGCTGTTGCAGGACCAGGACAGTGTGAGGTTCAAAACGTTTTCGATGGAGGTGGGGAGCTGTTGGGACTTGGAGGAGAATGATCAGTGTGAGGCTTTGCGAGTTTCTCTGAGCTCGTGTGTTTCATTGACTCCTCGTTAGATAGGGAGATGCCGCCTGAGATCCTGTGGGACAATATATGGGTCTATGCTGCGCACCAGACGTCGGTTCCGGCACATATGGAGGATCACTTTATGATAACGATGTCACATGGGGCAACAGGTGAGATGGTGTTTTCATAGATGACTCTATACTCGAGAGCCTGATGTTGGATACAGAGCAACTTCTGAAGGATGACGAAGCAGAGTTTCACTGGACCTATCGTCAATGCGAGCAGATACTAAAACTTCACAAGCTATTGAAAGGTGCGCTCTACCGAACTCTTAGCTGTTCTGTCTCTGATCCTTTTTACAGTGCGTCAACGAGAGCTCGGATCCCGGGCCAACCTCGCACCGGCGATTCTCTTTAACATGGCGAAGGCGATGAACGAAGTCTGGGGTCAACGTACTCGGTTCCGTTGGGGAGCTCATAAAATGAGTGATTACCAAGAGAAGCCTACCGATTCGCCAGTAGGGGAACCGCTCTCGACAAGAGCCAAAGTTGTCGAGGTGATAGCGATGGTACTCCTGTTCAGCACACATGCGACGTATTACGAGCGACTCGAGATGGCCCGACCGGAGGGGCATGTTTACGTGCCGGAGTTTAGGAGGTTATTGGAGGGCCTTCTTGTTGAGTGGGCAGGTACGCTTGTGTGCCATCTCCGCACTCGCATCAATTCATATGCCTCCTCAGACTCTAACCTATTATCCACCGTTGTTGTTCTGTGAGTCACTCGAGTGCGAGCTAGGTTGGCGGTGTACTGATATCCACTTGTCATCCAGTGTAGACGTGGGATTCTTAGCAGTGCCTGTGGGTCGCCTCCTATGCCTTTTTACCACCTTCTAACTCCTACCGCAGAATGTGAACGGTTTCCAAGTCGCCGCTATGCTTGCGTCGACCATTCTCGCATTGACAAGCGTCATATGCGGTACTTATCATACATGGCAACATCGGAGAAACACCGACGCCGAGGTCGAAGACGCAGTAAGCTCTCGCCTATGCACTACTTCACTCCGATCTTTCCTCATCGTCCTTTCAGCACAGATACGTTATGCACCTTAGGGAGAAGCTTGGCCCCCAGCTCGACCTTCGTATTATGGCTTGCATACTCTGCCTCCCGCTCGCCACGCTCATGTGGTCTGTTGTGTTCTTTCTGATTGCCATCTCGGCGTTCGCATTTCAGACATCTGGGATGCCTGCTCAGGTCGTCATGGCCGCTATATTAGGAGGTGCTGTCGTTATGGTTGGGGTTACGGTCGGGAGGTTCTGGGATTCGGAGGCTGAGTGGTGGTTCCGGAAGAAGACAGCGTCGAGCGGTGCTAGTCATCGTAGTGAGAAGACGCTTCGAGCGAAGGGGCTGACGAGAAAGCTTCGCTCAGTAGCTGGCGGTCTCAGAGGGGTGTTGTTGGGTTGCGTCACGAATAAGTCGAAGTAGGGTTTGACGGTTCCTGTATTCTATGACTTTGGGTGAATAACATCGTATGGCATGTTCAGTCACTCCCAAAAAATTGGATGTTCTTCTCAAGACAGCGGCCCGTGGCTTGCGATTTGGCGAGGGCAGAGTGAGGAACCGGACGAGTGGGTGGCTGTGGGTGCCCGAGATTGTCAACTTGCATCATCGATTCATCCCCGTCGACCCTGACTTCATTCAATCCGTTCTCGCATCCGCAGCCAATCAGATGTGTCCATTTGCTTCCGCTGCCTAAGCGACGTCGAACAAGGGAACGACAGCGCGGCGAGCGGAGATGCATCATGCGGAGTACAAAACCCTTCCCCCAAAAAGGAGTTGCTCCCCAGCATTTCCTTCTCCGCGAGCTCCACCTCTCACGGTTGTCATCCCTATCTGTGGCGCCGTCTCGTTCCGCTTGCGTGAGGCTGAGCCCGGTTTCCAGGACGCGAGCGCTTTCATCAGTCTTGCTTGCTGCTTTGTTGTTCTCGACTCAATTGCCTCACCTTGCTCTGCATCTCACTATGTTCGCGTCTTTGTTCCGCTTCGACTGTCTCCTAGCTACTGCAGCTCAATGCGGTGGCGTCGGTCCTAGAGGACGCTGGGTAGAAGAGGCCGGGATGAGTCGAGGACAATAATAAAAATAGAGAGCGCTGGAGAGGGTGTATTAAACGTTGATTCTATAGCTGTAAGTATCTTCCTCTTCTCTACTTTTCGTTCTTCGTGTCTGAAGCCTCACTGCCAGGCGTAGGGATGCCGGAGGGAACCACTCAGTACGATGGCTCGAGCTTGCTAAGTCGCCGCCGCCGCAAAAAGCGAAGGCTCGCGCAACAGGGTGCTCAAGGCGCTGCAAGCAGCTCTCCGCCAGCGGAAAACTCGTCGACGGCGAATGCAGAATCACCCACCCGCGACGGCACTTCTCAATCGCCTCACGTACCCAGCCCCAGAGTTTGTCGCTGCTCAGAAAACCCTCAGCAAGCTCTTCTCTCCCTACCGCATTCTTTGCCAGCTCCGCATGCTTTGGGGGAGCCAAACCAAGCTGGTAGGAAGCCTTTTGAGTGAGCACTGATTGAGCTGCTGTCCTTTCCTGGACCAATGCTAAATCACTGTTACCCTCTTCAGTGTTCCGGGCCACACGGGCTGGGCCGAGTACACCCCCGTCGACGGCCACAAGTACTTTCTCAAAGGAGGCGTGGCGTTCACAGATACCTTCTCGAAGGAAGAAATGGCAATACCAGGTTTTTGGGATAGGGCATCGACTTGCGTGGAGACGGGACGCTGGCCGCATGATCTGCTATTAGAATGGGACGAAGATCTCGAGCCAGGGGGATTTATTTGGAAAGCCGAACAAGTGCCCCAAATCACGCGGGATGAGCTATCGGTAGCACTGAAGATGGCGGACGACACAAAGCCCCGGTCGCCTGGCCAAGACCCAGACCAGATCCTGGCTTATCACGGAGAGGGCCGATACGGGTCAACTTACCACTGGGTGTTTCTATACTTGGGTCGGGCGGAAATGTGGGCTGGTGAGTGCTGCCCGTGGGGGTTTCAGCTCGGATGCGTGACTGACTTCCGTTTGGAACATAGATGGAGGGGATCAGCGGCCGCAGTCGGAGTTCTGGGCTGCGTTGGCGGGATATAATATGCACTATACCAGCGTTCCGCCGAACCTCGAACGCCAGTATTTTTGTGCGATAGCCCACGGTGCCTTTGGTGCGTCTCTTCAATACACCGTTGACGTACGGCAGATTCTCATAGCGAGTGATACAGAGCAAGCTATTAGTGGAGACGATGCGCTGTTGCCGTACTCCGAGGAGGATTGGGAGAGGACGTGGGATGTATACCATGACCTGAGAGGTACGAATCTCATCTCTTCCTAGCTATCAACGCACCCCACTAAGACCTATCTCAGAGATGTACGCCACCCCACAGGGACACAACTACGCCCCTCCGCTCATCCGCCACATGGCCCAGAAAATGCGGGATATCTGCAGGATCCGCGAGAAGACCGGATACGGCACCACGCTCGCTGTCACCTCGAGGAGCGAGAAGGCGAGGCATCTGCCGTCGGCTGACGTTCTGGATACGGCGGTGCGGGTAGTCGCGGCGGTTGCGTTTGCGGGGCTGCATAAGACGTACCTGAACGGGCTGCTTGAAGCGAGCTTGATGGACGAGCAGTCGTGTCAGAGGGATTTTCGGGCGTTGGTTGGGGGGCTGCTTGATGAGTGGAGCGGTACGTGCGTTTTGCGGAGATGAAAGTTGGTTTGGGTCTGATGCTGGTCATTTCTAGGTAATAATTTGTTGGTGAGTCGGATTGGCTGAGTTCATTCGCTTATGAACGCGCACTGATATGGACTCGCGAAGACTGCCATTTTCCTAGCGTTAGTAAACTCGTTTCTGAACTTGATGTAATTGGCGCTCAACGTTTCTATAGTGCGGACGTAGCTTTCCTTTCGGTCAGCGTAAGCCTGTCCACTCCAGAGCGTTAGCGCGTGATATCCTGACTAGGGTGTCCATAGGGCATCGGCCGGATACCGACAATCCTAACCACCGCATCACTCCTATTCGCATTGGCCAGCCTCGGAACCGGGATACACCACACCTGGCAATATCGAGTCCGCATCAACGCTCATTATCCCGAAATCGTACGTCCTTCCCGTCCCCTCAGCCTCACCCGCCGCTGACTCCCAAGCTGATAATGTAGCTCCACCACCTCTCGCGCGACGTGTTCTTCGAGTCGCGCCACACTAACCTCGTCATCGCGGCGTCGTTCCTGGCCGTGCCGACCGTGTCGCTGCTGTGGTCGGTCGTCTGCGCCGTCGCGGCGCTGCTTACATTCGCGGTGCAGGTGCTGGGTGGCACGGAGGCGGTGGTGGTGCTTGCGCTCGCGGGTGCGGCTGTTTTGGCTATGGTTTTAGCTGGGTTTCGGTTGTGGCCTGGTAAGAAGGGAGGGGAGGAAGGTGAGAGATGGAGCGATGGGGAGCAGGAGGAGGATAAGGATCGGAAGTGGTATTTGAGCTGACGGAGTTTGGTGGTGGCGTCAGTCGTGATAGTGGATTGTAGGCGCTGTGGGCGTCATGGGCTCGGACAAGCTTGACTTCAGTATTCCACACGTTGTATCTTATGTCGATGTAGCGTTAGTTTAATTTTTTACCTTTCAGCAATTTATGAGCGTGCCTCTTCAGCGTCACTAAAGTCGTGGATATTGCGAGAACGGCAGACGGGTGTTGCTACTTGCGCTGAACCTCAGAGGCAACTCGAAAGCGCCCGAAAGTTCCGGGCCGAGTTTTGCTGCTCGCGTGGATGAAGTCATGCTCTATTTTCCCACGGTGCGTCCCCCACGCACGCCCAGCACCGCGAATCGAGCGCGCACTGGCACTGGCAGCCCTGCAACATACTCCTCGGGCAGGATGGCCTCAGCACATTCACCAACGAACGGAGCAATTACCTCCAGCGATGAGAAGCTCACCACTCAGGACGTCAATGGAAATGCAATCGTCGTCGCTGGAACCGAGGTTGTGGGCAACGGCGACGCGCACGAGTCACGAGAGGATGGAGGTCAGGACGAAGGAGACGAGGTCGAGGTCGAGGAAAGTGAAGATCAAGACGTGACGGACATGACGGAGGAGGATGGCGACGAAGAGGAAGAAGAGGCAGAGGAAGACGATGACGATGACGATGAAGAGGAGGACGAGGAGGATGAAGAGCCTGCGCTCAAGTATGAACGGTTGAGCGCACCCGTCGACACACTCCTCAGGAAGGACTCTGCCTCTGCCGTCGCCGTCTCGTCAGATCGAATAGTAGGTTTCTCATCCACAGACGGCATACATACTCACCACGCGCGTTGCTGTTCTGCAGGCACTCGGCACGCACGCCGGCTACGTGCACATCCTCAAGCTCAATGGTGAACGCGTCAAATCGTACAAACCACACACCGCTTCCATCTTGGACATGTCCCTCGACGCCACCGGAGACTTCTTCACTACCGCGTCCATCGACGGTACGCCTTGTTCCTACCCTTGACCTCCATTCTACCATTGCTCACAGACCACCGGGTGAAACACAGGTCAAATCGCCATCCACTCCCTCTCCACGCCCGAGAACTACGTGTTCGACATGAAGCGGCCGATGCGGACTGTCGCGCTCGAGCCTGGCTTCGCGCGCAAGAAGTCGCGCGCGTTCGTCTGTGGTGGGATGGCGGGGACGCTCATTCTCCGCGAGAAGAGCTGGTTCGGGCATAGCGAGACGACGCTGCATTCGGGCGAGGGGCCGATATATCAGGTGCGGTGGAGGGACAGGCTTATCGTGTGGGCAAATGATCTTGTGCGTTCCTTCTCTTCATGAACGCGCGTGGTTGTGCACGGTTTGCGTCGGTAGAGCTGATGTAGAGGTTGTCGTGTGTAGGGTGTCAAGCTGTACGACACCGCGTCCCAGTCGCGCATCGCGTTCATCGACCGGCCGCCTGATAGTCCCCGAGCGGATCTGTTCAAGTGCACGTTGTATTGGCAGGACGACTCAACGCTCATCCTCGGCTGGGCGGACCACATCAAGGTTCTGCGTATTCGCACGCGCACACGGAACTCTACCGGCGTTGCCGGTTCTGCGGGACTCACAAGTTCGCCTCCCCTGGTCGTAGAAGTGACGGCCGTCTTCCAGCTCGACTGCATGATCGCCGGCATCGTCCCACACACTCTGTCTCCCGCCTCCGTTTCCCCGCCACACTCCCATTCTCACTCGAAAGAAAGCTCGCTATCCACAAATGGCACTGTAGAAAATGGCAAAGACTCAAGCTCAAACTCGCTATCAGGCTCAGGCACCGGTGCTAAATCCCTCCCGCTTACCTCCTTCCTCGTCCTCGCATACAGCCCACCGGACACGTACGGCGACGAAGCGACACAGGACCGCGCCAGACAGGCACGTAAAGCCGCCGAGCGCCCCGAGCTGCGCATTATATCTCGCGCAGGAGAGGAGCTCACGGCCGACGCACTCGGCGTGGCGAATTTCCAGGCATGGAGCTGCAACGACTACGTCCTTGCCGAGGTCGGCGCGCTCGATCCCGGTCTTAGCGTTGTACCGCCGGCTGCGGGTGCCGCGGGCGCGTTGCGGGTGCAGGCGAGGAGGAGCTATGTGGTTGTGAGTCCGAAGGATATTGTGGTTGTGCGGCCGAGAGACCGGCGGGACCATATTGCGTGGTTGGTGGAGCATCAGCGGTATGATGAGGCGTTGGGGGAGGTGGAGAAGCTCGGTGATGAGGAGCTGGGCGAGGGCGAGGCGAGGATCGATGCGAATGCGATTGGGGAGAGGTATATTAAGCATTTGGTCGGTGAAGGTGCGTCAATCTTTATGGTTTCTATCTGCTTTTGAAGGTGGATTGATGTTGTTTCGTTGTGTAGGTGACTTCGTCAAGGCGGCGAAGCTGTGTCCAAAGGTCTGCGGTCACGATGTGAAGCAGTGGGAAGACTGGATATTCCTATTTGCTCAGAAACAGGAACTTCAGGTGCGTTCTGCTCTCGAGCTTTACATTCTCGTTAAATCGTCGATTGATCCTTTCACCTAGGCTATCATCCCGTATATCCCAGTCGACTCGCCCCAGCTAGGCCACATGGTGTACGAGATGGTCATTGGCCACTACCTCACGCACGATAAACACGTAAGTCCCCCAATATTGCCCATCTACGCTTGCATTCGATTGACTGACGTATCTCCCAAGGCCCTCTTCGAAACAATCAAGTCATGGCCTAAAACCATCTACGACATCCCAGCAGTCATCAACGCCATCCAATCCGCACTCGACCGCTCGCCCTCTACCTCCTCTGCTACCTCCATTAGCTCTTCCTCGAGAAGCACGACGCCCGACGCCGTTCTCCTCATGGAGTGCCTCGCGGAGCTGTACACTGCCAACCGGCAGTACGGCAAAGCGCTGCCCTTCTACCTCCGCCTGAGGAGACCGAACGTGTTCGAGCTCATCCGGGAGCATAATCTGTTCACGGATGTACAGGACCAGGCGCTGTTGCTCGTGGAGTTCGATCAGGAGCTCATTGAGAAAAGGAGGAGGGAGGGTGTGGAGGTGGACGAGGGTGGGAGCGAGGCTATTCGGTTGTTGGTGGACCATACGTATTCCATTCCGGTGAGTAAGCCTTTTATGTTTGCTCGGGAGGTTGATCAGTTGGACGGGGACTGATAAACGTGACGTAGATTAGGAGAGTCGTACAGCAGATCGAGAGCCGGCCTCATTTTCTGTTCCTTTACTTGGATGCGTTATCGAAGAAAGACCCGCACCTTACATCAAGCTTTGCTGATTTGCAGGTGAGCTTTGGCGATATGTAATTATTGCGTTCTTACTCGTGCTCATGGATCCACGTAGGTCAAGCTGTGCGCCGATTACGCGCCATCGAGGCTCATCGACTTCCTTCGGCAAAGTAACTACTACAACCTCGAAGCTGTGAGTCGGTTTACTTCTCACTGGCACCTAACACCTTGTTTCTGACGTCCTACGGCTGATAGGCGTACAAAGCATGCGGGGAACGTGACCTCGTACCCGAGATGGTCTTCCTCCTTGGTCGGATGGGCAACAACAAGCAGGCGCTGACGCTTATCATCGAGCGGCTAGGCGACGTTGAGCGGGTATGTCTCGTTCCTCCCTCATCGTCTATGTTTTTGGACCAGCTGACGTGTTTTACAGGCGATCGAATTCGCAAAGGAGCAAGCAGACGACGATCTCTGGGAAGATCTCCTCAAGTACTCGGAGACCCGCCCAGGTACGACTACCACTCAGCTCATCTAAACACAGACGTACGCTAACGTTATCGTCCACATCCACAGCCTTCATCCGCGGCCTGCTCGAGAACGTCGGCGTCGAGATCGACCCCGTGCGGCTCGTGAGAAGGATCAAGAACGGGCTCGAGATCCCAGGCCTCAAAGACGCACTCATCAAGATTCTGCACGATTTCCATCTGCAGATATCGCTGCTCGAGGGGTGCCAGACGATCCTCGAGGGCGATGGCGCCTATCTGACGAGGGTGCGGCAGCGGAGCCAGATGAGCGGGTTCTTCTTGGGCGGTGCGTGCACACCCTTTATGTCATTTCTGCCGCTCATAGCTGACCGGTATCATACAATAGATAAGTCAGAATGTATGATCTGCAGCAAGCCTCTCCTTCGCGCACCGCAGGACCTGCTCCTGCTCTTTTTGTGCCGACACGTTGTCCACGCTGCATGCGTGCCCGACCTTAGCTTGGATGACCTTCCATGGGCAAATGATGGCGTCGGCATTCGTGCCAGCCTTAGCGGACGCATCGCCTTGTCAGTCTCATTCGTTCCACTTCACGTCCTAAGCTCTGGTATACTGATGCGTTCCTGTCCCACAGCACGTCAGTCATACGCGCGCGGATACACCAGGGCTGCCCTGTCTGCCTCCGGCAGAGTGAGGGCGAAGTTCTGTAGTGCAGTTCACTTCGGCTGGTAGATGCTTTAGCTTCGACATATGTTTGTCTGCCCCGTGTTCTCCTTTACGTTGTCATCACTTTCCTTACCTTACCATCCACATGTCAGAATACCCTCACATCGTTCGTTCTTGCATTTTCTCAATGGATATCTCGTGTACACCGATCATATGAGAGGTTCCGTTGTGTATAAGTGGAGATCTGACTACAACTGGTATTGCAATACAGGGGTACGAGTGGCGGGATGCTTAAGCGTGCTGCACTGTCACATCGTGCTCGACTTTCTTCTCCCCCGCTTCATCTTTCTGCATCTCCAAGTCCTGGGAGACCTCGACTTCCTCGGCCTCCTCGTCCGTCTCGTTATCGGCATCAGGCTCCTCTTGTGGCAGTAGCAAGTTAAGAACCACGGCCACGATACCCGCGATGAGAACTGCAAATTACCCGTCAGCCTTACATGGCAAATAACCTCCAGAGTGTACCGAGACTTACAAGGCGTACTCAGCACAATCGTGATGCTCTCGAACAAACCCTGCAGCCCCTTGTTGTTCGGCTGAACGCCATCGAAGAGATACGTGAATATGCTCGGAACGAGCAGGTCCCCGACACCGAACGACATCGCAGCAGCGAGCACGAACCGGTCTCGCCGCGTGAAGCGCACGTACGAGAGCACACGCAGGCCCGATACGACGACGGAGGCGAAGAGGAACGTGGTCACGCCGCCGAGGACGGGGTTCGGAACTGCGTTATGTTTATCAGCGCTGCTCGGTACACGCGGCCAGTACGGTGGAAGAAGTACCAGGACGGTGGAAAACGTACTTGCAAGGAAGACGCCGGATATCTTTCCGATCACGCCGAAGAGGATGAGGAATGCGCAGCACCATCGGCCGGCAGATCTGTTTGCGCATCTGGACAAGGCGATGACGCCGTTGTTCTACAAACATCAGGGTCTCAGTTTGAGCGAACCACTGAAAAGCGCGAACGCACCTGCGCGAAAATGGACAGAGGCGCGACGGTGAAGAGCGCTGACATGAATCCGCCGAATCCGTCGCTCTGCAACCGGCACACTGCATCAGTTTTCGCCGACAGTTTGCACTTTGGTTAGAAACGTACCAGGACGCCTCCTTGTATGCGCGAGTCAAAGTCCTCGCCTTCAACTTCAACGCGTGATACCTCAGCGGAGGCGGTGATGTCTCCGATCGCCTCCATGGTGGTTGATACTTATTACAGAATGAGCAGATTCCCTAAGCAGTTACAGCTTTTGAACGTACCATATACGGCTAGCATAGGCAAGATAGCGGGTGGATAGACGCTAATCTTGAAGCGATACACCCTGTGTGCAAAAATCCGGTTATATGTCGGAGCGCGCGCATTGAGGGAAACACATACCAAAGGAACGTGATCGCTGGCGCCGACGTGATAGAGCTCCCGTCAATATACCCCGTCGCACCTGCGACGATACATCCAACAGCAAGACCAACGATAATGCTCGCGTTCTTTAGGAACGGCGAGCCAAAGAGCTCGTTGATTATGATGCTAATGAACGACAGGAACCCGAGCCCGATGTACTGTGGTGATCCCCATCTAGTGATTGATTTGAGCTTAGATTATATCGAAACTGCAGAATAGCTGAACTTACGGAAGCGCATGTGGAGAGGATGTTGAAGGGCACAGCTCGTAAGGTCCGCTGGACGGACGGCCCATGCAGTTGGATCCTCCTCCCCAGTCGGGGATACCAGACGACCCTACTAGAGATGCACCTATCATAACGATAACGGTACCTTTGTGTGTAAGAATCCAGTCAATGATCCAAAGCGCTTGAGCAGGGGGTAGGACATACCTGTCACCATAGGAGGAAATACGCGTTTCAGCACCTTTGGAGGCGCAAAGGAGAGACCTATTTCCAAAAACGAGCAGATAAGAGAGGTGCCTGTATGCGCCGAAGTGGTAAGTAAGCTGTTCTCAACCCGCTAATTAGCCTACTCACCAAGTATCATTCCGTACGCATCCGGGCACGGCTCCTGGGTTACAGTCCCATCCGCGCCTGTTGTTGATTTACAGGTCCCGTTCGCATACATTGAGCTGATTATCTATATAAATGAGGATCTTGCATGAGAAGATTACACGCAGATACTCACCGTATTTGCCGTGCTCAGCGTCGCAAAACTCGTCCCCACAACTGACAAAAGTCCTGTTCCCAAGTAGTATCCCCGCCATAACCTCGTACGTGAAATCTGAACCAGACTCAGGATTCCTGGCAGGATGAAGTTCGCAAGGCACAGCTAACCGCAAATTGTCCACATACCACAGCCAATAAGCGATGCCGAGATCATGTATGCTGACATTTCTGCGTCCAGGTTAAGCGAACTAGCAAAAATGATGGGAGGAGTGATCAGTCCTGCGAGCATGGCAAGCGCGTGCTGCAGTCCGCAGGCCATGGCGAGTACGAGCGGAAGCTCGGAATCTAGCGCGTAGAACGGTGGAGCACGTCGTCGTGGTTTGCTTCCTCTGCGCAACGAGAAGGGGAGGGTGGGCGAACAAAGCCAGGCGTAATCGTAGTCCCCGAGCCAGCCATGCCGTGTGCTCACTTTTTGCCGAGCCTGTCGAGCCGTTGCCTTTAGCTCGGCCACTAGTGAGCGAGAAGAGTCCGGAGGTGGAGTAAGGCTTGGCTGGGAGGTGCGGAGCGAGTCGGACTCCTTGGAGGGGCCAGACGCAGACATCGTGAAGGCTTAGGTCAAGGACGCCGACGGTGAGCGAGTGTACGCAAGAGCAAGCTAGTGCATGGACGCTAGATCGTTGTCAGGAGGTTTTAGGGAGCCCATAATAACTCCAAAGATACAGAAAGAAATACGCCACTAGGTTGGCGAGAGATAAGGACAGGGGCAACTTGGGCCTAAGCATATCAACCAATCACGCACGTCTATTAGAGACAGTCACGTGGCTCATATCCCCTTTCGACCACATATGCATGTTATCGCGCCAATTTGTCGCGGTTTGCAGTCGGCTTTGTCTTCGGCTTTCATTAAGTTTACCATCGAGCTTTGATCGATCATCATGGGGCGCGGACCTCCGCCTATCACAGCTTCGTGGTCTTGCTGAGTGCATTCTCGTAAGAACGGAAGGCCTTCCGCTACTTAACGCTGCCTTCGTTCCATATACACTGGCATTAACGCAGCTGCCACAGCTTCCGAACGTTCAACTGCTCTACGGTCCATTGTTGTGTCCAAAACGTCCAAGTAGTGGATCATTGATAGTAAGTTCTGTCACGATCCTCTTGTTACTGATTAGACCCTCGTATCGTAGCTAGCACGAGGCTTGGAACATCGTTAATCCCCGGGAGTCGAGCCTCATATCGTTAGCCATGATAGTAAGCCTTTGTCCATTGTCCATGTATGGACGTCTACGCCTTGTTTGACCGTAGATGATCACAATTGACGCCTTTCATAGCGCCTGAGAGCAGTGGGCGCACAAGCGTATAAGAAATGGGCTATGGAGTGGCGCAGGGTCTATCTGCTCCCGAACTTCACTTCGCCGCTGATCAATGGTATTAACATTGCAATACGCTGAAAAATGTGCCATAGGTTGGCGGTTTCTGTATCTGACATATATAGGAACTGATGCTGCGGCAGTTGCTGGCTTCTGTCTGACAACCTATATCGTGCGCATGTTTTCTGTTTCGGAGCAAACCTATGCTAACGTTGTGACATCTAGTATTAAATTTAGGCCTGGAGGTAAACCTTATGTTGCATCCTATGCACTACGCTCACTAGTCATATAAATGTGAGTTAATCTGGCGGAAGAGGACCTGGAAAAAAATGCTGCTTTATGGAACCGTAAGTAAAGATAAGATCACTATGCAGTTTGGATTGAGTTCGTCTAGATGAGATAGTGATTGGGTTCGCGATTGCCCACTTATTGAACGGCGCAGCCCTTGTTGTCTATCTGATATTTCCTGGCATTTGTCGGCATTTCTACACCAGGGGATTCACGCAACACTAACTATATGTGTTTAACAGCAGATATTCATGCGTTCGGCTCACAGTCATGTGGTCTCGAGACCTCCTCTCATGCTCAGTGGATATATCCATCAGCAAATATCGCCCTTCTATCGTTGGAAACAACATATGTTCCCTTAATCTTTGGTCGACTTACAATGAAATCAAGCGCTTTGTTTGGAATGCCAAGGAATTTCGAACCATGGCAAACCGACTTCGGACAGTAATAATCCAAGATAACCTTGTCTATTTTGCTCTGTGAGTTGTGTTACTACTGAGTATTGGCTGACTCATACGTAGCAGAGCGTTTGTAGACTTGCTGATGGTGGCCCTAGTTCAAATACCGGGTATCCAAATGGTGCGCTACTAGACGTTTAACAGTGATAGGATATCGAGTTCACGCAAGAAAGGCCGGGGCAGACTACTTTTACGCTATGGTTTATTTCATTAAGTTTATATTCCTCAGCATGATAGGACCCCGGATGATGCTCTCGCTTGGTAAAAGGGACGGAGATGTCTTTCACGACCACGGCGGGAGCATTGATGATGTGTCTCTCATATTATTTTCTCCACATAGTGCGATAAGTGCCTACAGGAATATTGAGTTTAACTAAAGTTGTTAATTCTCAAGAGTTCATTTTGTACTTGTTTGCAGCCTCGTGTTTATAGGTCCTAAAGTGCTCGTGCTTCAAATCTGCTTAGTTCACGTGTATATGCTTGGTAACTCTGATACTTGTAAAAACGTGCCTACAGGCTTGGCACGTAGCGTGTGCAGCTGTATACAGGATCTGCACTGCCTTTATTACGTTTTTGAGTTAACGTCTCACCGGCACCATCAAAAGCTTCCCATTGTGATAGTACATTGGTGGACAGTCGAGACCATTGTTGAACGTGATCTCCATCACACATGTGCGGATCAATATAAGTCGTACACATCTTTAATCTGTTCTGTTTCCCACAGCTCAAGACGGTCCTCCCGAGAGAACGGCGACAACACAGAGCTTTCCTCCGTCCTTAGCGGAATCATATACCCATACACACAAGCTATCAAATACTCATCGGCATTGTCACACACCGACCGTGGCGGTCGCGTTCGAATGTTCATTTTCACGTTCGGAATAGACCGTGGCGTAAGTTCACAAGGGTAACGTTCGTTTGAATTTGATACACCGTTGTTGTCACCGGGTCTGTTCATTACCGGTCGCACCTTTTCCTTCAAGCAGTATGTCTTTAGCGTACTGAAGGTGTCTGCTTGCCCAGAAGCGCCAACGGGGACATATTTAAGGGCGCTGAAGCAAACTGAAATAGAACCATCATTTCTTCTTTTGACCGATTCCTTGCCGATTCCCATGAATGACCCAAACGCGGTAAAATACGCAGCAGGCAAGTGATTCACTTCCTCCTGTCATAATTGGCGAGCTCAGCGTAACCCATAACGTTACAGCCGCTGGGGCTACTATGGCATTTTATGACTACCGTCCGTATCCATACCTCTGTATGGCATGAACAGTCAAACTGAAACACCCAGTCTTGAACCTGAGATCAGAGGTGATTAATTGATTAGTGGCTTTAGTTGTTGCTTCTCAGATAGATCATTGCTTCTCTTCTTAGGTTCAATTTATCTGGGTAGGAGTTTCAGCCCAGTCTAAGCCAACCAGTCATGAACTCTGACCTGTGCGGATGCGGAAGGCCAAGAAAATATCTCCTATGACATTTGTCTACGGCATCGTAAGTGTCGCGAATATATCAATAATCTTGTGTGGAAGTCAATATTGGTCCATGCACTACCCACAGTTGCGATATTTCGGATTGGCCTGGACGGGGTAAGTAGATACAATAAGCAGTTGTATGATATTGCTGATACGCAGGCAGAATAATGATTCGTATGTGATACCAGACCAGTACAGCTTCCACTAGGTTTATCCCAGCAGTCAGAGTTGGAAGTGTGCCCCTCACCACTCAGGTGAGTTATGTTCAAGTGTTCAAGTGGGCTCTTACTGAATTAACGAAGACGTACGTAACATAAATATACAATTTTTCTGGTCTTGAACATTATGCAGATGTGGGCACCTGACTTTTATTTCATGAAAGTCGCGACTAACAACCTTTAATAAACGAGGCGTTGCGATAGAAATATCCCTGCATGTTCCGGCAACCGTTAACGTAGTTTTGATACAAGGTATGTCACGAACATTTACCGATACAGAAGCTCACTCGTGAGATACAGGACTGATGGCCTTCCGTGCCCACATCTTAACCGGAAAACGCAAGTTCATTCCTGTTTTCTTGACAACAGGCTTTGTAGTGGCCCAAACGCTCAACATCGCGTCTCATGTTGTATGGGCGTGGGGTCCTGTTGAATGTGAGCTGTTCGCCACATGTGGATGATTATTTCTAACAATGCAATATTGTCCAGGGGAAGAGGGCGTCTTGGAGTGTTCGATGATGTTCAAATCGAATCTATGGCTGCGACCCTTGGCTACAGGCATGATGCTGGGTTTTGAGATTTCACTCTGTATCCTTGCTTTGTATTGGGCCATAGGACACATGAAGTATCGCGGATTTCACTACAGGGCGAGATCGAGTGTACCTTTACCTTTGATTGTCTTCTGGGATAACATAGCGTCTTTTCTTGTGTGAGCCATTTCCTTGGGCGTCATACCCCCTTAGTTGACCTTGGCTCAGTATATCCCTTGACTTGATTGCGGTAACGATTGACCACATCCCTTACTTACCAACGGTGAGTAACAACGTGTCATGATCTACACCGGAGACTGAAGTACATTTAAATTGACGAGACTGCAAAGGCTTATGGTGGTTTCATCGAGATCACCAAATTTGCATTAATGGCAATCATCGGGCCAAAGATGATCCTGAATCTGCGGCGAAGAAACGAAGAAAACAAATATGAAGAACAATCAAGCGTCTCAAGCCTAATTTTTGCCTCTCAACCGCTGGTCCAGCCGTGATGGCGACGGAGACCAAATAGTATGGAATCCCTTGAAGGTTTTATATTTCCCCGAGAACATTATCGGATAGTAGTTACTTAGCATATGACAACACGTATATAACCAAGTTTTGCGTTTTCAAGCTCAAGTCCCCAAGCCTGATGTGATGTTATGTAGATAACATGTTACGATGTTGTTTTAGATTAACCGCCCTCGTCACTACCCCGGTGTTTCTGAAACGACTACGGTGTCGCTCACACAGGAACATCGAGCTCTATATCTCTTCCACATCAGTTGGTCACATCTAGAGCATCATGAGCGTTTTTTCTGACGCTCGTACAAGACTACACAACACCTTCATTGAATACGTATACAATGATATTCCAATCCGTCTCATACATATTCCATCCCTCGAGCTCGTCGATCGCAGATACATTTGGCAGCATTTCAAGCCCTCCATCGACGCAGTTGATGACAAGCGCCTCCAGGCGGCCGTTCGAAATACCAGCATCTCACGAGACTTCGAAATCAATGGAGTCCGTGACCTCGTGAAGGAGATTGTTCGCTACGCAATCTTTTCCCACCGCTGGCTCGACAACGGCGAGCCTACGTTCCAAGACCTTGACCAATCTCGCACTCTTACCGGTCCTGGATCCATCAAGCTAATGAACTTCTGTGAGAAAGCACGTTCCTTCGGGTGCGATTTCGCGTGGAGCGACACGTGCTGTATCGATAAGACGAGCAGTGCCGAACTTGACGAGTCCATCCGGTCCATGTTTCGGTGGTACCGGGAATCAAGCATCTGCATCATCCATCTTGGGCAGACGCACGGGATGCACGACCTCGCCGGCGACGCGTGGTTTACGCGCGGCTGGACATTGCAAGAGCTGATCGCCCCTTCGCGCATAAAGTTCTTCTGCGTAGATTGGACACCGCTGAGCGAGCAGGACAACGACAAGCGGGACTCGGTAAAGAACGAAGTGGTCTACGCAGTATCAAACATCACCAACATTGCCCTGTTCGACGTCATCACATTCTCGCCTGGCCTCGTCGGCTTCAGCGTGCGAGACCGGCTTTCGTGGGCAGCGGGAAGACGCACGACACGCATCGAGGACATGGCATATTGCCTCATCGGGATGTTCGATATCGATCTCTCCGTCGCGTACGGAGAAGGAGAACGCGCGTTCTGGCGTCTCCAGCAAGCGCTCGTCGCGAATACCGACCGATGGGAAATCTTTGCGTGGGGTGGGAAGCCGTCTCGGTACAACTCGGCCGTGGCGAGCGGACCGGAGTGTTACCCTCGCTTCCCGATCGACAACGGAGGTAGCATATCGCACTTTGGGAATGCAGAAGAGATGGAAAGATGGGGGATGGCGGGAGACAAGACCTTCGCATTGACGAACCATGGCCTACGCATCAAGGTGATGTGGCGTAAAGTGTGGAAGGTGGAGCAACACGAAGGCAAACCCGAGCACTGGACGATCAATGCATCTTATCTGAAGCCTTTCATCGCTGACACGCTACCTGGCGACAGACCCCTGACACAGGTTTGCCACAATAATTGGAGATACCCACTGACGGGATTGTCTGTTGGCATATTGGACTATGATCACCCAGGAAGTTTGGATGCGAGTAGAGCGTACACGGCAATCCTCCTACATCACTGGACCGACGGGACCGATGTTTATGAGAGGTTCTCCACCATGGAAGTCATGACTGTACAACCAGATGACAATGCTCACGTTATGACCCCGGCGGACATTCGCATGGAGGTCAGCAGCGCCATGACTCTTGATGAGGCGTCGGAGTGGTTGCGGAGCGTGGAGGAAATGTACACAGGACCCCAAACCATATACATTCGTTAGAGATGGACCGCTGATAAAACAAAAGCAGCACGTGTACGAAAATTAATGCCTATGGCTTAGCTTGACTAGGAACATTGCGACCAGACCCCATTTCCATTCGAGCGAGCAAACGACTGACTCTGCACGAAGTCCGTGACAGTGCACTGTCCGTTCCCGCTCCCGCAGAACGCGAGCGGTTGCACTGCGTCGTTTACCAAGATGCGGAGGTTCGCCGTCCCGCCACAGTCCATCCTCTCCACAATCATGCGCGCTGAGAACGGTACCAGGCGCGAGATGAACCACGTCCTGTTCGGGTCCGCCTCGCTCGTGCTGAGGTTGCCGCTCTGTGGGAAAATACCGATTGCGGAGTAAATCGCGATCATCTCGTGGTCGTGCGTGAAATCGGCGTAGAATGATTGTCCGAGAGGGAACGTCGAGGGGTCGCTGTCGAGTGTGCTGTTGGTCTGTGTCGCGTCCTGGACTGGTTGGTCCGTGAGGCGCGCAATCAGCTCGTTCACCCAACCGACGCCCTGGACCGGGCCGAGTGAGTTGCCGTAGCCGGTAGAGTAGAAGTCGTCGATATCAAGGTAGTATTCGAGGCCCTCGAAGTCGTCCTGCGTGAAAAGGTTGCACCACGGACTCGGCTGCTCGAACGCGACGGTCTCGAATGGGCACAGCTGGAGAAGGTTGGCGACGTCTGACTTGCCGATGCTGGCGCCGGGTGCGTCGTTGTTGATGCGATCCTCGATCGACGGTGCAAAAACGTCTTTCCAAGCGTCCGTCTCGTCATCAGAACTGGCGGCATTGGGGCACATGTTGTCGTCGAGAGTGTCATTGGTAGACTGGTCAATGATAACGGTCAACTGCGGGGATGACAAGGCGCCACTACTCGCAAATGCGAAACCTGATGTGGAAATCCTGCCGCGTTAGTGCCAAACTACACAGGCGAGCTATAAATAGCTCACCTGCGCTCCAGTTCAGCGCCGTCTCAACAACGCGCTCCGAGTCGGATGCACGAAGGAACGGCAGATTGCTCGAGTTCACCAGGGATGCATAACGTGTGTAATGCGTCTGACCCGCATCATAAGATCTAAAGATGTTCCCGTTCAGTGTCCGCAAACGGAGTGATACAAAACCCTTACTGTGCAGCGCCAAAAGGAACAAGATCGTCCTCGCCGAGCTGGTACGACCAGTTGGAGAGGAAGTCGTACTGAGAGCCATTGAAACTTTTGGCACTTTGCAATTGCTCCGCGCTTGCTTTGAAATCTTTACCATCGCTGCTAGTGGGATACCGTGCGCCATGGCGTTGTAACTTCAACAGCGTGCGCATGTGTGCGGATCAGCGCCTGCGCTTGGAGATAAGCGGAATAAAGGACGTACAAGGTTGACCTGGTTGATGGTACACCCGTCCGGTGGTGCGGTATAGTTGGCTGCATTGTAATATGGCGAGTAGGCTCCCCAGTACTGGGTGATCGAGAATGGAACACCGAGATCAGGGGCAGTGGGTTGAACGTCAGCCAGAGCAAAGCTTGCAAACGCGAGCACGTTTGCGGCTTGACGCATCATGATTGGGAGGCGCGGGGGTGGGGAAGGGCCCAAGGTGGGATGGCAAGCTTAAGCAGGGTGGGCGAATCACATCGCCGAGGCGGACGAGGTTTTATGCGCGACTGGCCTCGCAAAAATATACGCGCGTCTCGATTTTCCGGATGGGCATATGACTTCCGAGGGAAGATGGTAGGCGTGGCGTGCATCCTCGCAGTACTGATTCAGGCTGTCAGCGTGCTGCTGCGGGGCTTTACATGGGCTTCGACAGCTCGAGAAGAATGCCGATTGGTAGATCGAAAAAATCGCCACGCGCTAGTCGAGCGGAGGCGACGTAGATCTACGTAGATAATAGAATTAGATGCTAAATTCAGCGTGCAAGAGCAACCTGTCAAGACCTACCACACTTTCACTGTCGATTTTGCTGGCAACAGCCATCAATGGGGTTTGCACGTTCGTCAGCGCATGATCGTGGAAACGAAACGTTTCTCGCCTTAGATGAGGTTGTGCTCGAGGTCACCGTCACGGCCAAGATGACAGCTGGGAGAAGAAGGCGGACAAACGCCATCCTTGCTTTCTAGAAAACCAGATCGTGTCAACAATTCGCATAAGTAGGGAAAACATAACTTGCGTGCGATTGTCTTGTGGCTGTCCGCGGCAGGAGTTAGCCGGTATCATAGCCGACAATGCTTCCGATCGTCCAATCCCGGGCGAAGTGTACGGCGAGTCGCAATATATTCGTTTAAGCTCGCAAGCTCTCGCAAGTCATTGCGAGGGTAAGAGATAGCGGATGTATCATTGAGTGTTCTGTGGTAGAATCGTGCACGCGTGGTTGAAGAGCCGGAATCCGAATGCAGAAGCCTTCGAGGATGGTTTTCTCAAGGTGGACGCTGGTAGATATTAAATTTAGCAAGCTTCTAGGAACCGTGATGCTCTGAGAGAATATAGCACAGATATGAATGGGAAAATACTGAGCGCGTGTGGCGAAGCGATATGCCGAGCTCCTGAAGCCTGGAGGCCGAATGATGGAGGACAGCGCAATCGTTAGGCTTAAGTGCGTTTGTGAGGCATTCGACCCCGATATTGGGCTATTTCTAAGGCTCACCAGATTGTTTAGGTTGGTGGGTTGATTCCTAAAGCCCTTACTCTCCCTTACTGTATGGCGGCCTCAGCTAGTCAATCGCTGACACCAACCCGGGACTTCTGAGTCCAAGCTTCAACTGAGGTGCACACCTTCGGGAGTTTGCGAAGCTGAGTCTGAAAGTAAAGACGCATCACGCTGCGGGCGGCCAGCTTCCTTGTGCACACCCGAGGCTTTGAACTGAATCTCTCCATGTCCTTTCTGCATCGAATATGTGGTCTTCTGTCCGCAATTGTCCAGCAAAAAGGGGTATAGCCTTCACGTCCACATGACTAACCGTGCCGATTGACTCGTGCATTGTCGGATGCTATGGTGGCTCGAGCTACCATTTCAAGCCTCACACGAACATGCGCACTATCACGCGAACCGCTGGCGGTCGTCGAACTACTTGAAGTTCTACTTGTAAGTCTTGTCATCGTGTTCGCATCAAACCCATACTTATGCGTCACAGTGTAGTATTGAGGTCAACGTCTTACATGGTAGTCCAGGGCCTGTGCCTGATCATTGAGGCGCCTGACAGTTTGAAGAACATTCTCTTTCTCCTCAACGCGGAAGGGCAACAACACATTTCGTGCACCTATGGGATGTACGCGTACTAGACGTACAGTAACACGTTCGCTATATGTTCCACGAGTTTACTACTTATTGCTCGGCTTATAGCCGATGTGCACAAGAGCATTTGCATGAGAGACCAGAGCAGACAAGCGAGGCTCGAGCGTTCCATCAAAGGTGCTCGACTTAGCTGTCATCACAAAGTATATCGGAGTTCGAACTCATCATTACTTACGCATCCAAATCACTCGGACCCCAACCTCTGTCGAGACCTGCTTAGGGCCGCTTTCTGACGTGCTCGCACTGCGTTTTGACTCCCAAGCGACCCCCACGTTGCCTTCATCTCCTTGCTGAGTGCAGCTCTGTGTAGCCGCTAGCGATATCCTCCATCGTGCTGCGTGCAGCAAAGCTGATGGCTACCCGCCGTCGTGCGCACTGCGGACATCGAATTTAGTGGGTTCTACGTTTTGCTTCCGTGATGGGCGGTGGTAGGACCCCCGAATATCAGCACCAAAGGATGGTCCCGGTTCGGACACCAATTTCCTTTTTTGGACGAGCAGGGCGGGGGAGATCGGCGGACATTTGGGCTTCTGGGAGCGTGAAAACAGTCACGTGAATAACCAGGCCGGGTACCGGGATTTCCCCGTTCCGGACATTTCACGGACTGGCCACAGGTCCAAGGGTCTCAGGCCAGGTCCCCGCCACGGACAGGGGTGGTCCATCATAGGGTCCGGGGGGGTCTCCAGGGGGGTCAAGGGGTCGGGTCAGCCACACAAGCACAGCCACAGCTGAAGCTCTAAGCGCCTTTCTAAGCGCCTGCTCATCGCTGTACCTCGCCAAAGTCGCCCAATGTCGTCTCACAGGGCCTCGATACATAGCTAGTCGGACTGCAAACTGTTGTATTCACTTGTACAGCATTCTTTGCGAATCGCGAGCACATACAAAGGAGAATAAATCAATGAAACAAAGACATTATCACGGCACCAGGGAGCCAAACTTGCCACATCAGCATGATCTCCTCGAGCGAAATTTTCACTCTCCTCCTCTTATCTCTCTCCTCCACTGATCTCTTACCCAGCTCTCCTCATCGACCAGCCTTAAAATGAATGTAAGTCGTCGATACCATCATAATCCTCCTCGGGCTTACCTCCTTTATCAGCGCCTCGATATAAGCCTGGGATCGAGTGGGCTTCTGCCCCACCCGGACCTCAGCATCGTCGATTTTGTTCAGTTCAAGATCCCGACTCAAGCCAATGTCCACATACCTACGCCTGCCAGCAAAAGTTTCAGCCGCCAGCTGCCCAACCATACCCTCGACGACCTTCGCAACCGTCTCATCCCCCCGCAGCATTGGATCGATGACCTCGGCAAGCACATTGAGCTGGCCGTTGTCGACGGCGCCCAATCCATCGTGGATCCCCGCGAGACCAACTTGCATGTCCCGTTGAAGGGATACACCTACTGGAAGGAAGGCGCGCGCGTGTCTCGTAAGGTCTCCCTCTGGGAAGCAGGCTTTGCTTGGCTGTCGAAGTGCTCGACAGTGCACACGTTGACGAACGCCGCCACTGATGTTGACGGCGCCATCCAGGTGCTCCGGGGTATGGGCTGGGACCAATCCCTGCACGTCGTCGGCGAGGGCGTCGGCTTGGAGACGTTGTTATGTCTCCTCGCCGATGGGCACGATGGCTGGCTGAACGACGACACCATCAACGCCGCGATGCGGGACTTATCAAGTCGTGCTCACCTCAGCCCAGCTCACGCCGACAACGTGGTCGTTGCTCCCACTCACTTCGCGAACGGCCTGGTGTCGACATATCTCAACACGAACGCGAACAAGCAGATGAATGCGTACCTCAAGTGCTACCAGAAGCTCTTCGAGGGACCTCAGCCTCGACGCCGATTCTTGTACCTGCCTGCGAACATTGACGAGGAGCACTGGGTGCCCATTCTCGTTGATTTCCCCAAGAAGGCGATTAGCTATGGTGCGTCGTCTGAGGTGATGAAACACGTACACTACTGAATCTCCTCTTAGGCGATTCGATGAAGCCCGTCAATGACAAGCAGATCCCGATGCAGGTCGTCGACGCCCTCCAGGATTGGCTCCTCGCCGCGTTCGGATCGCGGTTTGAAGACCGGGGCAATAGCCTGCCCCACGGCGTGCAAGCCGACGCATCGTCGTGCGGCATCTGCACAGTCAACACGATCGCGCATGACCTCTTCGGTGACAGCCTCTTCACCCACAGGCAGCGTCACAGCGAACGGATTCGGCTGTTCACTCGAATATGTCAGCAACAGCTTAGCTTGGTATGTCACACATGGGTACTCACCGTTTATCGATGCTCACATTTCTGCAGGAGGCTGCACGAGTCGCGCGCATGGCCGCTCGTAGACCAAAGAAGGCATCAACCTTGCCAGTACCCCCGCAGGCAGCGCTGAACGCACTCAGCAGCGAAGCCACTACCTCAAGTACGATCAGCGCCTCCTCAGCGGCAGGCGCTCATGTCGATGATGACGCCAATCCGGGACCATCAATCTACGATGGTGATCTCGACGTCGCGGGCGTTCTTCCTTTCAAGGACGCGAACGTCTCACTGTTCGACTTCCTTCAGGCTGAAGGCACCGTGGGCGAGCACCACGCCTCATCCTCTCGTTCCCACCACCACCATCCCCCTTCCACCTCTCATACCACCCGCCACCCACCACCTCCTATGCACCATTGCTCCCACCACGAACCCTTCAGTGATGACTTACCAATCGGACTCGACATCGCCAACGAGATCCTTGCTCAGTTTGCCGACCACCTGGCAGCCGAGCTGGGTCCTGATGCTGGGGCTGATATCCCTGGTCTCGACGGCCCCATCGAGGATGTTCCCGAAACCGATGTTGATGATTTGAGCAGCGAGTACACGGACGGCGACCTGTCGTCGGAGAGTGGCTGGTCGTCCGACGGCGACTGGACGTCCGAGCCCGAGGAGATCACATTGTCGGACGCAGCTTCTGACACGGAGTCTTGGGACGACCTTGCCATGGATGTAGACACTGTACCAGAGGATGAGGGAAAGGAGGAGCAGGGCAGTTCGCGCAAGCGAACGCTCCCCCCGTCAGCAGCTACGAAGTCGGTGCCGGGCGTTGACAACCGTCGCAGCAAGGGGGAGTCAAAGGCTGAACCGGAGCTCCCGGCGAAGCCGTCCAAACGCGCCAAGCGGAACGCGCCAGCTCCAGGCGTTCAGCGTCAGAAGGGAACGTCCCTGTCGGCGCGAAATGAGCAGGCTCTGAAGAAGGCGATGAAGGACGGAAACTTAGAGGTAGACGAGCGTAAGAAAAGGACGTACGAGCAAACATGTCGGGGAGTCGATGAGCACTGCCGCTTCCACTACGTTCGCCGGTGGCGCGTGTACCACTCTCGCTGCCGGTGCTGGGTCACTCAGAAGGGGCCCTATAACACGCAGCGGTTCAGAGCACACGCGAAGAAGTGCAAGCCAAAGGGACAGACTCATACCTTAGATGGCTTTGTTATCCGAGGTCCGGCAGGCCCTCCCTCCGATGACATTCCTCCTCCACCCGACGACGATGACTCTGACTCCGACGATAGCGATGACGATGAAGAGGGGAAGGGCGGGATGAAGGTGACGAGCGATGGGAAGGGGAAGATGGAGGTCAATAACAAGAAGAGACCCGCGCGAGAGCCACGGCCGTGTTTGGGCATAAGCGGCGCTGACGATTCCCGCGTTAACGTCTATCTCCGTCGAACCGGCGCTCACGGAGGCGGCGGTCGCTCTCGCCATGACCTCGCCCTCAACCTGTACCAACTACCCTTCGGCTCCCTCACCGACGCGCAGAAGGATACCGTCATACTCGCCCAGCGTCACAGTCAGACGTGGGTGAACGATCACCAGAGACTGCGGGTCTTTGCCCGTGACTGCGACGGTGTCGTTCAACCCAGGCAACCAGCAGGGACTCGCAAATGTCCTCACTGCCAGGCCGTCTTTCGCTCAAAGTCGTTCCGTAACCGCCTCCGCGCTCGGGTCCTTCCTGTGATAATTGATAAATAAAGAGCGTCAGTATGCGTTGAGAGAGTATGAAATAACAATCTTACCTCGGCAACTAGCTTCTCAAGTAGTGTTTTAAGGTCAGGTCAGGTCCGGTTATTTATTATTGTTTCACTATAACCAATAACTGTAACCGGTCATATCATCCTGAGAAATTGGTGACTGATGACTGGACCTACTTTGACCGGTTAAAACCAGTTATTACAGCAGTCAAAAACCGGTCATGACTGGTTATGCACTGACCGGTTATCGACTGGCTATTGACTGGTCAAAACCGGTTTTACCCTCTGTAATGATATCTAAGACCATAAAATTGGAATCTATGTGCTGCTGGCTGGTGTCTACATTGAAGAGCAACCATTACATAGTAGTAGTCGATTTAATATAACACATCCTCGCTCCTCATTTCCTCATCCAAGCGGCATAAATCTTCGAACTCATCTAGGGAGTATACTACCTGCTCCTCCTGACCAAGGTTCCATAAAGCGAAGTCAATGACCTCTGGCTTCCAGGCATGCTTCAACATCTGGAGCTGCTCAAATCTTACTAAACTGAGACGCGCTCGCTTGTCTGTTGCAATTTCTTTCGCAGCTGAGAACAGCCGTTCACAAGGTACAGAAGATGCCTGTATTGGGAGAATGTCAAGTGCAATTCGGGACAGCGTGGGGTACTCGTGAGCATGTGTCTAGAGCAACTGATTAAAATGACATATAAAACAGCATAGAATTAAAAACGCACCGACCACCATTCTACAAGGTCTGCATCCTTGGATACATCCTTGAAGAATGTCTTAAGATAGCGACGAAGTTCAGACTGCCAGCCTTCCTCAAAATCATCGGGGTTGCTTTTCTCCAGTAATTCACGGCGGTAGCAATCAAAATCGCTTTCAGGCTCATCCTGAATATGAGGTTCAGCCGGAGTAATTGATGCTGAGCGTGAGCGATTATTGGAGGAAGTAGATAGACGTCTATTCCAGTATAATTCCATCTGCAGTATATTTAGTGAGGCAGAGTCTCGAGGAAAAATAGACATGTGCTTACCATTTCCTCGCTCATCCTTGTAGCCTCATCATACCAGTTCTTGGCATGCCGATCACCAGCTGCCTTCGCCTTTTTCTGTTCCTCAGCACCTCCCCACTTCATCTTGATGTAATCGAGCTTAAAATAAGGGTGTAGAACTGTATGCACAGGTTATTACAGGGAAAGGATAAATTCATTGAATAAGCGTACTCAAAGACATGGGGTATGCCTTCTTTTTATCAAGAGGTGGCCGGTATTTCTTGATTTTGGTAATACCAGCTTCGATTCCAGGTTTATAGTCGGCATACTTGGGATTGCTCGCTTTTTGGTCCAAGTTGTGATAAGATCTTCAACAGCAGGAATAACTCGCCACAGAGTTGGTGCTTTATCAGAGGAGAAGTATTGCTGAATTCGATTAGCATCCTGACATGGTGTATAAGCACAGTGTAGATAGAATAATTGATGAACCCACTCGAAGAATATCAATTATGACAGGTAGTCTTGCCCAATCACTTTCATCAAGGCGAAATGCTGTCCATGGGATATGCCTGAGGATGCGCCCATCCTTTCGAAGTGTTGTTATAGGACCAAACTTTGCATCCGCTGTAAGTACAAACATATTGATAGCCTGAAGAGATAAACAACTGATCAGAGAGATATAAGCCAGTATTAAATATGATTTACCTGTCGAAGTGTGTATGCACGCTCACACATACCAGATGCTGTCCCCCAACGAGTGTTTCCATGTAGCAAGATCACCAGATCATCATGAGCATCAATTCCACTTTGCTTCTGGAGCATCTTGAAGTGTGAGATACGCTGACCACTAGCTTGCATCTGAGTAGAACACATGATTAGCACTGTGAATTCAACAGCTGCGCTTCACCCACCTTAACTGCCAGAGTGCGAATAATAGCAACTATATCAGCAGCTGTGCCACCCATAATCTTGTTGTTTAGGTCCTCTGGATCATATTCCCAAATTGCTGCTGTCGTCTCAATAGCAGCAGTCTTAGTGACCCAGGACATAAAGTCACAAACACCCAGATTGATGGCATGTGCAATGCAGCTAATAAAACATGTCAGAAGGTGATGATTATAACAGATAAAGATGTACGGGTATCGTGACTCATCCGAGTCCCAAGTATCAAGAGTCTTGGTGTTAATATACCGCTCAATGGCTGTAGCAGTGGTGTTGTTATTACCAGCATTGTCTGCAGTCAAGCCACCAAGCTGAAAATGACAGTAAAAATGCGAAACATGTTATGATTTGAAAGCAGTAAGCGCACCTTTGATCCACCCTCATTAACAATTCCTACTCGTTCACATAAACCCACAAAATACCTCCCCAAGTTGCTGCCATCATGGACACCTGAAATCGGCCGAAACCCAAGGACTTCTGAACGAAATATCCACTTGCCACTAGGCACAACATCAATCCAATGTCCTGTAAGTCCCATGATATTCATCTTTGTTGCATCAACTGTCCAAGTGTCTGTTGTTGTCGAAACCATCCCAGGTGCATTGGTAATATCTGTGTTGAGCGCAGTGATTAGCTTGCCATGCTCATTGTGAAGGTACACAGAGATGTTGTGTGCACTGGGGAGGTCCTGAGGAATTGTTTTGGGGCGCATGGACACAAGAGTATTGCGGAATGTAGGCTCATCAGCAAGGGATATGGGCTGAGGATATGTTAGAATTGCGACTTTAATTATATGAGTAATTGTGCTTGCCTGGTCATGGCATGCAATGTGGCGAGCCACAGCACTCAGAACATCTTCACGAGTGAATTCTCGAGGCCCTATGGCCGGTGTAAACCCAAGCTTGGACTGCTTTTTCCCTGCCTTGGCCTCTGCTTCAGCTGTTTGTTGCTTCTTCAGCAGCTCGCGTGGGATGGCACGGTCAGACAAAGGGATTTTGTTCTCCTCACAGCGAGATTTGTACAAGGCATAATGCTGACGACAGTGGACACGTATAGACGAGTTTCCACCAGTGTGAAAGCACTTTCGAAGGCCATTTGCTGAAACAAACTTCTCATTGGCTCTGCGAAGAAAGTGTGAGGTAATTACATATCTGATGAGTTTAACCCAATGAAAACTACATACTTGCATTCCTTGCACCAGCGTCCACGCAAATCCATCCGAGTTCCATCCATCTGAAAGGTGGCATTGACAAGATCTGTGAAAATAGTAAGAATATCCTTGGTAGTGTCACTTTTCACCCCAAGTGCTTCGGGAATTGGGGCTTGATGGCGCTCTTCTAGACCAGAGCAATCAGAATCCTAATCCACAATTAGTTTCGAAGCAAAAACATCGCAGCTTTAGAAAGAAACTGACCGATTTTTCCTCATCCTCTGAGCTGGATTCCTGGCTCGAATTTAAAGAGGTAGAGTTGACAGGGCTAGCAGTGCGCTGCCTGCCACTGTTCTTCTTATGTTTAGATGTGCGTCTCTTCTTCTTGGGAGGCTGTTGTTGTGTTTTATCAGTACTAGCACCAGGGCGCTTTGGTGCTTTCTTGACACAGTGACCTTTTCCGAGTGCTTCTTCAGTAGAGGGCATGATAGGTGTGAGAGGTGTGAGGTCGAAGCGAAAACTGGAGACACTTAGTTAGGACTCTCTAGCATTTTATATGATTTTTCTAGGTGGCTTAATTCGGTCATAGCGAATGTATTCACTCAATGGAACAAGGCATACCACTTAGAGGTCAAATGTCAAAGCCAGGTTGACCAACTTAGATGTAACCAAACAACGGCCGGTCTGTGCTCAATAAACAAAGCATACTTGTATGAGATACAAGAAGCTGTCTCATTGGAGATAACCTAGACAAAGGCTACATAGCATTGTTGTATTTCCGTATGTTAAAACAACAGAATAAAGGTACATCACTCAGGGTCAAAGTGGTTGCTCAGGTCCATACATTCTGAGTACAACACGGAGTTGCCATCACGATTTTCCACTTATATTTCAGCTACATGTGCAGAGAATAATACAACGTCCTCATTGTACCTCATAAGCATGACCTCCGAGCATTTGTTTCATTTTGTAAGCTTGTCTGCCGTGCGTACAGACTTGTCAATGCTTGTGACTAGAGCATGCAACATGCCACGGAGTTAGCCGGGGTATGCTACCTTTATAATTACAGCTATGAAGATAGCCGGTTGTGACCGGTCATGACTGGTTATTACCAGTCACTACGTATTTACTAAAAGTGCAAGACCCATAACCGGACCTCGTTCAAGCGTACTCTAACCGTTGACCGCAGTCACAGCATGACTGGTCAAGGTTCGGTCTTGTTTCGGTTAACGTCCGGTCAGCCTGACCTGACCTTCAACCTCTATTCTCAAGGCCTTTGGCACGGGCAAGCAGTAACCCGAGGCACTCAGCGCGGTACTCGGCGTTGATGTACCTGTAGTTGTCCTTGTCGGGCTCGGGAACGCGTATGTGTGCGCTTCGCCAAGCTAGTTTTGGACGGCGCATTCGATGACAAGGAGGTCACCACTGGTATGGTCGAGGCGATGGTCGAGGCGCATGACCGCCGAGAACGCGGCGTTGGGCTGCAAAACTTTCCTTATGCCGAAGAATTCAAGCGGTTCATGCACGAGCTGGCTGTCACGTCGCCGGAGATGTATCGCTCGCTTGCGAAGGAGATACAGGTTCCCACCATCCGGCATTTTCAGTACGTATGCTATCATTATGTCGTGGCTTGTATACTAATCTTACACTCAGGCAACAACGAAGCAGAGAGGCGCCATTCCCTCTCGAGGCCGGCGATGCCAACGTCAGCCGCGCCCTCACCTACCTCGATGCCATCGCCTACAAGGGCCCAGTGGCCATGAGCGTTGACGACACCAAGCTTGAACCCTCGCTCTCCCTCATCTGGGATCCCGCTCGCGAAAGCTACCTTCTCATTGGCAGCGAAGATGGGCCACTGGCGGTCAGCGACCCTGACGAGCTCGGCGACCTCCTCGAGCAACACAAAGACAAGAAGGCCACCAAGGTATGTGCCTCAATGGCTCGGACACTCGGGCGCGCGTCTCTAACACGGTCTATTAGCTACGATTATGGACATTGCAGGTTCCCCTTCCCGACGTGCCCCCTCTCATCCTCGCTGTTCAGGCCATCTCCAGTAGCATGCCTGCGAGAGAGCTGGCGCCCCTCTCATTGACGCTCATACGTGGGCTCACGAAAAATGGAGTCAAGTTGGTCTCGTACGCATGCGATGGAGCCGACACCGAGCGTCTTTCTCAGAGGATCCTCTCCATGAATGCTGACGATCACATCACCCATACTATCACTAATCCCTTGCCCAACCATGCCGACTACGTGCTCCACATCCCAGTCTTCAACGGTCAACCTGTCGTCATGATGCAAGACTCCAAACATGCCTGCAAGAACTGTCGTAATGGGTGCTTCACCGGGGCCCGATGCCTCGTTCTTGGGAACCATCTCGCTATGTACGCTTACGCGCGCGATCTCGCTTTCCATCCAGAGGGTCCTCTACGCCGGCGCGATGTCGAGCGGCTGGATCGCCAAGACGATCGTGCAGCCACGCGTATGTTCTGCGCGACGACGCTGGAATTCCTCACGGAAAAGTACCCGAAGCGCGCCGGCATGATCGTCTGGATGTTCGTTGCTGGGGAGATCGTCGACGCGTATCAAAATCGCGACTTGCCACCAATGGAGCGCCTTGTCATGGTTCTGCGCGCGAAGTCCTTTCTCGAACTATGGCGCATTTTTTTGGACACGATGGGTTACTCCGAGCAGCGATACTTCATCTCCCACGACCTGCACGACATCTTGAACACGTTGGCCGACGCGCTGGTATCGCTCACCCTTGTATACCGGGATCACTTGTCTGATGATCCCGATGACCCTCCCTTCCCTTTCCTGCCCTGGTTTCACAGTACCGAGACGAATGAGCACGGGTTTGGGGAGATGCGAAAGGTCAAGCCGGACTTTACGCTCAGGGACTTCGTCTACATGCGGGCGAAGGTCGAGCGTCTCACGCGGCGGTTTGCTGATTCCGTGAGCAAAGGCGACAGCGCGGGCGCCGCTCAAGGTTACTCCCACACCTGGTGGGCGCGTCCTGAAGTCGACCTCGCGAAGTTGGCGGTTTTCCCATCCGACGAGGGGATCAACGCGGCCGCTCGTCTGGCCGGTGACGAGGCATTAGCGCTCTTCAACATGCTTGATGTCAACCCCTCGGATTTCCTAGAGGGCACTCCCCACCCCCTCCCATCGATCGACACCTGGTTTGCCGCGGGCGAGGATCCCGTTCCCTTGCCGTCAGGCAAGTCGGGGCGACAGGCTCTTCAAGAGGCCATCGACGCTCAGTGTGCGTCACTGGATTCCATGCCCAAGGACGTCGCCACGGAGGTGAAAAGCCTGACGTACGCGGCTGTTGCATTGGGTCTCGACGACGACGAGAATCTGTGAGTGTGAACGTTGTTTATTTCTACACTTCGACTGATGTAGTGCCTCAGCTTGGACGACTCGGAGGACCCATCGCCTGAAGAAGATGCTGTGATGGCTCAGCGTGATTCACGGCGGATAGACGACGTGTTGAACGGCGTACGCGATGTCAAGCGCGTCCTGGTCGATGAACCTGAGGTCCACTATGAGGTGTTCGACATGACAGCGCTTGTCGCCCTCCGTCGGCGACACGAGACTCCCTGGGCTCGTACATGCGCGCGCAAGAACACGCGCTCCAAGAAGGGGAAGGGTGTCGTGGATGAGACGGACGACGATGCGGCAACCGACAACAACGTAGCCGCCGCTGGTGGACCGGACAAGGAGGCGATGCGCCAAGAGCTGGCGCGCCGACTGACCAACGTCATGCGCAACCACCGGGAGGATGAAGCACTCGACGGGACGACGACCGGCGGTAATCGTCGCATACGAACGGCGGGGCAGGTGCGGTTGACAGGGAACTCACTCAACGCTGAGCTAGCGGCAGGGACGCGGGCTGTCGAGGTGCGTTCACGTCGTTATCGCGTGGTGGCCCGTGGCTAACTGGGTGGCGGGTTGTAGGTCAAGAAGCTGCGCAGTCGTGTATTCTCGCAACACGATCTCGCGCCCGTCGCTGATATCGTCGACGCCTGCATCGACGCTAGGAATGCTAAGCCGGGCCGAGAGCCTCTGGTCCCCAACGCATACGCGTTGGTGCTCGTTGCGGAAGATGTATGGATTGGGCGCGGTGAGCCTCCCTGTCCCCTTCGAGAGTCCACGTCGGCTTACACAGGCTCTGCAGTGATGGCTATCTATAGCCAAGGAGGCTCGACGAGCATGCCTCATGCTTGGCAGGAGCGCATTGACAGCGTCGGTTTAGCTTCCTATATTGTCCTGCAGCTCTACGAGCCAGGTATCGTGCGTCATGTCTTCCGCGGAGTGCACGACTCAGCCAAGGCCCTGGGAGCATTCCGGTTTGCTCATGTCCCGGTTGTCCATTTCCTCCAGCGCGTTCCTGGCCCGTTCTCTCTTTCTGCTGATGACCGCTCGCTTATCGTCAACCATGCGGCTTTGGGGATGCTTGTGAACTGGCGAGGTCAGAGGCGTTCTCTGCTCACCGCGGTCGTCGACTACAACAAGGAGGCAAGGAAGTCGAAGAAGAAAGGCAAGCCGGATACCAAGTAGGTTCATGGACACCTCTACGATCTTTATTTAGTGTATAAATACTCTGTATGTATGTTTTTCGTGACTTTTTGAGGCCAGGTGCCTTCGTCCGGACATTATGGGCGCGCCTATAGCGTTTGGAGGCCAGATCCCGTGTCCGGACAAATGCTCAAAAACTCCCGAAATTTTCGGGATCTATAGTGGGATGCCAGGTGCATTTTGCGGACAAATGGCCTCTGAAAACCGGCTCAATTCGGACATGCTAGTGGGGGGTCGGCACCATCCCTTGGTACGGATTTTCGGGGGTCCTGCGGTGGTCTGCGGTGGTGTCACTGTCGGTCTAGATTTTTAACTCCGGGTCGACATGTTTTGATAACCGTCTCATTAACCCAATGGGACAGAATTGAGTCTCCCGAGGCGTCGTGGTTCCTTCTCTCTTCCCTTCCCTTCCCCCTCCAGCATCCGGATACCTACGCCTTCCCCGTGGCTGGGCGTTAGTCATCGATGCTAGTCCACCATGTCCGGGATTCTGAGATATCCGGAGACCCATATCGCGGGATGATTGAGGAGAGGATGGGATAGTGAGTCATCCTTCGTGCGCTTAATCAAGTCGTTCCCTGAGGGTAGCACCGCATCCCGTGCCATACAGCTTCGCTACGAATGTGCGTGTTTTGCGCGTACCCTGTTGTTCTCATGCATATGCTGATTTTCTTTAGTATGTAGCGTTCTTGGGGTTCACTATTCTAGTATGGGATCAACTGCTTACGTTTGGGGACGAGGTACTTTGCGCCTTGCTATGATCTTCGGAGACAGGTGTGGCCGCTTATACCATAGTCTCATGAAGGTCGAGTTCATATGGAAGTCGCGCAAAACGCTGAGTGAGTGCATTGCTTGTCGGTCTGTCCCGCGATATATCTCAAGACCTCAGTGTCCTATCTTTTCCTTTTGGTACGCGACACCAAGTCTTTGGTATTGTCTGATGTCGAGCACCTACCCCGCTTGTGTACACCTATCAGAATCGCTACGTGGCTCCCTTCGGCTTCATCGTGTGCTTCTATGGTGCGATCAAATTCTAACAATCCGTCTGCTTTGAAGGTCTGACGCGTAAACAGCATATATGTCTCCCAGTTTCACGAACTTGGTGAGCCTTGTTAACATCTACGAGTACACAATGGCCCACTCGTATCCTCCCTTAGGAGTTCGTCATGTTCTATCTTGCCCACCTATCAAGCTAACGAACCACCAGGTGCCAACATTTCGTTGTGTATGAGGGCGCTATGGTCACCGTTAGTGTTTATATAGCAGAGTTCACGATGCTGAAGCGGTATGTCGTTATTGGATACGTAGCACTTGGGGGATCCCAGGAACCAATATATTCACTCACATCAACGCAGGGTCTTGGCACTATACCAAACATCTCGGACAGTCCCGATAATCGGAGGTGCAATTTTTGCCACGTCTCTCGCCACTACCATTGTATTGCTTCATAATGGGTACCGTAAGTTCTGCCAGCTTTACGTCTTGCCAGGGTTGAGCTAACTCGTAAGTCAGCTGTTCCTCATTCATCAGCGGTTCACAGTAAGTCACTCAAGTGTCTTCTATGTAAGCATCTGAGACAGGTGTAGCTTGCACCGAGATAAATCGTGATGACCCATGGAAAGTTTGACTTCGTTTATAGACAACGTTAGGTCGCTTACATTTGACGTTTCAGGGGCATTGCATCAGCGGAAATCTGGCTGATTGTTGCGTTTAATAGCTATATAACAGGGTGCATTCTGGCCCGAACCCTTCCATCAGGTTCCTGTAGAAACGTCGGTGCTATCACCCGTGCACTCATAGTTGATGGTCTGATTTACTATATGTGAGCGCTCACCGCCGTCTCTACTAAAACGACGCTAAACGTGACTCATAGCGCTATGCTGATCCTTTGCGTCTTGCAAGGCATCCTCATAATCGTAGCACCCGACTACCTTAAGAATATCTTCGCGCAGTGAGCACCTTTTTTTTCCTTGTCAGTTCACGGAATCTGACGATGAGCGGATTTGGCATGTTAGATCAAGGCTGCAGTGAGTTCCCTCTCGCTGACAACCTAGCTAAGCACTCACCATGACACTTCTAGTACGACTGTCGCGCTGACATCGCGCATGACACTCAACTTGCACAGGGAGCATCGGAAATCTACTCGTAAAGGCACACGACACTGGGAGGACGCTACATCAGTGTTTCCGACAATCGAGCTTACTTCGCATCCCATCCGATAGAGTTTGGGGCAGATAGCTATATGTTTTATCCTCCATTATCTTCCCAACCGGATATCAGGATGTAGCTTGACGGTGTCACGTCGGTGAAGTACTGGACGACTACGTAACCCAGTTTACCTACCACTCTGGTCCGTCGAGGTTTCAATGACACTCGATCGGCGCCCTGAGATGCCCTTCACATTATCAGCGCGTTCATTGACTCAATTTTCAGCCTTGTGATGAATCCTTCATAAGCATATAGTACACTGTACGTGATGTCGTAATTGATTGCAATAAACCCTCCTTCGCAATGCGCTCGCTCATAGGTATAGCTCCCGAAGGTCTTCTTGGTGCGCTTTATTGACCGTGACGGTCAAGATGTTCTCCGTCATCTCCTTCTCGTACTGGCGGAGCCCGTCATTCCAGCTAAGCAAAATCGCAGTAAACTTCCTGTAGGTGTCGATGAATCCCTGCCCTTCGTTGAGCCAGCTGTCCAGGATCCCCAACGCCCACTCCGCACCCTCCTGCGTCGCTCTTGCGGGAATCCTCTTGCACGTCACGACAACGTTCTCGATGTCACCGCTCGCCTGCGAGAACGTCATGGTCTGCAAGCCCTCGGACGTCCGACCAATCTCCAGGAGGTCGACGGTGATAACAAGTAGCTTAGTGCGCATCCCACTGTTGGTCAACGCAAACAAGTGATACCCCACCTCGTACTCGTGGTCATACTCCGCCGCCGTGTCGTCTGTTTTCTCTCCGGGCTGAAGAAGCTTTCGCTGATGTGGCGTTGCCCATGGCGGATAGCAGGATGGGTGGGAAGGAATAGCGGCGTTATATGCGGAACACTGGCCCTTCCACGCGAAGATGTCCCACTTGTCGTACCGCTGGAAGATAGCCTCCATCAGGCGGTAAAACGCGCGGCGACCTTCACCATACGCGACCATGAGACTGACGTCGAAGATGCCGATAAGACAATAGGCGACGTCCTCGATACGGGTCGTGCGGCGGTCCGCGTACCACGCCATCTTCTCGCTAACCCTATCCGTTCCAGGCTTGAAAGCGATGAGGTCTTCGACTGGGATCCTCGTGATTTCTGAAATGCTGTTCAGAAGTTTGGTCCCAGGTACTTTGTCGTTCCAGCTACCGGGGTTCAACCCCCTCCACTCTTTCGTGTAGAACTTGAGTCGGGGCGGGGCAACGAGCTCTTGCAGCGTCCAGCCACGCTTGAACCACATGTCTTGGAGAATGTCGCTGTGCCCGGTTGTGTCGCCCAGGTACGCTATGCAGATATGAGCGTTACGATAGTACCTGAACATGGATCGGATATTTTCGTCGAGCTCGCCGGGATCTTTCTTGTTAATGCAACACGTGTCCGACCACGCGAAGTCACATCCGTGCTCGTACGCCTCCGAACAAAAGTTCTTCAGCTTGCTATATCCTGGTCCATTCCTCACTTTCTCTGGCATAGTCTTCGGGTCCTCCAGGTATTGAAAAGTAGGCTCGTCGTTTCCCCAGCGATGCGAAAAGATGGCGTACTTGACTTTGCTCGTGACAACGTCGTGAATGATCTTCTCACGATCGGGATTGTTGGGATTGACGTCGTCATTGCTAAGCTGAATGTTCTTGATAGTGCTTTCAAAGTGCGCTTTGACATCCCAGCGCTCCATGAGTCGGATATTGTCCAAGTCCTTGACGTAAAGCAAGCGGGTTGGCATTTCATTCATGACATATTCCTCGTAAAATTCGTTGAGTGGATCAGGCGTGGCTGGCGATAGGTGAGACGGAAGTGTTCCAATAGATGCAACATGTTCACCTTTGAGCGTGACTGACATGACTTGGTGCAAGGAGACGTTGAGGAGCCCGGCTGTGTCGACGGCTGGGAGTAAGTGTGGTCGCCGACTGCGTTATCAGAGCGCTGGTGCGCATCAGCTCACGCACATTAGACGCCCACCGATCTATATCGCCCGAGTTACGGCCCTATTAGCATGTAATATCAGATATAATATCAAGTTGTAAGTTACATCCTGTTAAGTTGAGGTTACCGCGTCTTAAATGTTACGTTTTTAGCGCGTTAGCAAGTAGTCAATTGGAACCAGGGAGGGCGCGTATACATTTGGAACGAGTTCGACAGGATTCAACGAATCGGGGGCTCGACTCAGACATCGTATCGAGAGATGCGCATGGCAAAAGCCTGGATAAGAATAGAATAACGTTCGCAGAAGCAAAAACCAAAGTCCTGTGAGGTATAGTTACGGCGAACCTCCGAGGAGGAACGTATGGTGCACTCAATTTGGAGTCTCCCATCGAAGTTAGCCGTGACGGAAGTCTTGGTGCAGAAGCCAGGAAGTCCAAGGAGGCTTATACCTCCCATAGGTGAGGCGCTCACTGATCGCACTACAGGCAAAGCGCTTCATTCTCATGTCGAAAACCCACAAGAAAATGAACTGGAATGGAATCATTTTCTTGTAGATTTCCGCAGGACAGAAAAGTTAACATTTTCTGAGACGCCGAGTGCCCTAAATGGCACGTTGGTGTCATATTTCAGTCTCCGCACCGGCAGACTTTCTATAAATGGAAGGGGATCTGATTTCCGCCGCCTGAAAATCGGCCAGAACATGAAAACTATTTAACGTCTTTTCGACAAGGGAAAATATTGCTGGAAATGATTCCATTCCAGGTCATTTTCTTGTTGATTTTAGGCACTAGAATGAGGCGGTTTGCCTGTAGTGTCGGTATCTGTAGCCAGCCAATCTCCTCTACCACCAATATGTAGTCGGCGATTGACCATGACTGCCCCTCGGAGGCGTGGCATACGATATGAACACGGTGAAAAAAGGAAACTAAAGAGAGATGGAGAAAAAAAAGCACCAACTGATCGAGTGCAAGGAATCATCGAACCCAGCAAAAGGGCTCAGCCGCGCCCAATTGAAAGCGTACAGGCAGATTCAGTCGACGGTGAGAGGTCACTACACTTCAAGACGAGTGGCATAGGACGGGGCTATATGAATAGAGCAGCTATAAAACGACCATTACATAGTTAAGCTCATGAAGCGTGGTGATCTGACAAAAGCTTCGGTTAGCATTCATTCGCTAACAATAGTATGGAAGTGGAAGGATCAGACAAGTAATAATGATTCCGGATAGACAGTTATCCTCAATGAATGAATTCTCCGAAGAGGGAGTCCTTTTTTCATCGCGCAAAAGCAAACCTAGAAAAAGATGTGCTCACATAGCCTAATCCGCCCTATCATCGCCTCACCGGTTCTTGAAGTAGTCAAGAAGAACGTGGAGGCCCTCCGACTCGACACCGTATTCCTTGACGACGACGCACGAGCAGCCAACGACCTTGCGGGGGTTGCCCTCGCGGTCAATCTTGCAAAGACCAGCCCAGGTGCCGAGGACCTTGGCGTCACCAACCTTGATAAGGTTGATCTTGTGCTCGGCGCAGAGAGCCTCGATGAGCTTGATGTACTCGGCCTCAGTGCAGGTCTCGACGAGGACGCAAAGGTGAGCCTGGCGCTTATCGAGGGCCTTGGCGCACTCGCGGAGGCCGCGGGCGAGACCATCGTGAACGAGCGCGTTCTTCAGGACTTGCTATATAAGAAGGTTCAGATTGGCTGACTGTACGCGGGATTGGAGGGCTGGCGCACCTGAAGAGCGTCCTCGACGGACAGTTTACCCTTGGGGGCATCGGTGGAGACCTCGACCGGGGCGTCGGTGGCCTCAACTTGAATTTCATCTCCAGCGTCAGACATCCTACCCATCCAAGAGTAGTCAGATACTCTGTTGACGACGCTTGGAACATCGCGCACGCACTTTTTTGGTCGTTATAGGGGGTACAGGGAGGTGATGTCGTCTTCCGCTCTCGTTGATGTGAGGGAGAAATAAGGTTTGGCGCGAGAGGAGTAATAACCCTGTGTTTAAAGTCCGCCGGCTCCTTCCGAGCCCTGGCATTCCCTTGCCCTCGTCGCCATCGCCGACCGCAAGCAGGCTGCGTTGAATGTGATAGGTGTTCTCCGACCCCCTGACAGTACTTACACCCATCCATCCATACGGTATTGTGACCCTGCATTGTCATCATGGTCTGCTACGTTTGCCAAACAGCTCTGATCGCACATTAACCCTCTAGTAGAGTCTCGCTTTCATCAACGCAATCGAGGCTAAAGAATGTACGCGGCATATCCAGCATCCCTAGGTTATGACTTATCCTATTCTTACGAATAGCCCATGCGGACGCGGTATGGGACATTGCTTGGACCACCGCTGATACGGTTTTGTCTGCGTCTGCAGACGGATCTGTACGCCAGTGGGACATCTCTTCCGGCGAGACATCCGCATCTCGCCCTCCTCACACGCTAGCAATTACCTCTCTTTCTGCTTCTCCGGATGGATCGCGTGCGCTATACAACAGCTTAGAGGGAACAACGTCACTATGGGACATACAAGGAGACGCGTTAATCGGCACACATAAGAGCTTCGATCGTTCGGTGCCGGGAGCTGAGGCGTGTAAGTCCTTGTAGTCAGCTCTCGGCTTACAAGTGCTCATCATCCTTCTGTCTGCTCTAGCTTGGTCTGTCTCGCTGAACCCAAAAGGTGGCACATATGCAGGAGCAACAGGGACGGGGAACGTGCATATATACTCGGCCGAACCAGACTCATTCGGCGAGCGTCAAGGCACGCTCACGACAGGGCGGGGCAAACACGGCATGTACTGTAAGCATGTACGTGTCCCATTTGCACTTCTGCGTTCAGTGCATACATCCATCTCAACTCTCGACCACCATCTCAAGTGCTGACCCGCACCCGTAGAGTCCAGATGGTGCTAGACTTGCACTCGCGAGCGAAACCGGCCAAGTCTTCCTTTTCGACCTTGCTTCCGGATCCTTGACTGCATCCTACTCCACGCACGTCTCCGCTGTGCGGTCGTTAGCATGGTCTTATGACTCGCAAGTACGCCGAGATCCCTTGATTTCCTTCGACCCCGCGTCTAACATCTGTTGCTACCTAGCTGCTTCTTACCGCATCGGAAGACAAGCGTCTTATTCTACATGATGTTCGCATTGGGGCGTCTGGGAAGCCTGGTGCAGGAGCGGTCGCTACGCTCGCGGGGCACTCATCATGGGTCCTTAGCACGGATATTTCACCAGATATGAGACTCGCCGCTTCTGGGTAAGTGCCTGATTAGGTTCTCCTATGTCTTCAGAGACTGCGGTTGACTATGTCACTACAATCCACCAATAGGTCTGCCGACAAGACAACCAAAATATGGGATCTTGCATCTCGAACAGCAGTATGCACGCTTCAGGAGACTGGCGAGGTATGGTCGGTATCATGGCGACCGAAGCCCCCGGCCCCGGGAAGCGCAGGAGCTCTTGTGACTGGTGGAGAGGACGGTGTTGTTCGTTGGTGGCGAGGTGCCGGTGGCGCCTGAGTAGGGAAGTGTGGATTATGGACTTCATTTCACTTGGCAGTAAGACTCTACGCCCGAAATTTTGGATGAAGTGTTTCGTCCACCTCTTGAGCACCGCATTTCGCACAAAGTGAGGGCCCTTGGTTATCCTTTTTCTTTTCGTGCATACTGAATCGTGGCCGGTCCATCGCCGTCCTCGTGGAAAAGAGGATAAATGGAAATGTTTGCTCACGAGGTCCAAATGCTACCGCGGCAGGCCTGATTTTTTCCCAACGACCACCTGTGGCTCAGTAAAAGCGCAGTTATTTAATATGGTCCACGTGAAAAAATGGTATGTATGTCGAGACTTGTCCCCGTTCTCTGACTGAATTCACAGTGTCATCCCTACCCAGATCAGCTCTCACGTCGGCATGGAAAGCCTCAGAAAGGCACATGAATTCCGTAGATCTTACAAGCGATGGGGTCGGAATTCCCAATACGTTATCCAAAAACTGTGGTTGTGGACTGCAGCGGGGCTTTTCTGATTGCCGTTGCGTTAACATCGGGCTGCCGGCTGTTGAGCAACTGTAAGGCGCCAATTGTCCTTACTCTCTTATATCGACCACTATACAGCACGTCGCTATGAAGGATGGACACAACACCCTCTGGTACACGCTCTAACCCACATCCCGCCGGCGATGAAGAAACCGAAGCAGTTGGTCACGAGTTATGGACAGAACACAAAGATGGGCTGCACCTGCAGCCAAACCTAAACTTGACCAGTTTGCAGGACCATGCGACGCAGCGGTTGACAAGTGGTGGCGGCCCAGATAACGAAGATCGTCCTCCACGCTACAATGTGACATCCGGACTCGGAGGCCCGCAGTCCAAGAGGTACCCCATCAATGGTCCGTGGGTCGAAGCTTTCGTGCGCCCCTCACAATTGAAGGGACATCTTGCCCTTCTCTGTGCTTTTCACGAGCTCAAGACGGCGGTGCAGCAAGGTAATGATGAGATGACACCCGCTCTCATACAGAAGATGGATCCAGCGGGGAGATGGGGATGGTTCGTGAACTTGGCTGTCGAACGGTGCGCCTAGTCTGGTCGAGTATGTCGTTCTGTTATGATGCTTATTTGTGCTGTGGATACAGAATCGAGCGCTGGTGTCTCACCCTCGAGGATAATGGCTCTGGTGATATGGTACATCTTCCCCCAAATGACGTCGTGATGGTATGGCACTCTTATTTGCTTAATTCTTAGTGAGTTTGTATCCGACTTCTGTCATCCCATTCTCATTGATGTCATTCTACTGAAGTAAGTACGCCGAGGATACTACACGTATAAGCCAACTCGGGCGTCTAGTGAAGTATACCGAGAAGATGGATGCGTTTCTTGTACGTCATCAAAAGAGGCGATGATGCCGTGGTGATCCTCATGCAGCGCGCTAGGGTTCTCCCGATCTTCTGACGACCGAGAATCCACCTCCAGAGCGTATCCAATGGTGGGAGCAACAGACTCGCACGCCATATGCGCCGGCCGACGCGATCGCTGAGCTGACGCACAAGTATGTTCAGTGTCCGCGATGCTTCGCTCAAGTCACTGTCCGTGAGTATAAGCCCATTTTTGCGTAGGGACTCGGAGAAGCACTCTGACACTGGTGACAGCGTTCGTTACTCCGCAGGGAACAGGCTATGCACAGAGCAAATTCAGTCACAAATGTGAGCGATGTGGCCATGAGGTTGACAACGCATCACTTGGCCTTGCCAAGCTCGTGTGGAATATCGTCGAGTCAAAATCTCCAGACAAATACCTTGCGTAAGGGAACCTCAATGGATATTTAACTGGCTATTGACGCTAGCTGCGCAGGAGAACTGTCATGACCCCTACTGCTATCAAGGACGAGGGGCTCGCAACGCGCATTAAGGACCGCGTTCTTGCTGCAAATCCGGTGCGACGGGTGCTCGACCCGGGAGCGCGACTCGCTAGACATGATGCCGAGTACTTCGCGCGTGAAATACTTCTGAATGTTAATTGGTCATCTCAAAATCTATACACTGCCATGAGCCCCCAGGTTTTACCTCGCATGTGCGTCTTCTTGTCTTCATTGAATGTACTCGTGGCTTACATTAGTAGGCGTACCCTCATATCAAGTGCCTACACAGACGATCGTGTTTTTTCGCTCGACCTTGTGGGTGCGGTGCTACGCCAAGGGTCGTTTATACAGAAGATGCACGACCTTGAATGGACAACGCCGGGTTTCTTTGACTATGGGGAGGACTACCTGGTGCTAGAGCATTGTGTTGCTCGATATCACGCGTAGGCTCAAAGCGACTTCATCCGGCCATGATATCTGATCGTGCATGTAGGTTCTTGGGACTCATGGCTGAGTCCCCAGAATTGTTCTTCGTGCCCACACTCGATATCGACCTCGCATGGCACACCCATCAACTCATGGCCACAACTTATCAGCAGAACTGCAGGAGATACATCAAGCGATATGTTGACCAGTGAATATCCACCCTTACTCATCCTCTGTGCGATCTAACAGCCCTTAACAGCGATGACAAGGTGGAAGAAAATAGCCTCGCCAACTCCTTCGATGACACATGTCGCGTATGGCAAGACAAATACCACGTGCCGTACATGCACTGCGGCTGCCCTCTCCCCGGCAACACCATTGGCCAGAAACTCAAGCGCCTCGTGAACCGAAAAGTGCCCCTGGAAGCAGAGGCGCCCGTGCCGGCCAACGCACCGCCTGCGCTTGCAGCCACGCATCCGAGCGACCATAATGCAGTTTTTCCCTTGCATCTCAGGGGTTCGAGCATGGTTTCGCGAAAGCGCCGCGAAGAGAAGTTCGCCCAACGCATGCAACGGGCGGCTCAGGGCAGCGACGGTAATACATTGACTCAGAAACGGGAGAGTGCACCCGAGCACTCACAGGCGTTCTTGTATCCCATGCCGATGTATTACCATATCCCAGACGGATGTGTTGCTGGCACGGGAAATGTGGTGACAGGCCCCAAAACAAGCTCGAGTGATTGTGCGATCTGTACACCCCTATTGTCACATTGTAATTCGATTCTGACCTGTTGTAAAACTGTAGGCTGGAGGATGCGTGGCTGTGTGTGCAGCTGGTACTGGGTTATGTGCGAGTGGCCCTAGCTGCGGCGGGAGCGTGTCATCATGTGGTGGGAGAAGCACGGGTAAGACTAGACCAGGAGGAGCTGAGGGAGCAAGAGCAGTGCGCGCAGGTGGTGGAGGATCAGGGCCGGTGCGCCGGAGCGGCAGAGGAACGGGGGCAGCGTACGGTGGTGGAGCGATAGGAGCAGCATTTGTAGGTGGCGCAGGAGGAATAGTGTGTGGGGGTAGCGGAGGAGCGGGGACGGCCTGCGGGGGCGGTGGTAGTTCAGGGGGCGGAGGCTGTGGTGGAGGTGGCGGAGGCGGGGGAGGTTGCGGCAGAGGAGGGGGAGGTTGAGATAGATGCGACAGCGGAAGTAGAGGAGGTTTTCAGTATACATAACCGTGGAATACATATCACTCGTCTACATCAGAAGCTTCTACTTGAATGAGCCTCCCGCAAACATTCGACTATTTCATGTAGCAGTCTTTGCGGAATAGACCACAGCTGTTTGAACTCCCTAATTCTGGATAATTGGCTCCAGTGCCGGATCTTGACCCGTTTCAATAAGAGTGACATTGGCAGCTTGGGTGATTTCACGATGCTGAGGATCCAGCTCGCATCGCTCGAGCGTCACAGACCCTGTCTCCGCAACACAGCCGACATGCCTCAATATAGCAGAGACCGAGGGCCCATCAAGGTCGCGTAAGTGGAGCCCGTGTACGGATATACAGGAAGGCGGCCATGTCATGGCCTTTGAGGACAGAAGCGGATCAAAAGCGACATCAGAGATGGACAGAGTCATGTTGGGCTTCACGAAATATCTGTGTAGCGCTTTGACGAAGGCGAGCGTAGAGAGGAATGAGCCATTAGCAGGCCGGTATCTGGTGATGTCGACTGTTTCGACGCGGTCACTTGGAAAATATAAACCGCAGTTGATCAGATGCACAAAGCTCTTCGCGTCGATCTGAAGGTGGGAAAGCTTAGAAAACTCGATATTGCCAATAAACAGTGGTGCGGGGTCATCTGCAATATGAGAATCAAGGTGGAGGGTGATGAGGAGCGACAGTGCGCGCGTGTCCAGGCCGTTGATAGCAATGATGGCAGATGAACGAAAGACGGTGCGGATCTTCAAAGACATGATACGGGGAAAGTATGGACGGAGTACTTCCAGAATTGTCTCGATGCGCGAATTCTCTTCGGCGGCGGTCATCCCAGCAATATCCGGGTTTCCTACGGAAATCTCTACAGCAAAAAGGTTGCCTCGGGAAGCATCGAAGAAGAGGTGAATGAATGCGGGAGTGAATGGAGAGGAATCATCAAGTCTAACGGCCAGGACTTTCCAGAACTCTGGATCCGGCGCTAACACCTCCATCCAGCGACGGCAGACATGAGGTAAAGCCAGCTTTCCGGTCAGAGTGAGAGTCTCCGCATAAGTCCTAATGGATTCAAGTTCGAAGGAGCCAAATGGTGACATCACGAGTTCAGTGCCGCTCGGACATTCGACTAGGTGGAGGATCACGTATAAGAGTTCTGTTGGCATTGACGTGATAGACGCGCTGGGCAATGTAGTATGACACAGATCTTCAGCGGGGATGCTCTCTATGTTGGCTTTGGGGTTCTTCTCTGTGTGTTCAGGACTCGTGTCATTCGTCATGTTACGGCTTGGAGATTGCAAGCACTTCGATTTCATATATTTTAATGCCATGAGTCTTGGAAATAGCATGAACAAGCTTACCTTTCACTTCTGTAAATCTTCGTTGGCGTTTAAGCGTAAGACGAGAGGGAAATCCAACTGAGGTTCCAAGCCCCGGCAGCGATGGATTTCAAGTTCAGCTCAAAAATTTCCTTCCGAGTTAGACGCGACGCGTGTGCTTTGTAATCTGTTCCTCGCTTATATCTTCACAGACACCGTGCATGCATGCAGGTCCATGGCAAGACACAAAGCTCTGCCATAGTATGCGACAAACCTCTAACGGCAGCCGACTTGCCGTTGCACATTGCAGTCGCCACTGTGTCACCAGGCTTGTGATCACCTGTACGGATGGCAGTTTGCAGTAAGCTGGAAATAAAGAGGATTTTCTTTGTACAGTGCGAAAAGTCTGGTGCCTGGACCTATGAATAGTCTAAAGCTCCCAAACATCACGGTTCCCAACGGTATGTCAGGCCGTGCCCCTTCATTTCCTCGAGCCACTCGCGGTCCTCCTTCTCCAGCATTGGCCCACCTTTGACCTCGACACATCTTATTCCTTCGTCACCCTCGTCATCGCTCTTCCTTCCCCTGAGTCTGAGCACTTCTACGAGTGCACGCGATGAGAAAGAGCATTTCGTGATCTTGAGTTTCTGGATACACGGGCAAAGCACATCGTTGTTGGGGTTCGGCAGCATTGCTGTGATTATGTCGTCAGTAAAACCCTTGCACGCTGTGACATTGAGCTCCATCCCCTCCCACTCCCTCAGCGCAGCCCGCACGTCGCCTGGGCTTTCTATGCGCCTGAGCTCAAGACAACGCCCGCTGACCGGGGTTCCGGGGGGCACGCTGCACCTCGTGATGCGGGTCCGTTCTGGGAACGGGTAAGAAAGGCTGTGGAAGATCGGCTTTAGAAACGCTGAGCCGACGCTCTCAAGCACCAGAGTCTCGATGCTCAAAACATCGTACAACGCCCAGTCAAGCAGTTCTTCCTCTTCTTCAAATGCGACATGTTGAACGTGTAAGGCCCGACGGCCCAACGGCATCCCTTGCAGTCGTTCAAGCGCAGAAATAAGCTGGCTAGGGCGGATGCCGGACCCGTCGAGGGGCAAGTAGTGCTGGATCACGCAGACAACAAAAACGTTCTCCTGCATGTGCTCCACCGTCTCGTCGTCGATGAAGGACGCGATGTTGATGATGCTCTTCGGGTCTGCGTATATCTGGAAGAAGTCCAGTTCTTCTTTGACAGGCTTGATGGGTATGAAAGGCAGATCCTCGGTCGTGTCCGTTACTATGGAGTTGAGCGTGAGCTCTTCGAGACTCGGCAGCGCTCTGCCCGCAATGCCGCGCATCGCACGGACGATGGAGGATCGGTAGGTGATCACGATTACCAGCCTGGTGCACTTGTCGAGACGCGGGGCGATATAGCCCATGACGAGGTCGATGCGCCGCTGCTCTTCTTCGATCGGGAGCATCGCGCCCTGCACGTTCCTATCGTAGGAAACAATGAAGGTGTCGCATTTGGACCGGGAGAGGTACTTGTCGATGACAAAGGGGGAGAACAGTGGGGAATCAAGCCTGATCACGATCTTGTCCTAGTACTCTGACTCCGAGGAAAGGAGGTCGAGCCAGTGACGGCAGACGTGCGCGACCGCGAAGGGGAAGAGTGCAGGGTCGAAATCACCGAGTGGGGGCGTCTCTCCCTGAGATTTTGAGTCGAGCCATACAAAGTGGAAAACATGTAGTAGAATCTCCGTAGGCAATGATGCAATGGATGTGCGCCCCACTCTGCTATCAAGCTTTGTGTCGTCAGCCTGAGCCGAATCTTCACGGTCACCGCCCTATCGTGATGATACGTGGGTAAGGCTATCCGGTAGAAATGCCCAAGAGCTGCTTACCATGTTGCTTCTCTTCTCAGATGTCAGCATAGAGCAGCAAGGAGAGTGTGCCCAAAAGCAACGCAGTGTGCTAGGAGTCTCGTCAGCGGCGAAAACAGATTCAATCAAGCGCCCATCTGACTCTTTTCCCACGGGTTTCGGAGTTGTTTTCCGGTTCTTCTCGTGTGTACCTCTTTCTCATCGAGCAACCTCATTCTCTCACCGTGCATCATGTCAAGCCGGACTTGAAACTAGGACTCCTGCTCTGAATTCTGCAGCGTTTCAAATCATTACCTGAGTAGAAGGTGTGATCTTCAAAATCTTGAATTTTCTGAGGTCATGTCCCTAATCGAGCCAACGTTGGGTTCAATACTCATTGTCTTATTATGAGGCAAGCCATAAAGGAATTGCGTGTACCATACCTCACTAAACAAGACAGATACTGTCAGTAGGTATACTAAGGCTACGAGTCCCTATCACTCAAGTCTATCGAAGATCGCGAAATTCGCGATGTACGCATCGGTTCCAGCTCTATAGTAGCCAAGGTATTCCGCCCTCGCCCTGTCTCTCGGCCGTGTTGAGTGCTCAAGTGTATCGTAGGTAGTAATGATGGAGCGTCCTCCCATGGCCGCGAGGTTGGCTGTAACGTCAGCTTACGGTGTTGCTTGGGTAGATTGAGAGTAATGCGCGACATCATCGTTACTGTCAAGCTATCAGACGTAACTCATCAGTGCGTGTTCAGCAAGCTCAGATCCGGGTCAGACTTGCTGTAGCTTTAATCTAAGCATTTATACCTGTCAGCCGTGAGAAAGAGGCAAAGGGCGGCGAGTACTGACTGCCCAAAGGTGTTCTTGAGCCCGTTCGGAGCCTTGATGATCATGATACCTTGCACGAGATTGACTGTCAAGACAACGCTGCGAACTATGGTTAGAATTATCCGTAAGACAATGATAAGAAGCACACATGTAATACATAAGCCCATCAAACGTAAGCGCGCGAGCAATAGTGCGCACATTCGTGTGCGGCATGAAAGGCAATGTCCGAGCAAGGATGGCTCCGATGACGAAACTGTCAAACGCCACCAACAACCATATGACTGCCGACGCGATTTCTCTGATAATATGCATTAGCAGGTGTCGGCAAAGTCTAAGACGATAATAAACCCACCCGCGAGTTATCTGCGAGCATGCTGGGTGTGGGATTAACGCTCGTCGTTATCAAGATTCTAGTTAGCTGCATACCGTATACAACTTGCGAATGCGGCGCCGCTGACATGAATCATAGCACGAGCTTTTCGAAGTTTGAGGATCAGGGTACGCACCATAAGCCGATGAGACCACGATGAGTCCGACGCAGAGCCAGGTGACGTAAATTGCTCCCCCTACTAACGCTACTACGTGATAGCCCTCGTAGAGAGCCGTCACTCTATCAATATGATCAGAACATGCTTGTTTGTGCCATGAGGTAGCGCATACCGCTTTAACATCATCAACCCTCCGATCACCAAGCCAAATGCTACCATGTAGCCCTCGTATCTCATAAAGGCTTTACATCTGAAATCACGTCAATTCAATGGTATCAGTATGTTGGGAACGTTGCTGACTCCTGAAGCCAGTAGTAGCTTAGTAACAAGAAATGGCTGCAAAGCTTGCGTTGGAAGACCTCACCGAATCCGTCAAGTTCGGGTGTAAGTAAGCTGCACAGATTTCAATAATACGGAACCAGGAAAACATCTTATCACTCACGATAAAAACACACGATGAAGCCGAGCGGAATTATGTAGCGGTTCTGTTTAGCAAATACGGAGCATGGTGAGACACGTAGGGGAGTGTTGGCAAGAACAGCCGTACTAGAAGGAAAAGGTACGACACTGATGCCGTATAAGTAGTGATTTTGCGTCTTGAAGAAGGCGACAAGACTCACTCAATGTCTTCCGCGGCTTCCAGATGAGCTCTATCTGAGCACGTTGGATGATGAGATCTCGAATTCGTCCAGATTTCCCCAAGACCTTGGATACCCACCTCATCTCCGAATGTGAGAAAATGATCCCATATCAGAATTGTGTAGCCCGCGAAAGCAACATACTGGCCGAACGTCAGAGAAGCAGAACAAGAAACCGTGGTTAACGCACAACAACGGCGTAGCTGATGCGAGTTCTGGTTTCAGCTCAGTAAGCAGAAGCGCAGACAACAGACTCACAATTCCTGTCTTTGCTCGACCTGGGCACCGTACGAATACGCCGGGGCCGCATCGAGTTTAGGGTCCCAGACATTTGGCGACATACCCTATGCTCGCAGCACGCTCGAGGGAGTTCACGGAGAAAAAAGAAGTGAACCCAACAAGCACCGACAAGAGCATGTCCAAAAAGGAGCTTCATTGGATTCCAGCGAGTGCACGTGATTCGCGGCGACCCACGCAACCACGACCCTGGACTGGCGACAATTTCAATGAGATCGTGTACGCTGAGGGAAACGCACTGTGATGAATGCTGAAATACATCGCCATATATTCTTGGAGAATATTAATGAACAGTCCCGGCCCACGTGTTGAATGTCTGAGGATAACGCCAGATCGCGAAAGTTTCAGTCTCAGTGCCCTGTTGGTTTGCATTAGTGGGACACGCAGAGCCTAGTCCTACGAGGAACCGCCTTACGATATAGACGCATAGATTTCTGCATTAGAAATCGTGACGGGTGACGTGCAATAGTCTCCGCCGCGCCGAAGTGAGCTAGCGAGCAACTCGAAGTTTGGAAGAGATTGCCGCGTCACTTCGGAGGGGTTCCGGTTATGGCCCGAGTTTCGAATTTAGACTCCGCTACGGATGAGGCCGAAGGTTCGCGTACTGTTGTAGAAATAACTTCCACGTCGATAGCCCTGGTGCACATTATGCGTGTTCGGCGTCGATCTTCGATAGGCAGCTATTGGCTGGGTCATAGGTGCTTCATACAAATTTCAAGGGAAAAGAGACGTTGAGCGGGCACCGGTGTACCAACTGCTATTCACTCGCGGCAAATTGAACGCCACCGTGACGTTTTGATCTCAGGGCCTAGCTCTACAGTTTGACGTTCCTGAGTGTGAATATGATAGGAGTACTGTCGAGGGATAGTATGTACATCAACATGGGGTCATGGAGGAGATAGGAATAAACTACTGTCTTCCAACCAACCCACTTTGGTGCCTATTGCTGGGCATTTGGTGAGACGAACAGGATGAAACAACGGATCGGGCCATGCAGAGGGTGCTGGAATTGCGATAATTGTATCAGATGTTAGAACATGCATAAGAACAGGAGTTTCGTAATACATTCGTCATTCAACATGCAAAGCGACAACAGTCCGAGAGAGTACACATTTTGCTAACGTTACAACGACCGATGAAGACAATGAAAGCGCCGATATGCAACTATCCATTCAGTACCCGACTTCTTCGCTTCATCCATCTGCGTGTCTGAGATATCGATAGGCAGATGTAATTCGCACCCGGCGTTTAGAGGACGGAGATGCGCTTCGGCGCCTGTTCAGCCGGAGTCTTCGGGAACGTGACGGTGAGTACACCATCCTGCATGTTCGCCTTGATATCTTCCTCCTGCACGTGTGGCGTCGGAGCCCATTCAACTTTGGCACGATATTGAACACGTACCTTGATTCCCTGACCGAGCCTGAGCGAACGCTCGAACTTACCGAACGACCGCTCCCGCACGGAATATCCGTCCTGCTCGCGGTCCGAGGAGACGTTCGTCTCGCCGGAGACGGTGAGGCGGTTGTTGTGCAGCTGGATGTTCACGTCTTCCTTCTTGAGCCCGGGAAGCTCAAAGGTAGCTGTGACGGTATCATTCTCTCCCTCGCGTATGTCCATCCTGCAGGAAATGAAAACGGTCAGAATGGAATGATCGATGTAGTAGAATTGAGGTGCTTACTTGGGACGGAAAGGCTGACGAGCGGCTACTTCGCGGTTTGCGTTCGCGTTACCACCCGAGAAACGAGTGAGGAATGCGTCGTCAAAGAAACGCTCAAGTTCAGAGAAGGGGTCATAAACACCGAGGGTAAGCGACATGTTTTGTGCGCACGAGGACAAGCAAAGTTTGTGAAGGAGATGAGTGGGAAACTGGCGCGCTGGAGATTGCTAATTGAGTTTCTGAAGGGACCTCACCCTGACATACCGCCTTTATATACGATTTACCGACAACTTATGTTTTCGTCGATGACGGGAGGAGGTGTACATTCTGGAACTTTCTTACTGAGAAATGACATCATGATGCGCGAAGGGCCTTGTCATTCGAAGCGGCCTGGAACCGTCTGGAAAGAGAATGCGCTACAATGTGGGTGTTGTTGCCTTAAAAGGGCAGCTACTTCTGCTGTGGTTTGCTTGGTTTGAACCTGAAGGGGAAATATCTTTAGGGGCGGTTTGAGGATATTCCAGCTCGTTCTCTGCCATGCTAGACCTTACCAAACGCATTGACAATAGGCGAAAGGCCACGGTGAGCATCTCTCATAATCAGCATCTCCAATTGCTACAGATATCTTGCTACCATGATAATACTACTTGAATTCAAGTACAGCTAGAACATATTCAGGCCGTTTGTCACGGGAATTGACCTCGACCGACTATGATCCCACAGTATCTCTATGTTTCATTCTAAGCTGTGGATACTGTGCTAACAAATCTCAGGGACGACATACAAACCATGTTGGGGCCCGTGATAGCTTCTTCGTGCTCCCTTCTGATGTCGAGCACCATCCACGGCCCGACCACTGCATAAAAGACAAATTCGACAGTGGCATACGTGGTCCAGTATAGACCCTCCGACTAACGTGGATGTCAGTAATGCTGCTTGGAACATCTAAGCAGCGGGGAGAGTAAACCAACCGAATGAACAGGCGGAAGTTCAGCTAAAAGCGGAACAGATAGGTCAAACAGCGCACTGACCGAGTCTCGATCAGGTTTTATGAACGTGGCATGGGGTAGTGAAAGTGCTCACACAGCAAGATAGATAAGGTTATCCCTGACCAGTGTCAATGCCAACGAACCGGTTGTGCCTGTCTTCAAGGACACACAATGCTCCTTGAGGCGCACGAATGCATAGTATAGCACCAAAACACCGAGAACAAATTCAAATATCAATGGGATGCCATATGATAGAGAGTTCACCCATTTCGAGGCCCCAGTTGACGTGGTACCCCAGAGCGGGCTATACTTCACAAACCAGACGATCGTAACGGCAAGCTTCGCACTTTGTGCCATTGCGAAGCTTATGCATAAGAATGCCCCTAGGGATCTTGATTTTCCGAAGAGCAAGTAAACTCTGTACGCCATCATTCCTATCCCCTCCGTCAGTATGTTTACGTTGTCATATTACGTAGTCGTGGGGGCAAACCTTGGAGCAGGAAAGTGATCACGTAGGTCAGAACGACATTCGAAACATAGAATATGTCATCTAAGATGTCTCCGCTTGTGAGTATCAACCTTTTCGTGACATCTGAAAGTGCTGCTGACTTACAGCTGCCAAGGGAAAGCAAGGAGAAGTACGGATTTAGAATCTCAACGGCCTGACAAGCGAGTAGATACGCACACCTAAGAACAATGTTGGTCAGTAATGGTATCACAGATATTGCCTTGTCACTCTGACAACCTACCATGGGCGTCATAGGGACATGTGCGGTCCACACTACCATGCCAGTTGAGAAAGAATACTCATGGAGGCGAAAGAACACCTACAGAGTTCTGTGCTGTGAATGTGCGTGCTGTGAACTACACGTTGAATTTAGTGGAGGATGCACGTACATTGCCCAGAAGGCTCCACCGTACCGAAGCTGGCCGACAGCTGATCAGTGCCCTTACATTATCTGATGATGCTTTTCGGACTTACAATAGCATACAAAATTGTCATCTTAGTGAAATTTTTACTCTGTCGCATTGTCAGGTTGTTAAAGCATCTCGTGTCATAGCACAAAAGGATCTTTACCCATATCAATTCAATCTGTGACCCGATTTAGTGGAGTGGCCGGCCTTAACAAGTCATAACATACCTCTTCCCCGATGTTTAGTACTGTGAATTCAAGAATCGTCAGTGATCATCGAAGCTGCATGTAATTGACTACTCACATAGGTCGAAAACCACAATTGTAAACCCTGAGACTGAAGTTAACAGCTTAGTATTCCAATACATCGAGCAAAAGATGAATGCCGCACCGGAAGAGAGATCAGAGTGAAATATCAAAGCCTGTGATGATGCGGTTGCGGACATAGCTCGATGATGACGAGGCTAAAAACCACCACGTTTATATCAGTACGGCCAGCACGAGCTTCACGACAGAGTGACGGACAAGCATCCCGCCTTCTGCCGGCCTATTCCATGGCCCTTAATTTCGGATACGCCCATCTCCGAAAGCAAGGCTCGGAGATGACATGAAACAAAGCATCGTCGCCTCAGTGAGAGCGTGCTCACGTATCTGCACTGCAGAGACACCGCATCCATAATTTATATATATGAACTCCTGCACAAGATAGTTTCTCCCGAAGTACAAGGGCTGGTGCACAGCTTTGAAGTCCGGTGTGCTACGCACGACGGGTGTGGCGCCCCGCTCTTTCACGTGCCTTTCCATGACTAGTGATTGATCCGCTGCTGGAACGTTGAATACACTGCACATATATGACTCAGGAGACTCCGGTGTATATCATAAAACGTTCTCTCGACCGAGAAAGGTGTAGCATGTTGATTAGAGAGCACCTTAATACAATCGACGATGTGTGATTCGGACAAGACTATCTATACAGTACATCATCCATTAGTTGAGAAGGTACATTTTTAGCGAACCGATTCAAAGACGGGGCCATATACGGTTCAAAGGAGTTATAAACATAGGCTATGCGAAGGGACCATGCAGAGTTTTATGCAGATGGACTGGTAATCTCTTCGTAATCAGTGGTAACTCTCAAGTTCGGACGTACAAACAGCGACATCTGTATATTGCTTGGCGCAGACTCCACAGGATCTCCGTATGCTTCCTTGCGCAGATCGAGCATCATCCACGGCCCTACTAGGCCGTAGAACACGTACTTGAGCGACGAGAACGTGATCCAGTACAGGCCCTTGGACTCCATGGCGGTAGGTAAGCTTCTGCTAGCTCTGGGGGAGATCATGTGGGCGGAACCAACTTACTGACTGGATCCAAGGTATCTCCTCGAGTGCAGTGATGAGGAGGATAAAAAACGCCCTAGATAACATAGAATAAAAACGACCATCAGCTTTATTCAAGCCAGAACGGATGAAGCCCGCCCACAGAAAAAAGTACACCAGGTTTCCCCGGACAAGCGTAGACACCACGCGGCCCATACGAAATCGTAGAGAGCCGTGGATTCTGGCTCCTTTGACGACGTGGAAAACGGCGAACAAGCACAAGATGAGCTCGAACGCGGCGAGCATCCCCGCCGACCATGGGATGAGCCACCTGCTCCACGATGGGAGCGAGCCCCACTGCACGCAGTCTCTGGCAACGTGTTCGTCGACGCGGGCTGAGAAAAACCGATAGTCAGTGCGCATGGTGGACGCTGGTCTGATGAGAGGTATTCACAAGATACTCCTGCGTATGCCGCTAAGAATAGGACGGCGTCTGCAAGCGAGACAGCTTGAGAGACGATGAACGTTGTGAGTAGAAAGACCAAGACTTTGCGCTGTGTGCCTAGGAGGGCCCACACCCGGATCGCCATCATTCCTAAACAGCTCAAAGAGATTTGCCTTGGTTAGAAGTTAGGATGCACGTAGAGATGTACCTTGCAAGAGGAAAGTCAAGACGTAGATAGAGACCTCTTCTACGATATACACTTGATAGCCTGCGACAATGAAACGTTAGTATTGGCAGGTAGCGCGCAGATCATGAACTTACACCTAACGTATTCACACAGATCAGCATCACTAGATGTTTTGCGAGGGAGACGAACGTTCTATCTCCAAAGCTTACCCCTGACAACGGAAAACATCATGAGATAAGCACGTGTGGCGTCAGGTTATCAGCTCCACGAGCACTCACATGTCCCGTTGATGGTACACCCATATTGAGGCCTTGCGAAGAAAAGTCAGCGTCTTACGAGAGATAATGAAAGCGACACGAACAGAAGTCTGATCTATAAAAAGACCCCGACGCGTGAGCGTCTCGGTCGATAAGGGAGCGTGCCATTCAACTCACATTGCCCAGAGAAGACCGACATAACGCAGCTGGAAGACAGAAGTAACTATCAGGAGACGTGGAAAGGATGGAGATAGCAGGCAGGGACATACCATAGCATAAACGACTGTCTTCAAGAAGTACTCTCGCGTCGATGATCGACGCCTCTACAAAGAAGATGGACGTGCTGCGGAACCGAGGGCAATTTATAGCTTACCCATACGAGGTCCACCTGCACGAGGGGACGAGGCTCAGTATGGCATCCTATTTTCAGACTGCTATTCGGTACGGACCTCAAGTCCAAAGTTAAGCACTAAGCCACGAAGATGATGAGCATGCAGAGGTGGACAGTGAATCAATGTTAAGCACTGACCTTGGTCAAAGACGACAACTGTTAGACCCGAGGCTAGATATGCGCACCCAATGTGAGAAAGCGAGCTCGAGATTTTCGAGGTACGAAGATCCCTCACCCATAGCATACGTCGCGGTGAACATATAGTACGTCTCCGCCGCCGCCGAAGACTCCTGGTCGCTGGACGACAGGGCCGACATGCCAGGCCAACTTGCAAGTAGCACACCGCAAGCAGGAAAATATAACCGGAGGCAGAGATATCGGGTGCTAGTGTCGGAGGTCGCCATCTGGCCTCGGTGGCTTGATATATATACCCTCCCTCGATCAGGCCATGCACGGACGTATTCGAGAACAGAAGCACTCCTTCTTCAAATGACAGCGACCACGCGACGGCTCAAAAGTACCACCGAGCGCTCGACGGTATCGATGGTGCCGTGCCGAGTCGCGGGACAAGGGTTCTCCCCGTCTCGGATCCCCGCGATACGAGTGGTCGATGGCGAGCCAGTGAGGTCGTGTGCTAAGACGGTTGCCAGATGCCGCATCGGCCGGCTGGCGATCTACTATCTACCATGGACCTGGGTGTTTGATGTTGCTTATCGTCGTCCAATCGAGTGTGTATGGACAGTCCCGGTCTGGGGCCCAAAGCCCAGCGGCTTGAACGTTACATATGATCGCCCTAGTCCGTGCTTGTTGCTTCGCGGGAGGGGAACGTTCCGTCTGGGAGGGAGCCCACGCCTAGCACTGTGTGGCCTGAGGCAGGAGTGAAGATGGACATGGCACTCGCCCCACCATTGGACACCTACAAACCGGGAATACAAAAAGAAGCCTGAGCTGTGGTCGTATGGTCGACAAAAAGAGTGCAGGATAGCAGTGATGTGATCCATATCCAATGCGACAAGGACGGGGCACAACATCATACAAGAAGGCCCCGCAGTGGGTTCAAGACGCGCGGGGGCCTCATTGGCGGCGGTAGCCACGTTCAGGGACCATCCCAAACTGAAGAACGTACTCCTCCACTGCCACCACGGTAACGGTGCGTGTGGATCTGGGTATGCAGTGCGGGGAACCGGTGTGCCTTGTGGGGAGCTATTAGTACTGTATAGCGGCGTAGTATCGCCAAATTCGAACTCGAAATCGGATATGGATAAACGGATACATAGCATACAGCACTGTACTCTAGATATCATAGAACATAATCAGCATCAAAGTCTGTCTGAATCCCGCAAACGAGGAAATAGACATAAGAGTCATCAAGAAACAGCGGTCATAAACCAACAACAAGGGTAAAACACGAAAAAGGATATCACAATCGACTCCAACCTCGAGTCCCGACTCTCTGAGCCAGGCAGTATTCGGATGGTATGTGTATGGTATATCCCTGAATACAGTATGTCATATTAGACGAGAGACGCAGAACATATCGACACATCACTTACAGAGAAACAGGAAAGCAGAATAACCCTCCAAGCTCCAAGTCCAACCCTATCCGCAGCGCTCAAACCCTCCGCTTCTTCCTCCCCCTCTGCCCCTCCCCCTCACTATCACTCACAACCTCCTCTGCAGCCGCCGCCGCCGCCGCCGCCGCCGCCACCGCCTTTTTGCCCTTCGCAGGGCTCGCAGGAATTTCAACGCTGAACCGCACCCTGCTCTCGGACCTCCCCCTTGTTCCTCCCTTCACGCGGCTCGCGGACTTAGCACTAGCCTTGACCTTAGTCTTCGAGGTTTTAGTCTCTTTAATACCCTTGTCCTCGTCCGAAGTCGACTCTTCCTCCTCCTCTTTCTGCGCAGTCTTCAACTTCGATTTTACGCTGACCTTCGACGCACCACCACTTGTGCCCGCGCGGGCAGCGGCGGCGGCAGCAACGTCCGCAGCAAGCGACGCAACGGCGACACCGCCCATGTCGCTCTTCCTCCGCGACGCCGGTTTCGCGCGCGCCGTAGCGCTCGCCTCCGAATCGGAGGCCAGCACGGTCGTAGCCGTCTTCGTGCGCGATACGCGCGCCTTTGACTTCGGCTTTGCTTCGGGGGCAGGCGGAGGTGGCGGCGCGGGTATGGGCGCGTGCGCGTCGACGTCCATCGCCGTGTTTTCTCCGTCTCCGATGTTGATGGCGGCAACTGAGGCCTTGCTCTTATCCTTCTTGGTTTTGCCCTTGCCCGGGGACGACGTGCGCGGCTTGGCCTTCGCCGCCTTCGCCTTCGGTTTCGGCTTAGACTCAGCGTCGGAAGCAACATGCGCAACAGACACCTCGGACTTGACGCGCTTGTGCGAAACGCTAGCACCGGACGCGCGCGGCTTTTTCTTCTTCGTCGAGGCGGAGCGCTTCACCGTGTCGGGCTCGGCACCGCTCTCCTCCGCCTCGGGCTCGTCTCCGTCTGGCAGCGGCGGTCCTTTCTCCTTCTCCTTCTCCTTCTCTTTCTCCTCTTCTTCGTCGTTGTCTTCTTCCGCCTCGGAAGACGACGCCTCTTTCATCGACACGCGTGCGCGCTTGCGCGACGTGCGCCCCCCGCCGTCCGCACTAGCCCCGGTGGTCCGGGACGCGCGCGACTCGGGCTTTGCCACGACGACGGCGGCCTTGGAGGAAGAGGGCAGCTGCGAGCGGATGCCATGGCAGTTGAGCCGGAGGCACGAGACGAGCTTATCGTTATGCACCGTCGAATCGGCGCGGAACCTCGCGCGTTTCGCGTCCGTCTACGCACACACAAAGAGAAAGAAAGGGAAGTAAATCAACACGGCGTACAAAACGCGATGAGCACAAGAACCGCGCACCGTATGTCTCCCCTCGTAACACCACCCGTCCGGCGGACCCTCGCTCCCGTCCCCGGGCGTCGTGCGCCCGCAGCACTCCCAGAGCGTCTCGTACGCGCCGCCGGGGAGGCGCTCGACGAGCGCGGTGCGGTCGTCGTGCGCGACGAAGCATGAGTGGTCCCCGTTCTCGACGTCGAAAAAGTCCTTGTGGCACCGTACGCAGTGCAGCGCCGGCGGGGGCCGCAGGCTACGGAAGAACCCCGCGAGCGCGGACGCCGTGCGCGGGGAGGGCGGGGGCGAGGTCGAAGGTACGATTTGCGAGGGGTGCGGGACAGTGGACGGGGTTGCGGTAACTGGAAGAGTGGTAGAGGTTGAGGCGGGTTGGTTGCGGGGTTTGAGGTGCGCGAGGGTGTATGCGTGGAGCGTCTTGGGCGGGATGGTGAGCATGAGCGTATACAGCGATCCTGCTTCTGCGGCTTCCTCTGGAGCGGGCGAGGGCGTGTTGGGCGGTAGGGCTGCGTTGCTATCGTCGTTGTTGGCGCTTTCCAGGTTGCTGGGCTGGGCGGAAGTAGACTGGCGCAGAGGAGAGCCTCTGAGGTTGCCAGTTGAGCTAGAGATGATGGAGGGCGAGGGCGTACGCAACTGCGTAGCCAGCACGTCTGCTGCGTCTGACGCTGAGGCCTGTTCTGAGGCCTTTGGGTCTGGAGTAGTGGGTGGAGGGACCCCTGAGAGGGTGTCGGTGGACTTGCGGCTGAAGAGGCCGAAGACCATGGTGGTGTGCTGGTAACGCGGCGATCGACGCGAGTTAGCGCAATGAAGCAGATGCAGAAGATCTTTACGCACGAGCGAGTGTTATATGTGAGTTTTGTTGGCCTCGAGGGAGGTGGAGGGCGTCGAGAGCAAGACACCACGCGCTGTCCACAGAAACGCGCGAACCGGCCCTTTTGGTCGTCAACACGTGTTTCGCGACCCTCGGAACATCCCGAGCTTTTGTTCGCCTCCTCTCCCTTCGCTCCCCCTTCAGTTTCTACCACTTCCACCAACAAACAAAACTGACATGAACGCGTCGCTCTTAGTCAGAGAATTGAATCTCAATCGAATTTAACAGTAGGAATACACTGGCAAGTTCCGCTTCATGAGCTAATAATCTTACCCTCGTGACCTCGGGTCTCAGCCACCCAAAACGTGGTCTTACAACACGCTCGATCAACGCGACGTCCTTCATCTCCCGACAAAAATGAAACGATCTGACGTTTGCGGACAGCTGCGGACCCACAACCTCCCGTCGAGGCAGTTCAGGGGTGCCCTTACAGCTCTCGAGGCCATCACAACATCGCGCATCGCCATCACGCCTCTGAATCACTCCCCGACCTTCAGTGCCCCCTTCCTTCTAGCCCAACCACCCAGATCATCAGGGAACAAAGGCATCCTCGGCGCCTCCACCAAACACGCATTGTCGTGCGCGAGCACAACGACCACACCCGGCTCCTCGCTCATCCGCGTGAGCAGCCCGACCGTGCGCGTCGCCTCCGCCACGTCCGCGTAGTTGTCCTTCGCCAGCGGGCGCGGCCCCGTTTCGCGGTGGCTCTCTGGGTCCTCGACGGTGCCTTGGTGCTGGGTGGGGACGTAGCATTGTCGGTCGTGGCATGTGTCTCCCGCGAGGAGGACGAAGGTTCCAGTTGATCCAGGGCCTGAGGCTGGTGCGGATGCGGAAGGGCCGACGCGCGCGAGCACGGCGAGGTGTCCTGGCATGTGCCCCGGCGCGTCGAGCAGGTACAGCGAGCCGTCCTCGTACATGTCGATCGCGCGCGGAAAGGAGCCGAGTGGGAAGGCTTTCCTACTGAGCACGCTCGGTTCTGAGTCGGCGGTCGTTGTCGTGGAATCGGAGTGGAAGTCAACGTAGACCCGCTTCAAGTTCGTCGGGAAAGGGTGGAGGAAGTCGCTGGTACCGGTGTCTGCGCCATCGACCATGTCCTTTGACTCGTGTCCGAAGGTGAGGACTGCATTGGTAAAGGGCGAAGGATCGCCGACGTGGTCAAAGTGCAGATGGCTACGCCAGAGTAGTTGTGCATGGAGGGTAGTGCACCATCAATCATAGCCCGTCCACATATACCACCCTTCGTGTAGAGAAACGCACCTATACACAATCCTCCTAATCTCCCCAGGCTCAACACCTCCGTCTCTCAACTGCTCCGCAACATCATTCGCACACTCCGCGAGCAGATCATCCGCATCAAACTGAGCACCCTTCGGGTACCCCTTCCCATCCTGCCAATGTCCATCGGTGAATAACCCGCAGGCTAAACTCGCGTCCAACTACGAGATGAAACGAGCCTGTGCACCCACCTTGCGCAGCCCAAGATCAAACAGCATCTTCCCCTCCCTCGGATGATCCACAAGAAACGCGAAACACGGGACATGCGAGCGCTGCTTCTGCCCCTCGTCGGGCGCTACATCGCCAAAGATGTCGCTGTGGAAGAGCTGGATGGAGCCGCCCCGGATCGCTGAGACGGTGACGTAGGTCTGAGAGGGCGCGTCGGGCGGCAGAGGCATGAAGTCAGAGGGAGAGGTGGCTGTCATGGTTGGAGGTCAAAAGAGGCTCGAGGCCACAGGATCTCGAGTTGACTGGTGATAGTCCGAGTCATGTTTCGTTTTCGCGGGAGCGACCGTCGTGCACGGGATATCGCATCTTGACAAGATGTCAACCGTGCCAAGTGCAGACCCAAGTTAGCGCCCAACTCCATCCACGCTTATCCGCAGGGAGAATGCGAAAGACGCCTAAGGCGTCCAGATAAATTAACCCACTAAACTCATAAAACAAAGCCACTGTGTAAAAGCGAACTAGAGAAAAAGCTAGAATTACTGCCACCAGTCTCAATCAATCAATTAACCAGTCAACCGATCAAAATCCTCCCCTCCACCAAATCCAACGCCCCACTCGAGTGACTCAACCAATCGCACCACGCTCCAGACAAACCAAACCCTCATCACCTCAGATCAATCTCAACCGTCGGCCCCACATCCTCATCCTCCTCATCCACGTTGTGCACAGAATCCCGCCTCTCCTTCTCCACCGGCGGCGGCGGCGGCACCTCCACGCTCGATGGGTTCAGCGCCACCGTGTCGATCTCGCCCTCCGCCGTCGGCGCGCGAATGTGCACAGAGGGTATCGGCAGTGACTGCACGGGCACATCATGCACGTCCGGCGCGTGGTGCAGTGCCGCGCCCCCGGCGCCGAAGTTCGTCGCGCCGGGCGGGGGCGGGGACTCGGAGGGCGGGGAGGGCATGTCGGGCGGGAACTTGAAGTTCCTGTCCATCGTCCCGTTGGAGCGGTGCCGCGACTGGGGCTGCGTGAGCGAGTCCGTTGCGGGGGGAGACGACGCGGCGGGGGTGGAGCCCTCGACGTCCGAGTGCTCGTGCTCCTCTGCTTCTTCGGGCGTCGCGCCGAACGTGGGCACCTTCGCGGCCGAGCTCGGCGGGGTGGGTGTGCCGGGTATGTTGGCGGGTTTCCCGTTCGTCGAGCTGTTGGAGTTCGAGGAGGCGAGAGATGGGGACTGGACGGGCATGGACATGCGCGATGCGCCTGTTTTGTGCAGGTTGCTCGAGGACGAGCCGGGGAGGGAGGACTGCGACATTGACTGTGGTCTGGTCGAGAACTTGGACACGGCGGGGGGCGTCACGCCGAGGTAGAAGCCCGCGATAGGAACCATCCTGCAACCCGGTCAGACACAGCACGATAACGAAAGCAAAAACATGAGGGCGCACTTCTTCTGCACTTGACACGTCAACAGCCACTGCGGCTGCACGACCGGTATACTCAGCTGCAGCGCCCGCTGATACTCCACACCCGGCCCACCGCTGCCCACCGCATTCACGTTCCCGCCAGACGCCTGCGCGCCCGCGGGCGTCACAGCAGGCGTCGTGCACACAAAGTGCGTCGTGTCGATCTCGATCTTGTCGCTCCACAGCCCGCCCATGTCCTCCAGCGCGTCCCTGGCCGCGGCGAACAGGTCGGGGTCGCCGACGGTGCCGAAGCACACGCGGATGCCGGACGTGTTCTCGATGGTGTGCGTGCGCACTTTGATGACGTTCGAGGGGAAGGTGCCGGCGGTGGTGCGCAGCACGAGCTGGAAGGTGTACTCGGTGTCGAGCGAGAGGCCGGAGAGCTTTGTGGACGTGTTGGTGTGCGCGTTGGGTATAGCGGAGAGGCGCTGTCCGTTTTTGTAGATGTCGAGCGAGCGCAGTTTGGCGGTTGCGAGCTCGATGGTGGGCCAGTGGAGGGCGACGGAGGTTTGGGTGGTGTTGCGGACCTGCGTGGACCAGACAAACATTTGTGAGTATACGTAAACAAGGAAAGTGTATTGGGCGCACCTCGAGTTGTGGGGCGGCGGGAGTCGCCTTCCCATATGTCTCCAGAATATCATGCTGCAGCGCCCAAAACTCTTGGTCCCGCTTCTTCTCTGCAGCAACGTTCTGGTGTACGGCGATGTTGACTATTGAGCCAGTTGTAGCTCCTGGTGGAAGTAACACAGAGGGAAACTCGATGAGATGAGCTCTGTCTCCCAGCAGGATCTTGATAGGAGGTTATGGTCAGAGAGTGTACACTCGGGACACCATGGACACGGCTGCGTACCGCCATCCCTGCATCTGGAGAAGGCCGCTGCCGTCAATGACAACCCTAGGTGTTTGTGAGCGATATGCTCACCAAGCTTTCCAACTGTGAACGTGAAGCTATCCGGGGTGCCCATAGCTGAAATTGCCCCTTGGGCTGGTGAATGGGAACGATGAGAAAGTGTGGAGGGGGCTTTTGTCCAACGCGAGTCGCGACGTGCACTGCGGGAATAGGATCATTGGTGGCTGTGCTCATCTGCCTTTTCCGGATGCAAGCCCCTATGGGTGCGTCAACTTTCGCATGCACTTTCTCTACCGCTATCTAGTCGGAGACAGCTTCTACTTTTATACGCCATCTAGAAAGATGGAAATAGTATTGGGTCTGCCTGTATCCGGAAAGATACCGATGGTACCGATGACGATGTTTGTTACACGTCTTCTTTCTAGTTCTCACCAATTTTTGCAATGTTTTGTTAGGAAATAAGACACGCGCGCGCCTCCGTTGCTCTCCGGCATTTAGACGGTAAGGGTGGGGAACACATCATTTTGGTACAACAATACATAAACAGGAAAATAGTAATGCAAGGACACAGGAAGCACAACGTCCCCATGTCAAGGAGTATGTAACAACCTGCTGGAAAGTTCGCTTGTATAGAAGCGTTGATGATGATGGCAGGCAAGTGCGTGTACAGTGAAATCTATGTGCGAGAATGCACGCCAAAACTCATACACGTTCAGAAAGTACCCCTTAATTGTAGATGGAGAGATTTGCGAGAGCCAGGCGCAGCCATGAGGTTGTATGCAAGCTTTTCCAACATTCCAATCAACATTCTCCGAGTCTTTGTTGGACGTCCTATATGATTTTAGGGTGTCTACCTAACACGGTGTTTCAAGCCTATAAGCATTTGGGATTCCCCTTTTCTCTCAAACTCTTTCAGTGCAAGTGTCGTGTCTTCGATCGCTTCTCGGAGCCAAAGGAACATGAGCTGAAAAACACGGCAGAACTAAAGTGGAACCGAACTTGAGTGTGCTAAGATGGGGTGCATGAAGTGGCATGAATATCTTCATATACTAGCTTCACCCATATGGCTCAGGCGTTAATAGAAACGCACCTTTGATTGCAGCTAGCTTTCTATTTTGCGTAGCTGTGTATGCGAAACTGTTGGGCACACAAATGCAGTAAATTGGTGTGCAGATATGCATATCACGGTCTAACATAGGGAATAGGTAATAAATGAATCGTAAATTGCAATTCGCAACGATGAGTTTGACGGGATGGGCACGGGCGCGCGAGGTGTAATGGTGGGGCGAGGTGTAGCGGCTGGAACAACATTCTGCACGAATTCAGCGCTTAACGTTGACTACAAACTACATTATAGCTTTTAAGTGGCCTGTTGTTGGATTACGTATCAATTCATCTGTGAAGGTCTCAGCGTAGAAGTTTAAAGCGGGAGGATCAAGCTGCCCTCAAGTTCAACGCAAGGGCCAAACAGAACCATACGAATAACGGTAAGAAGGTTAACTATACGGGAAATATACGGGAAACACTCAAGGGACACATGCAACGACCAATTGTAAAAGCAGAATTTATGTCTAATGACCCCATGTGTACCGTCAATACTGCAGCGGTTTCTGAAGTTGCTCAACACATTCAACGACCTCGAAATCACATCGCCTGATACTCCCCTTCCTCAGGTACAAGTGTAACACTGACAAAACGCAACGAGGTCATCTCGATATCGTATCTTTCTCCGATACCTGCGGCATGCTGCTTGCGCAAATTGAGTATAGCGCGGGGTCCGATCATAGTAAAAAGGAGGTATTGGATCGCGACGCTGATGTTGTTGCATACGAGAGACTGACAATAAAATGGTTGTTAAGCAAGTGAACGTCACGTGGAAACGGTGGAAACATTTACTTTTTGTAGTGTTGGTGCTTGCGATATTATCATTATGGCCGAAAGAAAGGCGTTTCTATAGTGTAGTGAGCAGGACATCGCTCAGTGGCACAGGAGAAAAATGACTAACGCGATAAAGTACAAGAAATTATCCCTTAGCATGATTGTCGCCATTATACCGAGGGTACGCCTAGGCTGGCGCCACTGATATGATCCCGTCCGCAAGCGCTTCAAGCCATAATATAGTACAGCCAATCCCAGCATGATTTCGTACGCGAGCATTGTGGCATACGACATTGGCAGTAGGATGTTTAGTGTTAGCTGTCCCATGTGGGGATTCAAAGCGAACAAGTCATTGCAGTACTCGTAACCTAGGACATCAACATCCGCTGTTGTAATAGTCAGAGTATTCGCTTTGAGAATCATCATATGCGCGTTACTCACAGATGTATCCAGCAGTAGCAGCGACGTAAAGCACGGTTGCAATGATACTGGTGCCCTGGGCAACAACAAAGCCTGTGAGGAGAGAAATTGAGGCCCAGATGTGCATGCGTGTAACTCCAACGAGAAGCAGATACACTCGAAGAGCCATCATTCCTCGTGTGCTCTCAGTAATAGATGCATGACTATAAATGAGACGGCTTGCCTTGAAGCAGAAAGAGAACAGTAGTTTCCGAGGCTTCTAGTGTGAGACAAAGCCAGAAGCCTACCAAGAGTGTGACGGGCGGGGCAATACAAATGTACAGTAAACTTACAGCTACAAGTCGAGCATGAGAACCCGACAATCGGAAGTTAAATATCATGTTAAAGGGGCGTACGCCTAAAGATGTCTCTGAGCGAACTGTGAATAATCTCAGGGTTCAACCACTCACTTTCGCAGGCATAGGTACTTCTAGGGTATATACTAATCGATTTTAGATAGGGCGATAAGCCTCGCATAGATGGATGGATATTACTTACATAAGATTGAGCTTTATGGATATCAGTTTTCGTCAAGTCGATTTTGTCGATGTAAGTACTTACATGGCCCAAGTTATACCGAGATATCGGAGCTGTAGACATGTGATCTTAGCAAGCAACATCGTCTAAAAGGATTGCCAGTTTTCCCGAGCGCACCAGGCAATACACGAGTGTCAATCTCGAAAACTTCTTACCCTGACATTGTCTCAGTAGCTTCTCAGCGAGGTGACATCTTCCACTTACCCATATAAATTCAACCTAGGTGTAATCAGATATTTTACATCATCGCACCGGCACTAAACCATTACCTCAAGCCCGAAATCCAGCACTGCGAAGTGAGGGTAAGACTAATGGGGAGAGGAGGGCGATCTCAACTTACAATACTGATAAGTCATCAATACAGTCATAGCAGCTTGAAGGCAGCTCAGGCTCGCAATAAGCACAAAAATGAAGTTATAATAGCTTACTCATAACATACACAGTCGAGAGCTGCGACTTCAGCACAGATAATTGCGTGGATAGGCTTGTTTCCGACATATTCCGAGGAGACGAGAGAGCGCGGGCTGAATGACACGAGTACCCAGATCTTTATACCCGTCGTGACCGACATTTTAGCCCATCGGCGCTAGGACCCCCCCAAGAAGCCCCGTTACCTGTTGGAATTATGTTCACCCTGCCTATCTTTGCTCCATAGAGTAAAATTAGGCGCACATGCTCGGTGTACGCGCCCATGATAGGACGGTGGCAAAAAAATGGAGGTCCCGGGCTCCACAACGCGTTTCAGGCTAATTATGGCTAGGCGGGCCTGCAGATCGCCGGCGCTGCCAAGCACACCAGGAATAGGTTTCCGCAGCTTTTATAGCGCGCAAAGGTCAAAGTTACGACGCGTTTCGCATCCACGGAACTTTCTCCAAGTGCTAGAGCACTAGGGGTCGACCGTGAGGTGAAAATCACCTGGTACCTCCACCTCAGAATGAGGTGAATGTTAGGTGAAGATCACCTCAGACCAAGGTGAACGTACCTGAAAACCAGGTGATGTATCAGGTGAATGCTTCAGGTGAAGATCACCTAAAAACTGCCAGTTTCACCTGAGTCGCTGGCAGGGGCAAATCAGGTGATATCACCTTGGTATCGGGTTAGTATCACCTTTCCTATGGAGTATCTTTCTCTTGCTTGCACGCCTTCACTCATTGAACCGTACAATGACCAGTAATAGCTCTTTGGATCTTATTTAGCAGTGGGTGGAACGAATACATTATATCTAACAAGGTGCTATAAGAACTGTAAATTGCCCCGGCCATCTACAGCACTGGTGTGAGCGGTGCGAGCTATAGCAGGGCTGGCATCGCTGAAATGAGGACTAGTAAGTCAGGCGAACTTACCACATCGTATCGTAGCTCGTGAGCAGGGAAGCGCAAAAGAGTATGTGACCGGGACCGCAAACTGAAACAGACGTTGAAGCTGGTGATGCTAAAGAGCGTTGGCGAGTGAGGAAATGAGATGAGAGGCAATACGTGCTATCTGCATGCGGCGGGTGACCCCTACCTCGGTGTGGAGGAAGCGGGACTTGGTTCTGAGACTGTTAATCTGTAACTTCCTGGCCAGGAAAGTGCACTATAATCGGTGCTACGCGCCTAGAAGGGACGGCAGCCCATCAGCTCTTGGAGATGCTTAAAGTTGTGACATAGACCGTGAAATAAGCGCGGGACAGACCGGTAAAAGGTGAACGTGCGCACAAGGCAGGCAAGCAGGGTAGCCATGAACGAGTAGCTGAGATTGACGGTGGACAAGAACGTATTGCTGGTGGTAGAGACGAGGGAGGGGACCCGGGGTACTGTACATATAGCTCTGAGAGTGCCGCAGATAGCCTTCAAGAGGAAGCTGCGGGGCACGAGGACGGAGGATAAGAGGTCGAGAAAGCTGAGAAATCTAGATGCGGCGACAAAATCAGTCAGCAGCGACTAGTAGCATTATTAACAGACGTACCAAGGAAGAAGACCAATACTAAACCAGGTTATGCGCCCATTGCCATCCTCATACTCCTTGCATAATTTCTGCTCAACCCCAAGAGCGGCATCCAATCTCACTGTTCGCATTGGCGGGTGCAATGAGTACGCCGGCTAGTACTGGGAATATGTGGGGTGGAGTACTGGTATTATCATGAATGAGAGGTGCTTGAAGTGCTACTCGAGATCGATGTCGGGCTCCGAGTAGTTCATTGGATGATTAAGCATCAGCGAACCTGCTATGGAGCCGGAAGAAGACAATGTCAGTGAGCTGCCCGCAGTAAGCAATGACATGGGAGTTATGAGAGCAATGAGAAATGGGCACCTCACCTGGACACGGCTAAGGGCGTACGGCTTTGCGAGAGTGGTCGGGAGCTGGTCTTCAGGCCTTCAGGAAGAGACAGAGTGCAGCCCGTTACGCGCACAGTAGATGTTTGCTCTTGTTTGGCTGCATGCTCCACCCTTCGCCACTTTTAATCACCTGAAAATCACCTTCACCTACCTTCACCTGACAAGCAGGTGAATGGTGCGAATCACCTACTTTTGAGGTGAAGACCACCTCTTTCTATTCTCATAGTGGAGGGCGTGTCGTAGGTGCAGGGGATCATAGTCTGCAAGCGACTCGGAGGGGTGTAGCTCACGAGAAAGCGATTGCATCCGAAGCACCGGTCATCACAGTAGTAGCAACAATATATCCCAGGTACGCATGCATGATCAAGTGGGCAGAACGGTAACTTGAAGGTCGAGGAAACCAACGCCTGGACGAGAGACGAAGGCTGGCGAGTGTTCTTTGCAATGTGTTTTCCCAGATGCGTGGGAGCTGTGGTTTCCAACGAGCTTAGAGGCTGGTTTCCGCGGTAAACTTCCAGATAACGTGTCACCGAAGGCATGAGCTGAGGGCAGATCTGAGAGATGGTGTTGAAATGGCGCATCGTGAATGCATCGGTGAAGCTTTGAAGTGAGGTGGGCAGCAGACGGCAACAAGCGCCGAACAAGCGCCGAACAGCGGTTTTCCGCTCTCCGCTGGGTATAAGCGAATTCCCACGTTCGCATTTCTCCTTCTTTTCAAAGGTCTCCCCGTAGTACACACCATCTCCAAGCAACTTACCTGCTTTTGACTTCACACACTGTCCGCTCGTAGAGCTGTCGCTTCAAGGTGCGGCAGAATTACGTCGTCTATCGATATGGAAGTGGCACCTTGAACTTGATCATCGCATAAAACCACATAACCTCTTTGAAGTGTCTATGATTTGTGAGCACTGCTCATATATATGAGTAAATTTAGGGCCAAAACGATGCCCATATCTTGCGAGGCTATGCAGAGGCTATGTCTCTTTGCTATACTCCAATCACTACACGGCCAGAGCTACAATCTAATTTTGAAGTAAATGGGTGTTCGGGCTCAGAATAAGATTGATGTCGGACTGTGAATCGTAAGAAATGAATGGACGCCAAAGTAAACGGGCCCAATTGGCTCCGAATTGGATTCGCGTTGAACGTCACGCTCATTGACGCGTCCATTCAACTCAGAGCTGAAATCACCTTCAACGCAGAAGCAAAGCAGCGATGAACAAGCTCAAAAAGCTAGCAAAGGTTTGTTTATTGTTGTCACGTCTTTTTCGCCTCCGTCTCTCACCCTCCTTGTCTCTCACCTCCCTTGTCTCTCACATTGTCTCCCAGCCCTTCGTTTGCGGTGCGTTCAGCGCCCCTCGCTGCCATCCTATGTCTGCCAATAACAGGCTGGACGAGCACACGGACTCGAAAGGTGAGCATCTATGGTGAAAATCACACGCATGCCATCAAGGCTCACCTGTGTAATATGTCTCCCCTCATCCCTCAGTCTTCGTCCCTTCCCCTTTCCAGTCTGGCTTCACGGCTCGGGCATCCATACAGGCAGATAAAAGGCTAACGTTGAGAGGCTTGCCCAGCTCTGCGAGGATGCGAATGTACGACTTGTAGCCACTTATGACCTCAACAACGGCCAGAAGGTACGGTTTTGCTTGGCCTCATCTAATTACAGTTTCTGACTTGTTGAAGGCAAACATCTGTCTCTGCTCGCACGAGCTCAAATTGACTCCCAGTCGAGTGGATTACATGAGGTTCCACAAAGCCTTATTTGTACGTTCTTTGCACCACATGCCAGAAGTGCTCTTATCGACCTTGTATAGGAGTATCTTCGCGCCAACAAGGCACACCTCGAATTCGAGGATGTCTTTGGAAATCCGGCACGCGAAACCCTCCTTAAGACTGGATGCGGCCATGCTGCGAGATGCTGCGTCACAGAGCCGCACGCGCACTCGTGGTCTGGTGAGTGCTTCGCTTTTATCAGGTTTCAATGATCTAAGTTGTTTGTAGACCATTGAGTTAGTGAACAAGAAAAACCGCGTATCTCTTGAAGACGGTCTCTGAAGGCAGAGTGCGGCCAGAGTTCCAGTCTCACTTTGCACTGCTTGTGAGTTCTCTCGCACATGCATTCGTTCTCTGGTGAGCCCGGGTCATCTGGATCTCGCTGCGCTACTCTGGGAGCCAGGAGTCTGTTAGTTTCTTAAGTAACAGTATTCTACTGCTTGCAAGCACAAATAACAATGTTTTCTGTACCCCCAATGTGACGTTTGAAAGCTTTCGGAACGAATCGGGAGGCAACCGGGAAGATCAGCGAGCTCTCGGGCTCAATGTGACTCCCCAAAAATGGACGACAAGCTGTGACAGGTGTTTTGGCTCTGAGGCAATTGAATTTGGCTCACAAATGCACGAGTTTCATCCTGGCTCCGAGTCAGGCGCGCATTTATAGCTCCAGTCCAAAACGAATTGGCGCAGCGTTAGGTATGGCATTTTCAACTTAGAATTAGATTCACCCTCTGCCCGTGTACGGTAGCGTTTGATTAGCCTACTCAAAACCTGCTGCCTGTATACAATTAAAGGCCGACTCCGAATACTTATAGCATCGAAAAAGCAAAGTCAGCTTCTATGAAGCGATGGAAGATAACTCCATTTCTCCGCGAGGCGAGCCAGGCTGCTTTTTCCTCCGAGAGAAAAGCAAAGAGCAATTGCAAAAACAAAGCACCTCCGCGATTAGTGGATAACGCTCTTCCGAGCTGGCCGAGTCCGAGGTGGTAGGGGACACGTCTCTGTCGATGGCGACTGTGTCTCCACCGGGTAGCCTTCCGGGAGTATCCCCGCTTGCCATAACGCGCTATCGTACTCGTGTTAGATATACATTGACGTGTTGAGTGAAATAGTACCTGGCTACCATATGCAGGAAAAACGATTGCTGTGCGACGCCAGGTATAGCGGGAGAAGGTTCGTATATGATTCGTTGGCCCCTCTCCTTCATTACCATGTTCTCCTTCGGAATCCTCCCGTTGAACCCTTGAGGTACGGTAGCTCTTATAGAGTACAACATGATGAGTATGCGACGTACGAATCGGTGCATGCTTCGTGCTCACCGTAGCTTGTCTCATAATTCTTGTTAGATTAGCCCATTGATTACGGGGTGTTGCGCCTTCTAAGTCAAGTCGCTGATGTGGGATTTAGCGCAAGATGTTTGAGTGAAAGGTCTAAAGAAGCACCCACGTTTGCGTCCACGCCATCTCGAGGTCTCTGAATACGTCCCCGCAACCAGACAAAAGGATATACAACAACGTCAGTCAAACTACCTCGTCCAGGATTCTGCGAGACATGCTGCGAAGTTTCTTCTGGAGCATGTAGATGCTGCATACTCTGTTGTCGACAATAAATTCTGGTGGATGCGTCGATAGAAAGATTGGGCTTACATCGTCGGCATCGTCGAAGAAATTGGCTTCATTTCGATTATCGCTCCTTCTCGTAACAACCGCTGGCCGCTGTCAAAGGACGTTCAATATTGATGGAATTCTTTTCAAAGCAACAGACCCTCACGTTCATAAAACTTTCGAGGCTATCGCAGGACCCTGATGTCTAGTACCCTTGCATGAGTCATGGATATAACCTGATGAAAAGTAGGGTATTACCGGTAAAGTCGAGACGTTGGGTGTTTGTGCAGGACGTCTATTTGTGCTCGTGTCCTGCTCGTTTTTCGAGCTTCCTTGGGAGGGCGTTGTCTGGGAAACCTAGTAGCACACGTCAGGTCAGGGAAAGTGAGGCACCCAAAGACAAGCTACCTGTGACTCTGATGGTTGGGCATCGAGGGCATGTGCTTCGGGTATACGGTCGCTATTTTCCTAATCTTAATCCATCAATGGACGATGCGACTTCGGTAATTATGATGCTTACCCTGACGCCATCTATGTTCTGAAGAATCCAGCAGTTAGAATGATTGCATATGCAGAAATATGGGCAGTTACTTCGATTACGGAGAGGTTGTGGCTTTCCTGTGGAGGGTTGACACCGGCGTCGTTTCCAGCGAAGCGACGGAAAGCGCGGTTTAGATTGGACAGATATCCTCTTCCAGTCTTCTCGGCTATTGACTATATTTGCGCTACATCAGCAATGGAGGTAGGCGGGGACGTGGAACATATAACCATGAGCTCGGAAGAGCCAGTTTCTCCGCTACGTATGCGATTGACAAGTCTCTGGGTCGATGAAACCTTTAGCAAGATACTGATAACGAACTCTAATCCACAACCTTTGGCAGTAATAGCCGCCCAGAATCCGCATCCCAAAGGTATAGTTCGCCGTCTTCGGATCCACTCACAATCCGGCTTCCGTCCGAAGAGAATGCTGCTGTAACAATAAAGCTATCGTGCTGAAGAGACTGAAGAAGCGTCCCTGCTCTGGCATCCCAAACGCGGACCCTCCTGTCAGCTGATACAGTCAGGATCTTCTGCCCGCCCGCTGCGAATCCAACACGGTGAACGGTACTTTCATGCCTGAGAACGTGAACTTGCTCTCTGCGCGAGATGTTCCATAAGTAAGCCGCATTGTCGCTCGATCCACTCAGCAGCTGTGAGCCATCGGGGGACAAGCAAACAGATGTCAACGTGCGCTGGTAGACAAGAGAGATAGGACTGCTTAGAGGTCTGTTAGTTAGGAGGTCCCAGATGGAGACTGTCCTGTCGTTAGATTCCGGGCCACTTGCTAGGCGGGATCCATCAACGGAGATGCTAAGCGAGCATGTGTGCCGGTTATGTTCTTCGAGTTGAAAAACGTGCAGGGGTTCACCGCTGTCCACATGCCATATGCGCACCGTTTTGTCATATCCCGCACTGGCTATCCTCATGCCGTCTGGAGTGAAGATTATAGCCAAGACGGATCCAGAATGCCCACGGAGAGGCTGCAAAGCCAGCTCTTCCCGTTGGAGGTCCCATATGCAGATGATCCCATCGCTCCCGGCGCTGGCGAGAAGCGTGTCGTTTCTTGAGATGTCTAGACCGCTGACTTCATCTTCATGCTGCACGAGAGGGTTTGCGGACTCGGTTCCTGTCTCCGCATCCCAGATCCTAACGACGCAGTCGTCGCCTGCGCTCGCGATGCGTCGGCAGTCTGAGAACCACGCTACCGCTCTAACAGAGCCATATGCCTTTAGTCTGCTTGGTTCAGCTTCAAGTCACGGAGAAAAGCCATAAGTCTTACTCGTATTTCTCGGCGATTTTGGTAGTATCCTCCGCTGCTGCATGCTAAGATATATGTCAGTCACAGGTTTGTATTGCTTCAATTAGGGTGCTTACTCGTGGTATCACGAGGTCTCCATCTTGCGTCCTCCAGACACGCACATCACCGGAGCCGCAGGATGCAAAATGCCTTCGGTCTGGAGAGCAGATCACTGTTGTGACTGGACCACCATGCCCGTACAGCGGCCCTACGATGCATTCGCCTGACAGAGCGTCCCATACCCGTATGGACTCGTCGTCCGAAGAGCTAACTAGCTGCTTATTGTCGTACGAGAACGAGATACCGGTGACGTAGTGTCTGTGTCCACGGAGAACCCTCAACAGATCGCCTGTTTGGGCGTCCCAAAGTCGAATGGTGTGGTCATTTGAAGCGCTGGCGAGAAGAGACCCATCATGTGAATATCGGATGCTTCGAACGAAGGCCCTATGTCCGATGAGCTCAAACACGAGCTCCCCCTGCTGTACATCATAGACTCGAACGAGCCAATCATGACAACCAGTAGTGACACGTTTACCACTAGGGGAGAATGCGACGGAGTTGATGCGGCCGGGGTGGTTCAAAAACGCTATGCACTTGCCCGTAAGGGCCTCCCAGAGACACAAAATGCCATCGCTATCACCGCTTGCGGTGAGTGCGCCGTCCGGAGAGTACTGCACAGATAGAATCCCCCCGTGCGTTTCCCTCGTAAACAGCCGCGGGACCGTCTGATGCGTCGCCGTGTCCCACATCCGGAGGGTGCCGTCGTACGAGCTGCTGATCAAGTGCTGTCCATCGGGGGAGTAGGCAACGGCGCTGATCCCACTTGTATGCTTTCGGAGCGCCTCGCCTACTTGATGACCTGTTCCTGCATCCCATACCCGTATCGTCCCATCGAGAGAGCCGGTAGCAAGTAATGAGCCGTCCGGAGAGTAGGCAAGAGCGGTGACACTGCCGGAATGGCCCTCGAAGGGCTGGAAGCCAATGCTCGTTTCCATCGTCTGCTTGCAAAGTGGCGGCGGGTTGGTGTGGGAACACTGTGTGATTCCTCGAGCAGTGGTTAGCTATGCTAAGGGACAAGGCAGAAAGATGGCTCATCAGAGCTATTATCCACGAGGCGAGAGCAGGCGCAGAGAGCACGATTCCCGCGATTGTCTTGGTTGTGGGTCCATGTGTAACCCGCGCTAAGTTTGCGGTAGATCCCGCTCGCTAGAAAAAAAAGGCTCGATTAATCGTGACTATCGTCAATATGTCGCGCTACAGTTTTGGTTTATCCAGGCTACTCGTCACTTCACGAAAGAGGAGGAAGTAACAGAAGGGAAAACATAGCTTTGGCTAGAAGTGCAAGCATTCGCGGAATTCCAGGAGCAAAAAACATATGTCGGGCCGCTCTGCCCCACGTAAGCGCCTCCGGTTTGATCCGACGACAGGACATAGGGGGATAAAACGAGAAAGGAAACTAATATGAGAAACAAACGTAAATAAAATAACCTTTTCGACTCACGACATCTCTTTCTCTTTTTGTTGTCTTTCCAGACAATTCTAGACTTCGCTTCGCATGGCCCGCCCCTTTGAGCATCATGATATCACTCCTCCCGCTGGTAGAATATGCTGGAACGTATTCCACGACGATATCCTCATCATCGTCGAACGCATTCGTCGTCGTTGGCCGTGGATATAAGGGCAAGTTATCAAGCAAGGTCGCCCCAGAAACACTCAGTGATCTCCGGTACAGCCCTCTGCGACTCAGATCTTCGAAAAACTGCCCTCGCTTCTCATCTCGAAACACAACATGTCTCTCACTCGCGGCGTCTACGACCCCTTCTCCGAGTTCGAGCGCTTCTTTGACGACGCGTTTCTCACTCGTTTCTCGGGAGGTAATGCGAATGCAAACCGCGAAGTTGCGGCTCGTCAGCCTTTCCGGCCCAAGTAAGCACGCTCCTTGCTCTGACCTCGTCACTTGATCTAATGGCTACACCAGGATGGACATTCGCGAAGGCGAAAACAACACCATCACCGCCACCTTCGAGCTACCCGGGCTCAAGAAGGAAGATGTAAATATTCAGCTGCACAACAGCCGCCTCACCGTCTCCGGTGAGACAAACGCCTCTGCTGAGCGCGAGAAGGACAGGTTCTCTGTGCGTGAGCGCTCGTTCGGCAAATTTGAGCGCTCTCTCGGGCTGGGTCAGGGAGTCAAGGTACGTCTTCGATCTTTCGTTAATAGTTAATAGGTTCTGATATTACGCACACAGGAAGGAGATATTAAGGCGAGCATGCAGGACGGTGTCCTTACCATCACGTTCCCAAAGGCTGCTGCGGAGCAAGCGCCTAAGCGCATTTCCGTCCTCTAAATGACCCTTCCGAGTACATGGGCGACTTCAACGGGCAGACGTGAACTAATCATTTTACAGTTAATCCCAAGCTTCAGTGCTATTTTCATCAAATAGTTGTTGGTTTGCGTAGTTCTCATGACATTTGTATACACGTGTTTCTCTCTCGGAGTGTGTTGATAGGAATGTATGGCATTGCTCATCACAAGGTTACTCATAACCCGTACGAATTCGAATGTTTTCAAACTTGCGATGACGATCGTAGCCACACTCTCGTGTACTCCTCAACTTGATACTTCCGATATGCTCGCCAGCTTACACAGCGCGTCCGAACAACAAGGTTCGCACTTGATCCGTCTTAATCGATGGTTACTCAGACAAAGATGGGTCTCAGTATCAGGTGCCGTAATGCACGAAGCTTCACGCTGGCGTTCAGCGTGCTAGGATCGTGTGATGGCAGATACGGCATTTGCTCAGAGTTGGAAAGTTTTTTGTTCGTCATACAAGGACAACATTCACTCGCTATATTCTTTCAATTTGAGTGACTTGAATATTTACGCTACACACGTTTAATGGTTAAATGGCTAACGTTTTAGAGACGGTACATTTGAAGGGTTGAAGGTGGTCCAGGGAGCTTGCACTATGTACTAGTGCGAAGTTCTGAGACATGTATGTGCGACAGAGAGGACAAAGAGAACTAAGCAAGAAGCTACCATACAGTGCTTGTTATTTACCGACGAATCCACAACACAGGTTGACTTGTTCAAATATCGATCCATCAGGAAATCGGGACGGAAAGGTGCTTTTGTTATGTCGTGTTTGCCGTCGTATCCTCAAAGGGGAAGAACTCCGCTCTTCCAGCCGTCCTCCACGTTGCGCCCCAGTTGCGCCCTGTTGATCACAAGACCCCAGCACAAACAACGTCCTCCATACGGATATCAGGAAATCAAGCAAGAGGAAAATGAGATGCGCTCAACGACAACAGCCTTAACGTGCCATTCCTCTGTATGGCTGTGAACGGGAGGAACGTTCACAGCGTTCCTAATCCCACAATCCAAAAGGTGGTATGCCACAACCTCACTGGCACGCCCTGTCGTCAACAGTATGCCTAGGCCCCAGCTACACTATGCTGGCGACGCCAATCAGCGTCAAGCTACGTTGCTTTTTTCACATTAATCTGGGGTCGGCACTTATCGGCACCCTGTCGCCTCCGAGAGGCGTTGTAGTGTGCACTAGGGTGTACAATATTTCAGAGTATTTCCAGCTCGATCCATGAGTCACTGTGTCAACTGATGCCTCCCCAGGAACATCGAGAGTGGGGCCCCACCCGCGAGCTCCACGCTTGACTAACTTCTTATTATTATCATCCCATGAAATTGACTGCCCCATTCCGGCTTGCTTTCTACTCCCCGATTAGAGTTTTCAGACACATCTAGAACCAGGTAACCTCATAGCGCCAAGCTAATCAACTGGAAGACACGATGGATCGGGCAAGGACGAGCGCAGCACGACCCCGGTGGGGAAGGACATCATTCCTCGGACATGTCCGTTGATGGTTGCGCAACTCGCAATATAATAAACCGCCTCAGAATGCGATGCGACCGAGCCTCCAATACATCCTTTAATTTCCTTCCCCTCCGAGGATCCGTCAGTCATTGGTGCCACCTCCCGTTGTCCCCTCACTGGTATACTGGCCTGTCATGTCCCAACTGCCATCCACCGATCAAGAGCCGACGGCCGCGGACGATGTAGATTATATCTTCACCACGACGTATGCCATGGGTGCGTTCGTGGTCTTTCTGCTTGTATAGTCTCAGACATCTGAGTTTCATCCAGTGGCTGGTTTGGCAATTGTCGTCTATGATCAGCGTAAGTATAATGATTCTTCTCCATTTTGAATCTATGCTCAGAGCTTGTTTGAACCAGTGCTTAGCATCAGTTCCGAGGTGCGTGGCTAACAACTTCTCTGTCAAAAATAGACTTCGATAATAACAATGCTATACAGGTTGACCTCGTATGGGTACGGTCACCCAGATTCTGACATTGTCTCGCGCTGACCTTGAAACGAGTAGACACGGCGGTCGTCGACGCGGAAGTGGCTAAGTAAGGCCGTCTTCTATGCTATGGTAAGATCCATGTTTACTTGATCTCAGTATGTGGGTCCCAGGTAATTATCGTCACTGCTTAGCTGCGACTCTTCGGTATACTTTGGTCAATGTAAGCGGGATAAGGCGCGACTTTGCACGCTGCCCTCACACGTCCGCTTTTTGTTTCTAGATCACACACTCGTAAGCTCGTCTTTTTATTATCCCAATAGCGTTCTAACAACTCGTGTTTAAAAGTCCTTAATATTGGCGCACCATCATCATCAGAAGTGAGTGCACATGTTACATCTGACTGCAAATGCGCTTACGTATGACATGCCTTATTTATAGGGGTAAGTTGTTGTATAAGTATATTGAGTTCTCGCAAAGAGTTGACCGGTGCGGGCCTGTGCGAATTTGACAGATGTGAGTTCGTTAGCTGCTTCATGCACGTCGCATGTTTTCTAATTGTGGTAGGCTATCGATTGTATATTGTCGAAGAGATCACCATCGTAACTGTGACTTTTCTCCTGCAAGGTGCATTCACGTCCATTACTTGCAGTGTCAGCCAAACCTTACTGATGCTGTGTAGGAATGATGTCTATTCGCGTATGGGTTCTCTTAGGCATGCAGCGCAGTGTCTACGCCTTTCTACTCGTAGGATTCGTCATTTGTCAAATCGTCGCTGTTATAAATCTTGCCATGTACTTCGTGGCATACAGAGGAGCAACGGGTGTGTGCCTAATTGCGGGTCGGGTTTTCTTGAGTGTACTGATTATGGTTTTTTCAGTCCTTGTTGACGAGCGTGTCGTTCAGGACTGCTTCGCACGAGGAGCTCTTCCATCATGGGCCCCGTGGATGATCCCACTGGCAAACGGGTTGCTCGCCTTTTATGAGCTCATACTCTGCGCATGTGCCGTTTATTACCTCTTCACGGGGAACAAGAAGCGAGGCTCCCAGGGATTCATCATGGGCGGTTTGGTTGCTACCCTCGTGAGGGATAACCTGCTGTACTTCTTTCTGTAAGCAAACACGTCACGCTTTCATTCTTCTCGGTGCCTGATGGAAATCTCATATAGGGCATTTTTTATACTTCTCATCACCACTATCGAAAACATTCCACAAATCCAGCAGGTAAGCAGTCTCTCGGGTTTGTCCACCTACCTCGAACCCCGGAGGCTTAGTCACAAAACTATAGGTCAAGGGTTTGTACTGGACAACGTTCGCCACGCTCCGATACGTGTTCTACGGTCTAACTGGACCGTGGATGGTCCTTGATTTACGCAAACAAGCATATGAGGATTATGTCGAGTCTCGCTCGACTAGTCTAAAGCTAAAACTACTTCCGCGTTCCCAAACGGGAACCCACAGCGATAGCGAAGATGTTTCCCGCCCATCAGCATAAAATACCATTATGACCACCATAGTAGAATTATTATGATGTACTGTAGCGCTATAGCTTACCCTTCTGCAATAGGTCTAATGTATGTGTTCATGTAACTTGTCGTGGCGGCATACCTTAGCACTGATCAACGACTTTATAGTATGGGCGTTATAAATATCATTGAGAAAGTGGTGTGAATTTCTCATGACTACGACATAATGAAAATACTATTCGTACAACCTAAGCCTGCTATCAAAGCGGATACCCTTTCTCACTGGAAATTTTGCTACAGCCGTGATGACCACCTCACGCGACGGTGATTCGTTTCGGGGCCTGTTCGGCTGACACCTTTGGGAATGTGATGGTTAGCAAACCATCTTGCATGTTTGCCTTGATATCCTCGTCCTGTGCATTCGGTATTAGTTATTGTCCGCGCGTCGGACGACACATGTATAGCTCACCTTCACTCCTTCGGGGACCCTAAGCGAACGCTCAAAGCTGCCGAAAGACCGCTCGCGCACCGCGTAACCGCCCTCCTCACGCTCAACAGAGGCGTTCGTCTGCCCAGAGACGGTGAGAAGGTTGTTGTGGAGCTGGATGTTCACGTCTTCCTTCTTGAGCCCAGGGAGCTCGAACGTCGCGGCGACGGTGTTGTCCGTGCCATCCTTGATGTCCAATCTGATACTGGCATTAGACTGATGCATCGTACATGTAAAGAAATAAGTACATACTTGGGACGGAAGGGCTGTCGAGCGGTGACCTCGCGGTTGAAGTTCGCATTTCCACCTGTGAAACGACTGAGGAATGCGTCGTCGAAGTAGCGATCAAAGTCGTTGAAGGGGTCGTAGACGGCACGGATGAGAGACATTTTTAAGTTGATTACGAGAGACGGGAATTCGTGCTGTTAGAGATGATTGACTGTTGTTTCTGAGGAGGGATCGCTGTTCCGAGTCATCCCACCGATATCTTATATGCGTCGACGGTCGTAGGGCCCTAGTGACATCAATACTGTTCCAAGAGGTGACGTCATGATGATTCGAGAAGTGACGAGTGAACTATGGATCAATTAGGAATTGGCGGCGAGAGATTGCCTCAATAGCTGTTCGGAGTGCGGGAGAGAGGAAGCGCGAGCCCACCTCTGTCGCGTGGTGTTTGGTTCTCGCCAAAATAGGAAAGTCTGCCTGGAGTGTTCGAGGACTTTCCAGCGTTGTCCGAGTCAGCACCCTCGAAAACCTCCAAATGATCATATCGCCTAATCCTGCGACGTTATGCGTCCATACCAGTTCGAACTGAACATGGGACTTTCTCGTTGAATGAAGATTATCCAAGGATATCGGTATGCATGACACGTAATCCCAGTCGATGTAAGCGAGAGCACACCAGTGACCAGATGGGCAATGTTGCACAGAAGAACATAGAGTGAGTCCCCTCTGCTCGACTATGTCCATATGTCTCAAAGGTCCACCGCTGAGTGGTAAGCTGATCTCGTGCTTCCGGATAGACTGGCATGGTATCGCCCCTAGCTTCTCGCATTCTTCACGTCCGCCGTTGCTCCATGTCCGCGGAGTTCGCATCGTGCACCTTGCAACCGCCCGCCTGTATCTATATCAGACGCATCACCTTACGAAGCAGAAAAACAAAAACAGAGGGTGAGCATGCTCCATCAAATGAAGACAAACCAGGGTCAGACGAGAGGGCGTCAAGGCAGATGTAAAACTCTCCGCGACGAATAGTATCAGCGTCGCGTCCCTGGCGCTTCAATGTGTACCCTCACGGCATGTATATATGCACTCCATGTTCGAAGCAAGGAGGTGGTCCTGAGCCCGACACCTGAAGCAAAGCCGAGGCCCGGGGCGAATGTCGCGTGCGCAAAGATAGTCGTTGTGACGTGTTCCTTATTCTGAGGTGAGCGTTAGAAGCCATGGCGTCACGCTTCAGAGGTATCTCATACGAATGTTATCCAGGGAATCGCAACCTGCGATCAACTCCGAGAACCAGAAAGCGCGGAAAGGAGAATGTCGCGATAAAGGGAAAGGCCGAAGTGGATGGTTGGAAATGCGCGAATGGCATGAAAAGCTCTTCCCTTGTTAAGTGGGCTCTTGTTTTGCGTTCCCTTTCGCCTTGAGTCCAACAAGAGGTAGTCAGGGATATACAGTATTGTACTCGTACATGTACTATCTGGCCACGGTCTTCGCCTGGAAACTCGAAGCCGAAACACTAACGATCGTTATCCTACCACATACTCTCATGGTGATATCCTACTTTCCCTCAATGTTATTGATTCAAGATTCGATTCTTATCACGACGTAACGCTCGTCTAGTTTGTATGTGCTTCTTTTTGGAACTTGCTCTGATTCTGTTTCTGATGTTTAGACCGAACATAGTATCAAGTTGCCTTCCATGATTCGCTGCATGTAGGTATGTCTCTCGTTGACACTCATCTTTATCCTGAAAATAGATTTATCGCCACTAACTTCACCCTCTAATCCGCGCAAGTAGAACGTTCCCGCGAAGCAATTAGCGCAGATTGGGTCATCGTATAGAACGTTCACCCGCATTATTGACTTCGAACCAGCTAAAGTACGTAACTTACGTGCTCATTGGCTCTCACGATTACATATATCCATAATAAAAGTTGACCAGAAGGACTCGCAGAAGCATGCAATGATGTCGATGCATACGCCACTGTTTGTTCACCACGTATTTGACGCTCAGTGCGCGCATATTGCGGGTGAACAGGGACGGGTAAATTTCACCTATCTCTTCATCACCATAGCTGAGCGCTGTCAGCTTTCGCAATTGTAGTCGCCGCACTGTAAGTGGAAAGCTTCCATTATGAAAGATTTTCGTGGGTAATCCGATAAGTATATATACCAAGGCGGGATTCATGGTGCGTTTCTTTGGCGAAAACCGCTCATATCACTCCTTTGCTTTTTATTACATTCCTCGTCGCCGTCCTAAATCATACGTGTCATGCCATCCAACGACCAAGAATGTACAGCAGTGGTGGATACTGACTATATATTCACTGCGACGTATGCCATGGGTTAGCCGGTTCATCACTTGGATGCCTTCACTGGCACGCGCTAGTACTTGTCACTCATGTGCATAAACACAGTCTCAGGACTAACAATAGTCGTCTTTGATCAAGGTTAGCACCGTACCTTCGGGAAAGATCCATTCTAGTTCTTTTCATTTACATCGTCGGATCTCAGTTATTAGCTTCGGGCTCGAGGTGCGCAGCGGCTAGGCCTTCTCAAATCCTGCTTTCCAGTAATGGCTTTCCTTGACACAGGTGGACCTTGTATGGGTATGATGGACCCGCCTTTGACTCTGTTGTTTGCTGATATCTTGTAGATACGACGGACGTCAACACGGAAGTACTTCGTTGGAACTGCTGCTTATGTTATGGTACGACTTCCTCTCCGCTCCGCAGCGCCGCTTGAAGTTGCAGAGTATTTTCGTACTTATTGTATTCCAGTTACGCTATGCTGGTCTTCTCTGGGCCATGTTAGTTGACGACGGTCATTGTTGTCCAATCACATGCTCATGTGTCTTTTTGCTTGTGATAGATCAGACTTTTGTTAGTGACGCCATAAGTACCTCTTGTCGGATGTTGACTCTCGTTCAAAAGGCCTCAATATGGGTGTTCCAGCAACAGGATACGTAAGTTAGGTTGATACGTCTGACCCCACGAATTGCTTATCTCTTGGTTTCTCTCCTTGTCAGGGGTAAGCATTGTAAACATGACTGTGCAACGTTGTCGCAAAACAGCCGGTGACACTGACATGCGCGTGCTTGCTAGGTGTAAGTCCAGCAATTTATTGGCACGGCTCGCCGATGTTCACATTTTCTTAGGCTATCAAGTATATAACGTACAACAAGTCACTAAATATATATTGACTTGTCTCCTACAAGGTACGCCAAATGTATTATCTTCAGGGTTGCGCAGAGTCCAACTTTGCCTTGTGTAGGGATGATGGCGATGCGGGTGTGGGTCCTCCTGGGCACGCCGCGCAAAGTTTATGTCATTCTTCTCACGGCCTTCATCATCTCCCAAGGACTCTCGCTGGTGGATGATATGTTGTCCATATTGGCATACGCAGGAGGATCAGGTAAAGGTTAACAAGCAGCCTGTAGGAGAGTGCATTGAACTTTCTCGTTCTCAGACCACCTCAACGAGCACGTTGTCGAAGGGTGCTCGCTCAGAAATACTACCCCGTCATGGAATAGATGGCTGGCCCCATGGTCAAAAGGGTCGCTCGTCGCTTTTGAGCTTCTACTCTGCTTATTTGCTATAATTCACATTATCAAAAGAGCTAGGACCCATGGTGCCTCGAGTTATATCTTCGGTAATGTGGTATCTACTCTCATCCGGGGCAACTTGCTGTACTTCTTTCTGTAAGCGAGCTGTATCCCGTCTCGGTTTACGTTGGTTATTGAGTACTCCATCTAGGGCATTCTTCGTTCTCCTAGTTACTGCACTTGAAGAGATCCAGTGGGTCGATTCAGTGAGTGATCATGCCCAGTGGCGTTTGCCACAGAACATTGGGAAGCTAAACAAGAGGTGCTTAGTCCAAGGGTTTATACTGGATCACGTTTTCTGCACTCAAGTACATTTTCTACGGTGTCATTGGGCCGTGGATGATGCTCGATATACGCAAGGAGGCATATGGAGAGCATGCCGTGTCCAATACAGCCAACCTGAAGCTGTCGCTACTTCCGCGTTGGACTATTATATCCGATAGCAGTTACGGAGAGCTTCCAAGCCCTGTCAGTCTGACACACCACTAGTACCGCTATGGTTATGAGTTCCGCAAATCTAATTATGTCGCTGTTTCAGCTTTAGCATTGTTGTGTGTTCTCTTTGATATACCCCGTCATTCTGACTTTACTGTATATAGCTGAATTCCTTCTTGTGTGGGTATCCTACGTGTTACTTTTCGAAATCCCCTATCTACATCAGCCCTTCTAGTTTGCTACTATGAGAACATAGATTGCTGGAATATCTCATATTGAAAACTGAACACGACAAAGGCCGTAGAGCTAGGTTTTTCGGATTCTGTCATATCATCAAGGAAACCAAACAGAGTCGTAGCTAAACTAATACTCTTCATTATCTCTCGTGCGAGTGGTTAAAGTACTAGAAAAATGTAGCGAGGAAATCCGGGTCGAGCTAAAGCTAGCAAGATCTTCATCGTTCATCATACGAATATCAAGAATCATACCCGCTCCCGCAAGCGCATAGAATACAAACTCGATGGGGATGTATACGACCATAAAAATGCCTACAAACTTGGGGCCGACTTAGTTCGAAATACTTGGTTAGGGCAAGGCAGCTTAGCTGTAGTGGCTTACCGGGAGTAGGAAAGGGAGCTGGATTAACATCGGTACTGATAAGTTGTACAATGCACTAGCAGAGAAAAGGTTAGGTTTAATTTATATATAAGAATGGAAGGACATACATAACAAAGTAAAATGCATTAGCGCGTACCAGGAAACTCGAGAGTGTCTGCTTTGAGTCGTTATACACCTTGATGCCTGGACGACGCCTCTCTCTAAATCTTAAGAACACATAGTAAAGCACCAAAATGCAGAGAGCAAGTTCAAAGATCAAGATCGATCCATCTGCCACGGGATCAAACCAGGAGACCTGTGTTCTCCCGGTACTCATGAGTGTCATGTTGTAGATGATTGCAAATAGTCTGGCGCTTTGCCCTATGAAGAACCCCACCGCTAAGGTGATCATGAGCTTTCTTGGCTTTCCGAGAAGTATACAAACTCGGACAGCCATCATCGCTATCATTCCTGTCAGATAATCGCACTCAATAATTAAGCTGACGAACCTTGCAACAAAAACGTGATGATAAAGACTAAGATGCTATCCGTCCAGGCCGGAACGAGTGCTGCAAAGCAGCAAGCAATTTTTGTTAGTGGCCGATATCGAACTTCAGCTACATTTTACTCACGCCTATATCATGGTGAGTCAGAGAAAGTCTGGAAATAACAATAAACGAGAAGACGTACTTCTAGAAAATTATGATGAGAATCGGCAACGAGATATAAATACGGTTATGACGCACTTCGATAAGTTCCTGAGTGTATACAATGTTACACACTAGTGAGGGTAAACTCGAGCTCGTAACAAATTACTTGGAACATACACATCACGTCGCTGTAGCTCACTTGAATTTAGGACGAAGGTTTGCATCAACATGACTTAAATTGCCCAGAGAATACCGCCGTAACGCAGCTGAAAAGCAAAAAATTCAAGGAGCGTCAGGGGCATACCAATGGTCCAAGAAAACGGGAGTATATACCGTGGCATATACATGGTCACGACGGAAATCTTTTTGGACTAAAATCCGTCGTCAATGACTTATCATAGTTTCTTACCAGACGCTTACCCAAATCAAATCGACCTGATCGATGAATAATGACAGTAACCCTAATCCCGAGTGTGGTTTGGCGAAATGTTGTTACCTCTCTGCCAATGTCCAGTACTGGGTTACGTGAGATAAAATCCAGGAATACATGTTCCAGAAAAACCTAACTCACGAAAGGCATAAACGACAATCGTAAAGCCTGACGCTAGTACAGTGTTACTACTACTTCTGCGTATCAGGTAGAGATTTGGCTTGCGTACCATATGCGAACTGCTCGGCTTGCTCTAGAGGCGTTAAAGACGAAGTCATTGTTCTAGGAGGAGATTAAAGTTAGGTGGATTGACGTTGAAGGGGATACCACTGTCACGGCACTTTATAAGTAAATGCAGACCAAGCCACATCTACGCCTGCTAATAAATGTCAAATGCATGCACCACAATGTTCATGATCTCAGGCTGTACGTGTTTGTTCTCAAACCAGAAAGAACGTTCTTGGGAACAAGTCTGTTTCATTTGGCTCGATCATTTGTCAACAAAGACTCTGTCAGATGGGGATGTAAGGGCAAGTGTAAGGTTGGGTCAGGGCACTGCCCGGGCCTGTGCAAACCGCTCTAGCTACGAGTCCATGATCGTGTGGTTGCAGTCCATAAGACAGGTTGGATGATGTATGATAAGCACTTCTCCTTTCTTTCGTGTAAGAACGTTTGTGTCGCAGTGACCCATGCGGTCAATGAACATCATGCACGCATCTATACCCTTCGAGTCATTTACATAAAACATGAAACTTGATAAGGCGCGCCTTTGTTGGGCATGGCTTTGTGTGCACACATATGGTTATTCCAGAAACTCTGATCAGCAAGCCAAGGTCTATCTGTCAAAAATTTACGCCTGGCAGGTCGGCATCGGACCCTTGTAAAAAGGAGCAGAAACTATGTATGGCAACGCTTGCGATTGGGGATTTGCGGAAGCTGTGCTACGCCCGCGTGGCGGTGCCGGTGAAGCCTCCACTTATCAGCGGATCTCAGCAGATCCGATGTCTGTAAATGAAAGCATGTGGCGCCTTTTGTCTCAGCGATCGATTTGTGCGATGCGGTGCACTACACGCGTGGGCTTTCATGCTCATTTCCAGACGCTCGGTAAAGGCCTCACACATTATCAATTATCTTCGGTACTATGGCGAACCGCAACGTTCTGAGAAGCTGTGTAGCATCTGGGATAGGTCGCTCGCTCCCATGGCATATTTTAATGCCGCTTGCGATACAGAGGTCAGCGCCCAAACTTCAAACTAGAACGTCAGCTTGATGTCAGTGGATCCGCTTGAAAATGTTAGCTGCGTTGGTCTCGATACGATGTAAAGTGAGCGAGGTGCTGATGGGATTGTATCATACCACACTTCATCAACTTGTCCACAGCGCAGGAGAGGAAGACGGGAGGGATTCCAACAGTGGACATCAGTCTAGCGCATGTGCGAACCCTGTAAGAACCGCCTCAATTCGGCTAAGAAAATATAATAAATGAACTTTGAGTGGGTTGTAGCTGTAATACCGCCAGGCAAGTGAAAACGTATAACGTAGGGAAAGAAAAGCAAACAACAGATCATATTGAGATTAAATATCTACAGTACTTTTATCTATCGTACCATTACCGCTTCCTCACGATGTGCGTCATACCGTATTCGAACCCATTGCTATCGCTACGCAGCGATGATCCGCTCGTTCAAAAACCTCGTCAGCACATCCGTAAGATCTACCTGACCCTGCCCAAGAACGCTCTCGCTCTTCGCAAGAACTGGCTTACTCTTGCCGAGCAAGCTCTGCAGATCCGACGCCATCTCACCCGTCATACCCCTTCTCAACCGCTCAGCAAGCGTGAGCGACGTCGACGCACCCCTCGCGCTTTTTCGCCCGCCTGACGCTGACCCTGACGAAGCGGGCGCGAGACTCAGCTCCCGCCCTCCGTCCGCGTGAGGCTGCAGCTCGTCCATTTCCATATCGCCGCCTCCAGAGGGCGAGGACGTGGCAGGGTCGAAGTCGGGCTTGGCGAGCCACAAAGCGAGTTGCGTTATCGAGTAGAGGAGCAGCGCTTCGAGTGCCGTGCGCGCAAGCCGTGCGCCGCCTGCCGCGTCGAGCGGGTTTTCAGTGGGACCCGTGACTGATGTGGGCGGAGCGAGCGCTTGCCCAGGTGGGCGGGAGACGAGCGCACGGAGAGCATCCAGCATGACGTTGGAGAGTTCGAGGAGTGTGCCGAGGGACGTGGCTTCGGAGAGCACAACCTTTGAATGCTGCGTAATGTTGATGTTAGTACTTGGTTTTTTGGCACGGGAATTGGTAACGTACGGGAACGACGAGTGCTTCGTGCGTTGGCCACTCGTCTTGCTCGCCCAGGAGCACATCATACGCCTGGCTCGTGTCATTCAGTGCACATGCGAGCGTGCCTGCGAGTCTGAACAATCTATGCACGAGCCGAGCGGTCAGCGGATGCTTTTGCAGGTCCAGCATGTCCAGCGCTGATGCTGATGCTGACAACGACGTTGCAAGCGTCAAGGCCGAAGAGGTAGAAGAACCCCCGTCACGCGGTTCGCGGTCGAACAGCGCCCGTTCTTCGGCTGTGACGGGTTCAAGGAGACTTGCGAGATGGTGTGGGTGTGTGAGCGCGTAGTTGATCTGCTGGAGCAACCTAAGCGCATGCGTCGAGAATGCCCTCAATACCTTCTCCACAGCCTCTCCGCCCCCTTCCTTGCTTCCTCTCTTGACCGACGATGTTGACGGCCCAGCATGTGCGTTCCTCGCAATTGCACCGAACAGATGCACAGCCTCCTCCATCTCCTCTAGCAGCGGCAGCGTAATGGGCTCGCCGACGCGCCACCCGAGTGCTCTTTCCAGCTGGCGGCCGTAATGCTGAACAAAGCCGCATGCCTCACGATCGAAGAAGTAGTGGCTGTATTGCTGCCTGCCCTTCTCCACGCCGAGTGTGCTCACCACGCTAGCTACCACCGCCACCATGCCAACATATGCACAGTGCGCTGGGCTTCGCTCGCCAGGAAACTCGGGGAGCACCACTTCCAATGCGGCGGCACTCAAGACGGTACTCAAGGCGTTGTTGCTGTATGCCGAGACGAAACCCGCACTGGCGAAGCGCTCAGCTCCCGCAGGCACACTAGCAAGTGCCATGTGGAATGTGAGGACATGCGGAGCATACAAAGGCTGCCTTCGCTGTCTGAGGAGCGCCACGTCGCCGAGGCCGGCGATGTCCGCGCGGACGAGCAGCTCGAGTGACGCCTGGATCACGTCCGACTCTGCACACCTGGTAAGCCAATGTAGAGACGAGACGTTGATGTCTGGGCGGGTGCACTGCTCGAAGATGGCAACGAGGAACTCCATGTCGCGGTCCACATCGAGATCGAGCCGCGTTCGCGCCGTGTCAAAGACGAGCTTGAGCGCATCAATCACGAGCACGAGCGTCGCGTTCAGCATCGAGGCGATGTCGAGTCTCCGCTCAGCGTTGAGCGCCTTCGGCCGGCTGCTGAGGTTGCGGCATTGCCGCACGGTGAAGTAGATGATCTGAAGCAGAGCGCGGTGGAATGGCGTCGTGACCTTGCCCAGGAAGGAGAGTGACGGCGGCTGCGCCTCGTTCTGGATGATATAGTGTAGATTCCGCACGAGCTTCATGAACGACTTGATCTCCTCGTCCGTGTCCTTTGTCGAGAACCACGCAACCTCCACTAGCGAGAGCAGCAGCCCCAGATTCGTCCCATGGATCCTCGCCATCATATCGCCCGAGCGCTTCTCGCCGGCAAGGTCCGCCGAGACCGTCGCAGCAATCGTTAGCAGAATCGGGCGCACGTTCGGCTCAAGTCGGACGAACGGCATAACCTGCTTTAGGAGGAACTGCCACGACTTGCCGAGCGCGACCTGCGCCTGTGTAAGTGACAGGTTGAGGTTGATAGACATGACCTTCTTCTCGACTTCCTCTGCGGCATGCAACAGCTCGTCCGTCGTCGCACAGTGCGTCAACCGGCTCCGCAGCAGGCTCGGCAAGTACTGGTAGTCGTCCCCGAACTCGCGATCCGTCATGGGCTCCTGCGACCGGATCTGCTCGAGCGTCAAGCCCGGGAAGCTCGTGGGAAGCTCTTGTGAGAGTGTGTCGTAGAGCGTCGGGTCGAACGACGTGCACTGCGCCTCGAGTATGAGTTCATTCAGCTGGTCTTCGGACTTGAACACCGGTGCGAGTTGATCGTAGCTGATGGTTTTGGGAAGTGGGTCGCTCGGCGACGCAGGCGGTGGCTGGAGATACATGTCTTGCCCAATGATGTGGACCGCATACGACTTGACCATGTATCGGTATGCCTGCGCAGATGTGGCCTCATGGAGACTGGACCGCCGCGCGCCGTCGATCGTAACGAAGTTCTCCGTCGCGTAGTCCGGGTCCGGACCGAGCTCCTCCTCCGTGATCGCAGCAAGCGCCTTCCAGAAGCCGGTATCCTTGCGCGTCGCATCGATGAGTGCTTTGTGTTCGAGCCCATGCTTCCAGACGACGTCGAGGAAGCGCAGCACGGACGCGAGCAGCTGCGGGTTCGCATCACAGAGCTCCTTCCAGTGCACCAGGGTGCGAGAGGCGATATCCACGGCGCTTGGCGACGATCCTCCCTCCTCCTTGCCATCGGCTCCCTCCTTCTCCTCCTTCTCCTTTGCCTTGCCCTTGCTCGGCACCCTGAACCGTCCTGTAACAAACAAGTTCGCGAGCGCTGGCTCCTTGTCCACCGCAAGAGAGATGAAGCCCCAGACAGCATTGCGCAGATTGAGCTCCTCGTACGGGTGTTGCACAATACGAACGAGCGCAGCAACGGTCGCTTCTGGGTTCGCGAGGTGTCCGACGAGCGTATGTGCGCCTGCAAGCGACGCACAAAGCGCAGAGAGCACCCGCATGGCCTCGAGCGGGACCGTAGCGCCCAGAGCGCGTTCCTTGACGTACGTCGCGAGAACGTCTACGGGGTCCACCCTGGCGCGAAGCGAATCACCCAGCCCAGCGCCACCAGCGACACGAGAGCACAGAGCTTGCTCGAGCAGGCACGGCTTGTTCCCATTTTCGCTTGCATCGTCAGCAGCGCTAGCCTGCTGCTTGATGTTGAGCACCAGCCTCACCAGCCTAAGATCCGCCTCGAGCAAAAACACCAGCCTCCGCGCATCCCCATACCGCCTACTCGCATACAACGAATGCAGCGCCGCCGGCCCCGCCGCAATCGCACTGACCAGCGGGCCCACGCTGCTCGTCGTCGCCCGATACAGCAGCACATCCGCCACCGCGCGACTGAGCGCGGGGAACAGTCTGGACTCCCCCTCGCCCAGCGCAGGCGGCGCGAGCGCGAGCACATCCGCGAAGAACGCCGCCGCGCGCCGCCCGAGCTCGAAGCGCTCCCCGATCTGCGCATAGCGCCACCCGAGATGCTCGACCCACACCTCGCCGTGCACGAAACCCGCAGCGCGGAGGAGCACCTCCTCCTTCACTTGCTGCAGGCGCCTGTTGCCTGGCAGCACTGCCAGCGCAGATGCGCACGCCTCGCTGAGGAGAGCTTGGGCGAGGTGAAGTAGAGCCCGCGTCATCGTGTACGTCCCCGCGGCGCGCTCGGCCGGCAGCGCAACAGCCGCGAAGCCTGTCTTGCTGTCGTGCCCGCCAGAAGGGCAGAAGAGGGCGGCGGTGGAGCGGAGGTAGAGCCATACGCGCGTCGCGTGCTTCGGGAGGGCGAGCAGCGCGGCGAGCACGCTCATCGCGCTCGTGACGAGCTGCGTCTGCGCGAACGGGCCGCCACCGCGCGGGCGCGGGCGGCTTAGCGCTTCTTCGAGGATGGTCGTTGTGAGTTGGACGAGGTCGGGGGCGTTTCCTTTGCCCTGGCCTTGGCTTTGCTGGTCTCCGGGAGGTGCGCCGTTGGTTGGAGATGCTGTCGCGTCGCCTTTCTCCAGCGCTTCCAGGAGCTCCTCTGCTACGGGCCCGTCGTCCTGGATGATACTCCGTATAAGGTCCAGCGCATCCGTCGCGATCGCCTCGTCTCCTGCTCTCTGTCCGTCCGCTTGTACATCCACCTCCATGCCCACGTCCTCCAGCTTGAGCCTTAGCGGCTGACTCGTTTTCCCTGCGCGCCCATACGACACGTCCTGGTAGAGCTCTCCGGGCATCCGCTGGCCCTGACCCGCGCTCGCCATTCGCCTCCTGCCAACATAATCCACGAGCACCTCAACGAGCACGCGCCACCCCGAGTGTTCGTGAGCCCAGCACACAGCCACATGCTCGCCGCCGTCGCCGCTCAACAAGCGGCCAACGCTGCGTGCGGGAAGAACGCCACCGCCCGGTAAGACGATAGGCCGCAAGTTCGTGTACGACAGCCCAGGACCGGTATACGGGCTCGCGCCATGCGCAACGCGCTCATACACCGCATTCGGGCCCGCCGTCGACGCAAGCGGAATAACGAGCGAAAACGTCGGCAGCCTGTCAAAATAATAAAACACATGCCGCGCACACACCGCCCTCTCCTCCTCCGCCTGCGCCTCCGCGGAGCCCTCCTGCCCGCCCGCGTCCCCCGCGATCGCCCTCAGACTGCGCGAGCTGTGCGAGTCCGCGGACGCCGCGAGCGGGTCGGTGTCGAGGAATCCCGCGGCGGACAGCGCGCGCAGGAGGCGCACGAGCGGGCGGAAGTGCACGGGGAAGCGTGCGCGCGCGACGTCGAAGATTGCGCGCCGCGCGGCGCTCTGGCGCCAGTCGGCGACCCAGAATTGGCGGCAGATGCCGCTGACGGCGTGTGGCTCGCTCCGGCCGAAGAGGGCGATCCAGACCTCGACTAGTGCGTCAAAGTCGGGGATTTGTTCGACGGGGACGAGTTCAACGAGGGCGATGATGAGGCCTGGTAGTAGGGAAATGAATGTAAGAAAACAGCTTGCGGGGATAGAACCAGACGGTAGCACACCTTTGAGCACCGAGCGATACGCGACCGCGTTCGGATCTGTCACCGTCGAGCCCGTCTTCCATGCTACAGTCGTCACAAACAGCGGCGACGCCGTGAGCAGCGTCAGCAGCAGCTGAAACAGCCCCGCATCCGCCTGCACGACCGTCCTCGCCATCAGCACATGCAGCGGCTCACGCTCCTTCGCCCTGCCGCCCTGGTGGTGGTGCTGATGCGGCATCACCTTCTCAAAAAACGCACGATACGCACTCGGCACGCTCTTCGCCTCCTCCGCCATCGCGCCCAGCCGCGACAGCACAAACGCCCACGCGAGATACGTGCACGCGAACTGCGCGTCCCCGTTCGCCGGGTCCGTCACCAACTCATGCACCCTCTCCAGCGCGCCCGGATCGCTCGTATATATCCGCTCATCCCGCGGCGTCTCCGCCACATCCACGTCCTCCCGCCCCGCGACGCGCTCCAGCTCCAACACCTCCACCGTGACCAGAACCCACAGCGCCGCCGCGTCCCGCTGCAGCTGCGCGCCCTCCGGATCGAGCAACAGCGTCGCATTGCGCTGGCGCGCGCCCAGCGCGCTCGCATACGCCGTCTCGAACACGCGCACGACGAGCGCGCCCGTGCACGGGACAGACGCCCACAGCGCCCAGAACAGCACCTCGAGCAGCCCAAGTTGTTCCCGCACATTCTGCCGCGCCCAGCGCGCGGCCGCGCGCGGGTCGCTGGCGAACGCAGCGGGGACGGCGGCGTGCGTTTTGGCGGTGTAGGCGCTGACGAGCGCCTCGACGAACGCGGGGCCGTCGGGCGCGAGGATGCGCGCGAGGGCGGATGCGGCGGGCGGGTGCGCGGGGTCTGCGGGGTTCTCGTGCGCGCGGAAGAGCGGGATGAGTGTGCGCAGGGCGGCGAGGCGCTCGGCGTAGTAGAAGGGGCCGATGGCGGACAGGAGCTCGGCGATGATGATGTCCTTGTCGTGCTCCTTCTCCTTTTCGTTTCCTTTAGAGTCTTGCTGTCTCTCGGTCTCGTTCTCCTTGTCCTTCCCGTCGTCTTTTTCGCCTAGGCCGTCCTTCACGACGCCCGCGACCGACGGCAGCCCCTCGTTGTACAGGAACGAGCGCAGGAGGACGAGCGCGTGGATCTCGTCGATGTCGAACCGCTCGCTGAGCGCACGGACGCATTCCTTGTCGACGCTGTCCGGGGTGAGCACGACGCCATCGGGGAGCTCGACCTTGCCCGACTCGACGGCCTTTCTAGACGCGTCCGAGGGCCTGCCGAATGGCCATGCGACGTCGCGGAGGGTGTCGACGCGGGGTGCGAGGAGGTCGCGGACCTGGTCGGGGGAGGTGCCCTCGATGTGGCCGGAGAGGATGGAGTGCAGCTGCTGGTATGTTCTGCAGACGTGTCAGACGCACAAAGCGGTAGTCAGCTAGCAATAATAACGCACACATCGACGAGATTTGAACGTTTTGAGGACTCTGCGTGCGTTGAGATGGACATGCTGCACGACGTCCAAAGTCTGAGGCCAACGCGTGCAACGACGAGCTCAACATGCCCCTTCCTCTTTCGGACAAAGACAGATACAGGGGCTATTTCTTATGTTTAAAACATAAAACAAACTCGTCATTATGCTATAGTATAAGAATAAGAACAAGCTAAGTCCATCCAAGAGCAGCTCCTCGTCCTCCTCCGTGCCCGCGCTCGTTCTCAATCACAAACATCGCGTCCCGCATCGTGATCGCCATCCGAGCGTCGTCCTCAGACCCCTTTGCCGTCGCTGGCTTCGTCGTCGAGACATATGGCCTCGCCCACGAACTCCCCGCTCCTGTAGTGTTCGCTGCAGGTGCGGTCGTTGTGGCGGGCGTCGCCGGCGTCGGCCCAGCCGCCGTCCCCGTGTTCGTAGTGGCGCCGTTGCTACCACTAGGAGTCGGTGTCGATGCAGGGGCAGGAGTAGCAGCAGCAGGCGCAGGCTTAGGCTTCGGCGTCGCAGCAGACGTCGCCGCCGTCATCCACGCATACTTCCCGCCAATCCCCGCCGCCTGGCTCGCAACAGCGTTCGACATCTTCTTGCGCACGTCCTCGCTCATATTCTTCGCCGTCACACCCGGGCCCTCCTTCTTCCTCTTCTTCTTCGCCTGCCCCTCCCCGCCCGCGCCCCCCGCCCCGTCGTCCCCGTCCACAACCATCGCACTCCCCGCACCCGCAGCACCCGGTGCCGCCGGCGCAGGCGAAGCAGCGGCCCCGCCCCCCGCCGCCTGCGCCGCGAGATTCGCCGCATGACTCGCCGCGAGCTCCGCGCGCTCCTTGCGCTCCCTCCGCACGCGCATCTCCTCCTCCTTCTCCGCCTTCTCCAGCGCCGCGAGCTGCCTCCCCACGTCCGCGCGCACGCGTATGCTCCACATCGGGGTGCCCTCCGCGTCGGGGTACGTGCTCGCGGGCCTGTCGAACTGCGCGTCCGTGCGGTGCTGTGCCGCCTTCACCATGCCCTTGACCAGGTCCGACAGTCTGGCGCGGAGGGCGAGCGCGAGGTAGTTGGCGGTGTCGTCTGGTATTTTCGTGACCTTGTGCGACGTGCCGATGGTGCGCATGGTCGGTCCCAGATAGCGGATGTCGAAGTTGGGCGTGGCGGGTTGCTTGCGGGAGCGGTCCTCGTGCAGACGGTAGATCTGGTGCGTGTCGGAGGAGCGCTGGAGGGACTCTTCTTCCGCCTGTGTAGGTACGTAGCGACAGAGTCAGCCGTATGTACAAGCCGTGAATGCCAGCGTGAAGCGTACCCGCAAATCGACACCCGCGCTCCCGAGCGCATCGTTCAGCGTCGCCACATCCGACGTATCCACCTGGTTGTTCGCCGCCGCTGTCGCAGGTGCAGTCATAGGCTGCGCAGCCGTAACGGGCGGCACGGCCGCTGCCTGCTGACGCGCCTGGGGCGTCATCGCAGGCGTATACTGATAATGCGAGAACTGGGGGTAGTGCTGCGAGAACTGGTAGTGCGTGTACGGGGTCGTCCTGCGCCATGGAATCGTCCGCGTTAGAATATACCCACTTAAATGAAGACATAGAGCGTACGTAGGTTGAGACTGCTGCTGCAGCGCAGGGTCAATCGGGATGTCTGTACAGTCGATATTAGCTCGAGCTCTCCTCGCACTAGACGCTGAGCAACGCACGAGCGGTACTCCATTGCGTGTACGTCGGCGTAGGCTGGTGTTGATGGTGCTGAGGTTGAGGGGTAGCCGGTGCAATTGGCTGCACATGCGTTTGTGCTTGTGGTTGTGCGTTCTGCTGCTGTTGCTGCTGAGGCTGGGGAGTGGGCGTGGGCGTCTGGGACGTCTCTGATTCAGCCTTCATCGTCGTATGTCGTCTTGTTGATCTGTTTTCTCTTGAAACAGAGACGGAAGAGTGAGAGGGGCCGAGGACGTGGAAGGAGGTTAAGGAGGTTCAAACACAGGATATGTAACACACGCGCTTCACGTGTTCCCCCTTTCCTCCATGTCCTCCACCCACACCACCATGGTAAGCACTCCCAACTCCTCCCGCACACCTAACACGAACATAATAACAGGCAGTATGTCAATTCTTCCTGCGCGGAAATTGCAGGTTCGGCGACAAATGCCACAACGAGCACCCGCAGGACAGAACGCGCCAGGGCGGGTTCGGAAGTGCGTATCATTCATTGCGCTCCCCATGTCTCACTTTCCAGCGTAAATGTGATGCTGATATGTTGTAGATGCATCATGGACGAATCCAAATAACACTACTAATAATGCCCCAGCTGGTCCAAAGCAGGTCCCGTTCTCGTACGTCCTCGTCCCCCAATTCCCCTCACCACCCAAACCCAATGCCATCTTGCACAACGACCACACACTCACACATTTTTACCCCCAGCATCGACAGCATCGCGCGCGACCTCACCGCAGGGCAAGACAAGCCCCTGTGGTCCCTATCCTCCTACGGCCCCGCGAAGCACGAGCCGCTGCTCATCAGCGCACTCGACGAGTCCTTCGAGGAGCTCCGCGTGCGCGCGACGCAGGCGCTCAAGCAGGGCGGAAACGCGAGCGCCGAATACGTACGTAGCGTGCTTCCTCTGTCCCCCGTGTTCTTGCCTTCTCCGCTTCCTTCGCCCTCGCCCTGCCCTCGCCCTGCCCTCGCCCTACCCTCACCGCCCTTTTCTCGCTTTCCTTCCTTGTTTCACTTCCCTTGCTCAGCAGACACGCTAACGCGCCACATGCAAAACAGATGAAATACGAATCCGACAAAATAGCAGCAGCCGAACAGGTCTTCGCCAACGCGCGCTCGAATCCGACCGCGCTGTTCACCCAGGCCTCGAGCGTGAGCGGCGGCACCGGCGCCGTCAGCGCCTCTACGGCTGGCAACAATCCATCGGCGTTTGGAATGGGTGCGCCGTCAGGGTCGGCGTTCGGGAACGCGGGCAACACCTCGGCCTTTGGAAACGCGGGCAACACTTCGGCATTTGGGAACGCGGGTGGGGCGTCTGCGTTCGGTGGTGCGGGAGGAGGGAGCGGGACGTCGATTTCAGCGTTCGGGAACCCGGGGAGTGGGGCGTCGACGTCGGCGTTTGGCCAGCCGTCTGCGTTTGGCGGCACGGGCAACGCAGGCGGGTCTGCCTTTGGCAAGAGCGCTTTCGGCCAGTCTGCGTTTGGGCAGAGCGCGTTTGGAGGCGGTGGTGGTGGAGGAACGACGTCTGCGTTTGGCTCTGGCTCTGGCAACGCCGCCTCTGGCTCTGCGTTCGGATCGGCGAGCAATACGGCGGGCACGTCGCCCTTCTCACAAACACAAACACAGCAGCCCGCGTTCGTGTTCGGACAGGCTCCATCACAAGCAGGACAGCCCCCAGCCTCGACATCACCACCGTCCGCGTTCGGCTCTACCACGCAGCCTGGCACATCCGCATTCGGGCAGACAAGCGCGCCTTCGGCGTTTGGCTCGTCGTCGCTCATCAAGCCCGCCACAGGCGCATTTGGCGCTCCTTCAACCAGCGCATTTGGCAGTGGCACCTCGTCAAATTCAGGAGGAGGCGGAGGCGCATTTTCCTCGTTCGCAGCGCAGCCCTCGGGCTTTGCTGCTGCAGCCGCGGCCACTAAACCCAGTGATGGAAGCGGGGATGCACCGTCATCGGCCTTTGGGACGTCTGGGTTCGCCTCTGGGACGACGGGCTCTGCGTTTGGGTCAGGGGGCAACACGGCGTCTGCGTTTGGCTCTAATGCAGCGAACAATAACAATAGCACTACGTCTGTGTTCGGCACACGCCCCACGCCTGCGTTTGGCAGCACCGGATTCGGTGGGGGTGCTGGCGCTGGTGCAGCACCCCCGACGACATCCGCGTTCGGGAGCAGCGCGCCTGCAGCACCCACATCCGCGTTCGGCAATCTCTCAACGACAAACACGACTCCTGCGTTCGGCTCCTTGTCCACAGCAGCAGCTGCAGCGCCTGCCTTTGGGAGCACAGGCTTCGGGAACGCAGCTGCGCTAGCGCAGACGTCGGCGTTCGGCCAGCCAACGGTGCCCGTGTCCGCCTTTGGCTCTTCTTCTTCTTCTGGCGCTGGTGCAGCGCCAACGTCTGCGTTCGGCAGCGGTGCGAAGCCCCCCTCCGCGTTTGGAGGCTCTGCGTTCTCCTCCGCACCCCAATCCGCATTCGGTAGCGCACCCTTCCAGAACACCACGAACCAGCCTTCGTTTGGCGCTTCAGCGCTCACAGGCGGAGCAGGGGGAGGAAAAGGTGTACCGGGCCCACCGGACTTTACGCGCGCCAAGACGGCGGTGAAGGCGGGGCACGACCGGTATGCGGCGCTGTTGCCGGAGAACTATGGCGAGATTTTGCCGGAGGTGGCGAGGGCTGCGTTTATGGCGGAGAGGTTTGAGTGGGGCGGGGTGCCGGAGTGGGTGCCGCCGAGGGAGGTGCGGTAGGATGAGGAGGTGAAGATGGTTGCTGTAATATCATACGTACATATATCATGTTGGGACGTTTTGCTGGCGGTCTTTTGCATTCTTCATAATGGAAGACATACACTCACGAATTCATAATCAGAGCGATTTATCGTAGCCCTGGCGTTTGCCTTTGCCACAATCTTTGAGTTCGCCTCTTTGAGTTCGCGGTCGAATGACCAAAAGCCCCTAAACCGGAAAGCTGCTTCTTGTCCTCACGACATATATAAACCCTCCATCGCTCCAAATCTCATCTCTCTCATCGCCCACGACGATCAACGCCTACAAAATGTCCTCTGATCCACCCACCGCCAACGGCGCGAGCGTCGCAACCCCCTCAGCGCCAGCCACCGCCAACGGCAGCAACGAAGGCGACCTCCGCTTCCCCCCATTCCCGCCCGTCCCAGACGGCGCCACCATCGTTCCCTTTATCCAATTCCGCGCCTCCGGCATCCAAGTGACCTGCATCCCGCTCCCCGAAAACGGAGGAGCGGAAGACGACATCGAGCGCGACGCGCTCGGCGTGCCGACCGTCGAGCTCGCAAAGTACCACGACACCGACGCGCCCAAGACCGACGCGCGCAAGCGGCGCGTTGCTAAGGCTCCGCACCGCTTCCACTTTGGCAGCGGCGGCGGGAAGGGGAAGAAGGGGAAGAGTAAGGGGAGTGCGGCTGTTGTGGATCAGAATGGGAATGCGGTGCCGTGGTATGAGGAGTGGGAGGCGGGCGAGCAGTTTCAGCATACGAGCGCTGGGTGAGTGCGGTGCTCTCGTTCCTTCATTTTATGAAGTGGGTGTGCTGGGAGATGGGGTGCGGGCGACGAGGCGCTTCGTTGTCCTGGCCAGCTCATGGTGGCCATGACATCTTCCCCTGTGTCTTTGATCGCACTCACAATCGCTCGCTACTAATGTTCTGCCCACACGCTCCTCATTGACCTCCTGGCGGCCCACTGGTTCATTGTCAACGCGATCGACGCGTCCGATCTTCACGATCTGCCCGCCTGAACTCGGACGCGCCGCACGGGATGACATTGACAATAACAACATAATTCGCCTGCTATTATTTGATATGCCACGCTATGCAGCCAGGACCTCGCCCCGGACGACCGCCTCCTCCAAGCCGCCGAAGACTTCCTCAGGACCCGCAGGTGGCCAGACGACGGCACATTCAAGACAGCGTACATCTGGGACCAAGTCCGTCTCCACGCTTTTAAATCTCCTCCCAACAACAATCTCCGAACGCACAGCTAACAAATACATCCACAGTTCCGCTACTTCACAGGCCTCCTCGACCGCGACAACCGCCTCAACAAAAAGATGCGCAGCGGCTCGCCCGACTCCGACTTCGACATGGACGACGACGACGACGACGAATTCGGCGCCGGCGGCGATATCCCGATGGTCGACGCCGCGCCCGATGCGCACCAGTCGCTCGCTAGGTTCGACGAGAATGGCAGGCCCCTCCCGCGCGTGCCGTACGATGCGATGGACGCGCTCGCCGAGGCGGGCGCGGTGGAGAGCAATGTGATCGCGCGCAAGCGGCGCGCGCTGGAGGACCGCGAGGCGCGGCTGTACCGCTTCATCGAGGCGCCCGACGAGGCGGTCACTGTGTTTATGTCGAGCTATATGCGCGAGAAGGGACTGATCTAGTAAGCCTCTTTCCCTCCTTTCCCACTTCTCCTTTCTTTCTTAAATTTCTCTTCTTTTCCCTCTTTTGTCTCCCCATTTCGTTTCTTCTTGATGCTTTAGCACCCGTGCTGATAAACCGATCAACGGAAGCTACATGAACCTCCTCACCAACACGCCCAAAGTCCTCGCTGCCTTCGTCCGCTTCCTCCACCGCAACCGCGTCTTCCCCGAGCCCTCCTCCATGAAGGCGCTCGAGCGCGCGCTGGCGGTGTGCAGCCGCGCGGAGGACGAGCTCCCGCTCACGGACCGCGCCGCGAAGGCGCTCCCCGACGCGCTGGGTGGGGTGCTCAGGGACTGCTGGGGACGAAAGCGCGAGGTGGTGTATGGCGGGCAGCTCGACGAGGCCGAGGAGGAGGAGCACGCGCGCAGGGAGCGCGAGGAGCGGGAGAGGGCGCAGGCGCAGGCTATGGGTGGGTGACGCCGCGCTCCTAAATTAGCTGGATCGAGTCTGATCTTGGTTTGCAGAGGAAGTCCGTGCACACGAGCGCGCGACGGTGGAACGCATCGCGAAGCGCCAGAGGGAGGAGGCCAAGGCAGCTGGTGCGATTGCGGATGGAGGCGGTCAGAGCTCAGGCATGCTTCATATCGATGGACAGGCCGCCGTAGGCATTGGCTGGGGCGATGCGTGGGACTCTGGCGCGGACGTGGATGCCAACGCCAACGCAGGCTGGGGTGGAGGCTGGGGAGACACGTGGGGCTCCTCTTCCGCTGCAGCCGAGGGCGATGCTGCCGCCGACCCAATCTCGAACGGCTGGGGCGGCACGTGGGGCTCCGACATACCAGCGACCGTCCCAGGTGCTGAAGGTCCGGTCGACGATGCATCTGTGACTGCTCCTATCCCGGACGCAGATGGAGGCGCCGGTGCTGTTGGCATCGAGTGGGACCAGCCCGTCGTGGACGACTGGACGGCCCCCGACGAGCTGAACACGCTCTTCCACCTCCTCGGGCCGACCGCGCTCCCGCTGACACATACCACGGGCATCGTCGAGTACTCGACGCGACGCATCGTCTCTCTGCACCCGCCCGTCATCCCCGCTGGCGCCTCTCCCCAGGCCGCGGCCGCCGCCGCGTCATCTACCGCCAACGAAGACGGCCAAGACGCCTCCGCACCCACCCCAGGTCTCGCCCCCGCCCTGACGCAGGCCGAACGCGCACCCGGCACGAGCAGACGCGAGCTGTGCGGCGCAGACGACCCGGACCGCGTCGAAGACGCACTCGACACCACGTTCGGCAAGATCGTGCTCGAGCCATGGCCGCACGCGCTGGGCGGCGACATCCGCGAGCCGAGCATCAAGCCGAGCTCGCGCGGGCCCGTTGTGCTCCCCGCGCACCAGCGCGCCCTCTCCGCAGCCAACCTGAAAATGCTCGACGCGTCCCCGAGCGCGGGCGCGGTCGCGGGCGCAGAGGGCACCGGCGCACCCGCGAACACAAACAAGAAGCCACACGACCCGTACACGTCGCGCATCGCGCTCCTTGTCGAGCCGCCTGTGCTCGAGACGCTGCGCGTGGGGATGGGCATCGCCGCCGTGTTCGTGCAGATTGCGCGGCAGGAGGACGTTCTCGGCACCGGCGCCCCGCCGAAGCCCGAGGGCGAGAAGAAGAAGAAAAAGAAGAAGAAGAGCGGTGCGAACGCGGGCCCGCCGGCGGGGAGCTACTGGTATCTCGAGGACAACATCGGGATTTTGCCGGGGTATTATCTGAATGACGGGGAGGAAGAGTAAGCGAGCGGTGTTGGTGGCAGAGACGGAGGAGTTGATCTTGATGGTGGCTGCGATTCATTCTTTCATTTTGTAACTTGTTTTAGTGGATTCATACCAACTTCAATATGCTTTCTTTCCATGCTATGCTTTGACTATTCTTTCGAGTTTGCTTGTGCATTTGAGGCCATGAGACAACAACAGGACAACCTTGACGTGATGGAGAAAAAATGAATGCATAGGCGACGAGATCGAAAATAAGACAACGAGGCGCTACCAGGGCTCGAACCTGGGTTACAGGAATCTCCGATCAGAATCCTGAGTGATAACCACTACACTATAGCGCCGGTATCGGCTCATTTTTGCTGTGTGCCTACAATCAGATAAGGATTTCGGAGTGCGCTATAAGCTCCGACCACAGTCACTCCTCCGAGTAATATCCCAACAGACGTGCTCCTGCTTCCGACGTCGACATGTCTGCAAGCTTTGACACTGGCACCTTGCATCACTCAATGACCTCTTGGCAACCCCTATTGACGTTCTTGCATGCCTGCTGGAGAAGCATCGATACGAATTAGTGGCAGTTCTTGATAGTCAAGTTCAAATTATCACAAGCGACCAAGTCGGTGGTCAGTGAACGGTACGACTCGTGTTTATCAATGTAGTCGCGAACAAGACTTTGAACGTTCGTTCTTCGCAATAAACCACAAGCAGATGTTTCTATCTCGTAAGTTCTCACCCGGAACCGAACAAGTTGCGAGACCCTAGTTTTGGTGCTGCCCCCGTCTCATACGTACCACTTTCCAGTGTGCCAATACTATAGGTGACTTTGTGGTATCTTTGTTCTGAGAATGCTTTGCGTTGGGAACTCAGAGTATATACACAATCAAAAACCACTGAGTGGAGGTGGATTATGATCGGCCCTTTCAGTCTGTACTGCCAGTGAACTGCGAGGAGGAAGGCGCGGGAGTTCGGGACAAGGCTGGAAAATCCTAGAACACCTCTGAACAGTCTTTCCTTTTTGAGCTAAGGACAAATATGGCAAAACAGTAACGCCGGGGATCCCTGCCCTCGCAGACTCGCATTCCCCACTGCTGTGTCTTTCCAGGCAGTTCCAGATCTCGCTATGTCTGACCCGTCACTTCTCGCGTCATCACAGCACAGTTTCTTGCCGCAAAATCACCTGCACATACGCAGGCACTGGCCGTCGACAAGTATATAAAGCTGGCATGCAAATAGATCTCTCAGAAACAACAGTCGACGGCCCTCCAACAACAGAAGCCAACTCTAGCCGCTTGCTTGACCTAATCTCATCTCTTCGTACCACCCATCATGGCTCTTATTCGCAGTGTCTACGACCCCTTCACCGAGTTCGGGCGCTTCTTCGACGATGCCTTCCTCACCCGTTTCTCGGGTGGAAGCGCCAACGCGAACCGTGACGTTTCTGCTCGACAGCCTTTCCGTCCCAAGTGCGCGATCTTTTCTCTATGTATCTGATATATCGGGCTGACTCTTGTCGCAGGGTAGATATCCACGAGGACGCGAACAACACCGTCACCGCGACCTTCGAGTTGCCCGGACTTAAGAAGGATGACGTGAGCATCCAGCTGCACAACAACCGTCTCACCGTCTCCGGCGAAACAAACGTCTCCTCTGAGCGCGAGGAGGACGGGTTCGCGGTGCGCGAGCGATCGTTTGGCCAATTCGAACGTACGCTCAGGCTTGCAGAGGGCACCAAGGTGGGTTGCGCGCGCAATCTTATCTATGATCAAATGGAGGTATCTGACGTCGAATGTACAGGAGGAGGATATCAAAGCGAACATGCAAGATGGCCTCCTTACCATCACGTTCCCGAAGGCGCCGGCCGAACAAGCGCCGAAGCGTATTGCTGTCTTGTGAGACTCTCTTATCCAAGCCTGCAGTGATTCGCATAAACAGAAGGATGTCCTGATGTTAGTTGTATGAGTACGATTTGTATGATATGTAGTCGCATCATGTTCACACCGCTCTGTGCATTATCGCAATGGCACCGATGTTTCTCGTTCATTGAGTCACTACAGAGTTTGAACGCGTGTTGGATCCAAATATGAGGCAAGGTGTGCCTTCAGGGCAAGGATGAGTTCATGCACACACATGAAACGAGTCGCATTAGAGTAAGCTAGAATAAGTCGTTGCTACGGTGCTCGTAATGATATACACGGGGAATGTTTTTGCTATTGCTATGAGTCCTCGTTTGCGAGCGCGGGACTCGGAGCAGCCTCAACTTTACGCTGGCCGAACGCGATTCGACATATTCATCGTATGCTTTCTTGCATATATCAAGAACCATCCATGGTCCTGTGAGACCATAGAACACATATCTGAGGGTCGCAAAGGTTGTCTAGTACAAACCCTTAACCTCACAGTTACAATAGTAATCTCTTCTACGATATAGAGTCGATAGCCTGCCGTAATTAGGTATCGGCGATGCGCAAGAAGCAACGAGCAAACTTACAACTGTCAAGTTCGTACCGCTCGGCTCGGTTCGATAATACAAAGATTCTATACCACGACTTACCCCTGAAAACAAAATCCGTCGCGAATTAAGTAGGTGTGATCGTAAATGTATCAGGTGCGCTCACTCCTGATGATGAGAGTGCACCGATATTAAGGACTTGTAAACACGACTTGTAAGACTAATATGGTATTAACAGATAGTAAGACTTACGTACGTGTGATCTAAGAAAGAAAAACGTATGTGTTAGCAAATGTATGAAAATTTACCCGTCCCACTCACAATCACAGCTGACAGAAGTATTACCACCACACACAAATAAACAAGTACGCAGACACTCACCACGGCGTAAAAAAGCGCCTTACCGAACCAGTTTCGCGTTGACGCCCGCCGTGTCTGTTCATTTTACGATCAGAAAGAGACGATGTTCAACATAGTCGTGTCAAGCGTACCCATACGAGGTCATGTCGGAGACTGTACAGCCTCTAAGCGGTAAGAGTAGTAGCAACTTCTTCACCTTGCGCCAGACACGTAAGTTAGTTGTCGCAAATGCAAGACGACCGCTATATGCATTATTTAGATACGTAGGCTAGAACGTGACAGAAAGAATTTAAACGCGTCTCTTCTGTCAGAACCCTGAGTATATGTCAGGTAACCAGCTCGAGTCGGCACTAGCGCCATATCACCAACGTTACGGCTGTGTCGGCGCCAACCGCTGTCGCCACTCCCGTACGGATGAGACGAGACAGTGCTTGCGGCTCTCACAGTGCAGCACAGTGGAGTGGGTACTCCTGGAGAAGACGACGACGAGACACCTCGTATAGCTGGGATGAGTGACTACTAACACGCGCGAACACGCTATGTACCGACTACGCTGGCCATGCCGGCCCTAAACTACGCATCGTGCCTTCCTCAAGGCTCGGTCTGATCCTCCCTAGTCCAACAGGGAAAAAATTAGTGCCAGAAAAACTCCGTCAAACATGGGGTATCAGACAAAATTGCAAGTAGATTGAGATCATCTCGGAAGCATAATCACATAAATAAAAAGGCTGCACATTGGTGCATGTGAGCATCTAGCGATAATTACGCAGGTGAAAGAGTGAGAACTTCTGCCCAATATTCTGTGTGTCGAGGATCATGTGTTCTGCTTGGAGGCTCCGTGCGCAGTTCCAGGTATACAAAGGCCAGCAGCTGATATCAATGTGGCAAAAAAAGAATATATTACTTTGGTGGATGGTGTCCAGCCATCATGATCTGGGATCCATATCCATGGGTCGAACCTTGGATAAAGCAAGGCTACGTAAATTTACACGCATCTTGTAAATGTTCGTGATGCGACCAATGTTCTACTCATGATGTAAATCTCGTACATTCTGAGCTAAAGTAAACGAACAAAAGGTTTCGTCACTACAAGTAAACTGTTTTCACCATATTCCTCTTGACTCTCAACGGAGCGATTTGAAAAGGAATGTCTATTGGAGTGGTTGCAATCCTCATCCATGACTGGCCTTCGTTGTCTTGCGTTAGCGGGTCTGACGTTCCCACTAGGATCCATCCTATTAGGGGAGGGTAAATATCCACGTAAAGCTCTCTTGAATGCGGGTCTTTGGTCAATGTGTAGATTGTGGCGCCGAAAGCATAGGACCTCATGACTCGGATTGACCTCAACCCGATATTCTCCAACAACTTGACGTTTAACTCGACCATAGGGAGAGAACCATTGGTAAAAGAGAAGGTATATCCTCCTTCGCGAACCTTGCTGAGGATCAGAGGGATGATGACAATGGAGTGGCGCAAACCCTTGCTAGTGAGGGCCATATCCGCTTGAAGACCGTACGCTGATGGATGGATTTTCGGTTGGTTCAGATAGCTGGCCGGGGAAGCGGGCATGCACCGCGTGGTGAAATGCTGAGCTGAATGTCCTGCCCAGTTGAGTATGGAGGGATCACCGCCGGAAATCATGATGGCTTCGACGAGGCGACAGAACGCCCGGTCGAAGCCTTCTCCGTACGCTGCTGAGATGGAGACGTTGAAGATGCCCATGAGAGAGTATGCTACATCCTCCACTCTGGTGACCTCCCGATTCGCTGCCCACTTCATGCGCTTGTCAACGTAGCGAGGAGATGGATGAAACCGCTCTAGGTCCTCCAAGGGTATCCCGGTAACTTCGGAGGCAACGCACAAAGCGATGTCAGTCACCCGTCTCTCGTCGTCCTGTGATTTGTCACTCTTTCCTCCATCACCATCTGCTTGTAAAATAGAGAGACAGTCCCAGGTCTTGTTGAAGAACTGGATCCTTCTTGGAGCTAAAAGCTCCTGGAGCGTCCAGCCTCTGCGGAACCATTCATCGCTGACCATGTCCTCTAGGGACATCGTCTGATCAAGGTGGGTAATGCAGAGTGTTGAGTTCCGATACCACTTGAACATTGACCGGATAGACTCGTCCAACTCTGCGCTGCTCGTCTTGTCAATGCAGCACGTATCAATCCACGCATAATGCATGCCCTGACGCGCCGCCTCGGCGCAGAAACGAACGATTTTGATCCACCCGGCGGACTTGAAAGACCGTTTCTGTCCGAAGTCTTGGAACGATACCTCGTCGTCCGACCACCTGTGCGAGAGAATGGCGTAGCTGACCACCTTCTTGACTAAATGCTCGTTGGAATAGTTTCCCAGGCGAGAACTGACTTCTTCGAGCTCGCCAAATTGGATTTGGCCGATGACAGGCTGTAAGTGTTCCCTCACCTCCCGACGCCCCACGAGTTTGAGATCGCCGTTGGCATTGCACTGGATTAAGCGTATCGGTATGTCGTTCTCGACGTATCTCTTAAACTCTCGTCGAATTTCGTTCCGTAGCGCATCTGAGCTGGATACATCTGGGCTGAATAGGTACTTAGATATCCGGTCAGTATAGCGAGAGACTCTTCAATGGCTCACAACATAATGCCCTTGAATTATTCTATTGGCGAGTCGCAAGTGATTCTGGGAGAAACGAAACACGCGGAGCGATTGAATGATAATAACTGATATGAAGCGGAGAATGAATACTCGGCTTGGCTGTGAAACGGCCGTACTGGTACATACAGGACTTGTACAGGACACACTCTCAAAGTAGCACAAATATTACTTAGTTCCTGAGACCTGAGTATCAGGTCGGTTCGATATGCTGTGGCCGCTGTGGTTTCCTGTAGGAAAATCCCGAGATGATCTTATTGGGCCTATGCAACTGACAGGATGAGGTAACGACAACACCCTCAGGCTATATCAAACGGTATGGCCGACACGTTTGGACGGTCCTAGTCCTGGAGACGGCGACTGCAAGAGTACTCGTATAGCAGGGATGAGTAGCTACGAACACGCGCGAACATGCTATATACTGCCTACGCTGGCCATGCCGGCCCTAAACTACTGCATCGCGCCTTCCTCGAGGCTCGGTCCAACCCTCCCTACTCCAACATACGTTGTACTTTTATCATCCTAGATGTACCATGATAATAGAGCATTATAAACTACGCAAGCAACAAGGTATCGGATCTACAAGTATATGGTTTCTAACATATCCTTTTTAAGCATCAAAGGTTGGATATTTTCCGGATGAATGCATATTGGCGTGGTCGGAACCCTTCTCCACGACATGTATGTCGCGTGTTCCCACATCAGGAAGAAGAAGTCTCGACTCGTCATTTTTTCGAGAAGCCATCCGACGAGAGGAGGGAAAACCGCCACCTCATCTTCCTCCGACCGTCTCGTGATAGGAGTGAGAGGAAAATAACTTGTGACGCCAAGGGCGTAGGTGCTGTCACTTCTCGGACGGCCGCCATTTTCCGAACTTGAGTCCTCCAAGCTGGTAACGGTGAATGCGAGCTTCGAGATGCCCCGTGAAGGGTCGTCGGTCAACGAGAAGGAATATTTTCCATTGCTGAACCCTAAGAAATCCAGAGGAATAATGACGAGAGGAACACGCAGACCCTTGCTAGTAAGGGCTACATCCATCCGACATATGTTGTGAGAGCTGCGCTCCGGGTGATTCTGATAGCTCGCTGGTGACGCAGGCATACACGCGGATGTGTGATTCTTGGCTGGAAGACCTCCCCAGTTGAGGACGGAAGGGTCGCCTCCGGCCATCATGATAGCCTCCACGAGACGACAGAATGCGCGATCAAGGCCCTCTCCGTATGCCGTCGAGATGGAGACGTCGAAGAGTCCCATGAGAGAGTACGCCGTGTCCTCTTCCCTAGTGACCACCCGGTTTGCTGCCCACGTCATGCGCTCGTCGACCTTCCGAGGAGATGGATCAAAACTCCTCAGCTCGTCCAGAGGTATACCTGTCACCACAGCGGCAATTTCCAAAGTTTGGCTGAGCGAGGTCGGATCCTTGTCGTTATGAAGTGAAAGAGGAGTGAGACGGTCCCAGCTCCTGTTGAAGAACTGGACCTTTTCCGGAGCTAAAAGCTCCTGGAGCGTCCAGCCTCTGCGGAACCAGTCATCCCCGGCCATGTCGTCCAGCGACGCAGTCTGGGAAAGGTGGATGATGCAGAGTGCCGAATTCCGGTACCACTTGAACATGGACCGAATGGACTCATCCAGCTCAGCGCTGCTCGCTTTGTCAATACAGCATGTGTCGATCCACGCGAAGCGCATGCCCTGGCGTGCTGCCTCGGCGCAGAAACGGGCAACCTTGGTCCATCCAGCTGGCTTGAAGAACCATATTCTGCCAAAGTCATGGAAAGTGACTTCGTGGTCCGACCACCTGTGGGAGAGGATAGCGTAGCGGACCGTCTTCCGCACCAGGTCCTTGACGTGTGCTCTCTGTGCGTGAAGCTCGGCACCTGCAGGCTCCCCCAGCTCAAGCTGGTCGAGATGACGTTGGAAATATTCTCTGACTTCTCGACGCCCAACCAACTTCAGGCGTCTAGTGTCGTCGCACTGAATGATGCGTATTGGTATATGGTTATTGACATAGCTCTCGAATTCTTGGCGGACGTGGTTTCGCAACGTGTCTAAAGTAGACATGTCTGAGACGGATATAAGGTTAAAGGTGAAAATCGGCAGAACGGTGGACTACTGACGCACGAAATGTTGTTTTGGCTTCTTCTATGCCAGCGGGACAGGTCCTGGGGAAAGCGGGTCAAGCGAGGCAATGGACATGATAAGTATGGACATGAAGCGGAGTGTCCCGCTGGCTCTGGTGGTCTTATCGCTCCCCAAGACACCCTTAAGGTACTGTATCGTAAAGCTAACCTTGGTTCGTAAGGCGTCAATCACGCTTCTTTGAGATCTTGAGATACTGAGATCCGTTCAAGGTGTGCGCAGCTGTGGGCTTGGCCTCCGAAAAGACAGCAATAAAACGAGCAAGTGAATTCCAGCATGAAAAGAATGGCTGGGTGGCATCGTGCAAGGTGCTCACACCCGGCACGCCGCGTACTGGTTGACAACACGACTAAAGAGTTATCGACTGCGTATGTCGACAAGAAAGTCTGATACCAGGAACATTCGCCGTAGAGCATGGGTAGGCTCCCGACAAGATGACGACAGAACGAGACAGTGAGGATGTCAGACAATCCAAGTAAAGCAAATTCACGTCGAAAGCAAATGGGATAGATAACGAGACGGCACGTCGATACATGCGAGCACCTAGCGTTACGCGAGTTACCGAGTGAGAACCTCTGCCCCATCTTCTGTGATGAGGACCATGTGTTCTGCTTGGGCGCTCCGTGCGCAATTCTGGGTATCCAAAGGTCAGCGGTTCAGATCAATGTGGCGGATAGAAGGCCGTACCTCAGTGGATGCCGTCCAGCCGTCTGGGAATATCCATATCCTTGGGTTCGATCCTTGTATAAGGCAGGGCTGCGCAAATTGCAATGCATGGTGTAAGCGTTCGCGAAGCGACCTAGGAAACAAGAATCGTACCTCGATTGTGAAGCAGTGACCAGGCTGCATGATGCCCGGCTCCTCGTTCACTGTATCATATGTTTTATTAGCGCGAAGAGTACGGCAGGAGGGCAGAAGGCGTACGAGTATGGAATATCCACGGCGGGCGATGGAACTCTCGCCCGATGCCGTGTCCCGTAAAAGACTGGCAGACAATGTGAGGAAGCTTTGAAGCAAGGACATGGTCGTGTATTGCGCGCGCAATGCCTGTAAAGGGGGCTCCAGGTTTGCACGCTGCAATGCCGGCTTCGAGGGCGTCGGTTGTTGCCGAAACGAGGGCGCGGCCTGTGTCATCCTGTAATGTTGGATAAGAAACGGACTCCAGGGGCACGGTGGCTGCAGTGGAACGTACAACGTCGCCAACAAGGAAGGTGTCGGAAGTGTCTCCGTGGAAGCCATCGAGGTACACGGTCACGTCAACGTTGACTATGTCGCCGTCTTGTAATGGCCGGCTGAGGCTTGTGTCAACCCTGGTGTAGTATCAAGCGAGCCAAACGGGATGCTCACTCATCGGGTATCCCATGAGCAACGATGTTGTTCACACTGGTGCAGCAGGAACGGGGGAAGCCGGAGTAAAGGAGCGGAGAAGGATACGCCTTCCGCTTCACAATGTACTCATGGACGGCGCTGTCGATGGCATTTGTAGTAACGCCTGGCTAGTTACGTGTAAATAAGGCAAATGAAGCAGATGAGGACACAAGGGTGCTCACCTTGACCAGCGTCCCCGCGTAATCCCGCACTTCGCTCGCCAGACGCGCTGCCTTTCTGAGCCTGCGCTCGTCCTCGCTGCCTAGTCCTATGAGACCGTCGCCACTGTATGGCTCTGGTTTCCCTTCCTCTCCAGTGGGTTGCATCGCGTAATGTGGGCGTCGAATGTGATTCGGCACGGTCCGGGATTCGATGTGGTCCACGCCCCAGACATAGGGTTCTTCGGGGAGGATAACATCGTACGCGCCGAACTCTGTGGGGTCAGACTGGTCGCCATCGAGTGCTTCATATGTGTGCTTCCGCCTCCGAAGGATACTTCGAGAGGCCGAAATGGGGGGAGGAGCTGAATATAAATGGCGAGCGGAAGACAGCAGCGGTCTACATGTTGCGCGTCGGCAGCTTGGGTTCAATCTTGAAAGACGAGGCAGCATGACATCGTAGAGAGGTATCAGAATACTCAAGCGTTAGTCGACGCTCGTGTTGAACGACGTCGAGTTGGAAAGTAAAGGCAATGTGTCGGCTGGATGCCAAGTTTAGTTCATGATGCAGCGGTCGGATGTTTACATCTGTTTTCCAAGAACTTCAGAATCTAACATGAGCAAACAACCGCTTCCGGATGTGCCAGCCTCGCAAAATCTGTGATCTCAAGTCGCGCACTTGCGTTTTGTTTTTCCAAGCTGTCGTTTCTACTCAGGCTCCTCTACCGCACCATGCCCCGTGGCACTCAGCGCGGAGGGTATCCTCAAGGAGGGAATCCTTCACAACCCTCGTCAACATACGACGCGTACGGCGCATACGGGTACAGCGCCTACTCAAGCTATTCCTCTGGCTCAAGCTACAATCAAGACGTCCAGTACGACTACAACGCCAACTACGCAGATCCATCAAACTCGTATGGCCCATATGGCTCGTATAACTCATACAACTACCAGTCTGAACACGACACATATCACCCTCCGCCACGCGGTCCTCGTGGACATAGACACGGTGGTCGCAGAGGCGCATATGCGTACGAGGATCGCTCCTATCAAAGACGCGACTATCACTCCCAAAGCACTTCATCTCTCCCACAACGCCGTTCAAGCCCAAGCTACTCTCCCATACGCGATAGCTCACCCGCCCCATACATGATGAAACCTGCATTTGGCCGTTCATCACCTCCGCGAGACCCCGCCACAAGCCCACCGCGTACCTCATCCCCTCCTCCTATACCACTTCCTTCTGGCCCTTCTGAAGAATACCTCAATGCTTCTCTCGAGCCCTCGATTCGAATACAGGACCCTAGTACATCTCGCAAACTGCTCATCCTCGACCTGAACGGAACCCTCCTTTTCCGCTCGCAGAATCGCCGTGCGCCCGACGGGTCTCAGCCTTACCCACACAACTCTGGTGGCTTTGGGCCAAGACTTCGTTCAGTACATCCGCGCCCATATGCTCCCTCGTTCGTGCAGTACCTTTTCGCGCCGGAAACGCGAGCGTGGCTCGACACGATGGTTTGGTCTTCGGCACAGCCACATAGCGTGGGCGATATGGTGGATAAGGTGTTTGGCGAGGCGAGGGCAAAGCTGAGGGCGGTATGGGACAGGCAGAGTTTGGGTCTGGGTAGAGATCAGTATCGTGAGTCACGGCTTGACTTTTCTTGCATATATGTGCTGACCCTCATCCTCCCCGTCGGCTTTCGTCCCCAAGATCGAAAGACACAGACGACCAAAGATCTTGCGAAGCCTTGGATGCTCCTGTCCGGCCACTCGAATCGTCATGCGTCACCAGAAACATACACCAAAGCTCTGGATCGACACCACGCCTCCGCCAAATCGCTACTTCCCCTCGACCCAGACACCGACACGCCCCCAGGACTCATCCACACCTCCGACGACCTGCTTGACACAGATATTACACCAGTTGCCGCCGCAGATGCCCACTCAGCGCACACTACGCTCCTCCTGGACGACTCTCCGCTCAAAGCACGCCTCCAGCCATACAACCATGTTTGTCTTCCTGAGTATACCGGCGGACTTCGCGCAAAGGATGTGCGTGCGCTTGAGCTCATTGAGCACGAGCGTGGACGCGAAGTGGGGCGACAAGATGACAGGGCTCAAGAAGAAGGAACGGAGGCGAACGTTGGTGCTGTGGAGAGCTCGTCGCCTGAGTCGAAGAAGCGCAAGCGGGCACAGCGGGATGTCTCGGGTTCTCACTCTCCTTCGTCCGTCCCTTCATCCGTCCCCATCAGCGGTGAAGCCCCTGCCCATGATACACGAGAGTCGCAGAAGTGCGAGGAGGCGGATGTCGAACCCTTCGACCCAACTCTGTTGGCTGTCATTGGCGTGCTCGACGCGCTCAAGCACGAGAGCAATGCCGCTGCATGGGTCCGCGCTCGTGGTCTGTTTGCCGCTCTCACCACCGATGGCTCCTTATCACCCCCGTTGACTGCTGTTGACGCTGCAAGCTTAGTCGAAGTCGACGAAGATGAAGCTGAGTGGACTGGTATTTCCACCACCGATGGAGAACCATCCGCGGCGACGGAGGATAATGCTGTTCCGAGCGCGCCCAACGCAGCTGCTCCACAGCTCAATCGGCGCCTGCTCAAGAAACAGCGCAAGCGGGAGGAGAAAGCCACCGCACGTGCTGCTCAAGTCGACACCAAAGCCGAGGGAGGGAATGACGGGGCGGAGGCAGGGGAGGGGGAGAAGATGTGGTTCGCCGACGCTCGCAACTATGCCTGCTGGGTTGCGCGTGGGCGGGGTGCGTTGAAGGAGTTGGGGATCGAGGAGATGTATGGCGTGAGAAATGCAAATTGATGATAGCTTGGTTCGCAGGAGAACGTGGTATAGTAGGTTACAATCTAATCACTGCTTCGCTCACACTACGCATGAATGTTATGACGAGAAGCCCAAACGTCGGGACCCCTTCCGCTCTCTCAAAACATCAATTCTTTTAGCCACAACGCGAGTTCCACCACGTGGCGATAGTCACTCCGGGGCTCAAGCCCTCCGAGACACGTTCTTGCCTCCGACTTGCCTCCGACATTGACAGGTCTCAACCCTGATACATCGGTTCGGTCGGTAGTATCTTGCCAACATCTGACGACATTCCTGCGTATCACCTTCTAGAAGCACTCTTCAAACATCCTTATGCCTCTGCGACGCTCGAAATGGGAAATTCGATTGGAACAGCACGAATGACGATGTCTTAGCAGCCAGGATCCAGGTTATGAGCATATGGCCGGTGAGTGACACGTTGATGCGCCCATGTGTACTTGACGAAGAAGCGAGTAGAAAGTTTAATTGTCGTGATTAAAGACACAAGCGGATGTTTTAACTCTACGCGTTCGTGCTTGTCCAGGAAGCGAGTAAGCTGCTTGGTCCTAATAATATTCCTCGCAACCCTGACTCAGACATTGCTCCGCGTCACTCAGCAACTGTTTGTTTCTCTCTCTCCTGATTTCTGCGATGTAGAAGTGGTGGGATCCAAGGAATTGTGACTGAACGCGTCTCACTGTTTAGACTGCTGGAAGTTACTCTCCCTGACTCGCGCGGTGAAATTGGATCGGCGACTCCTTGACACAAACGGCTACATATCCGCTGACAGATGCCTCAGGCGCCATGAAATGCATGTCAGATCTTGTTCGGCACCCTAAACGCATAACCGCCAGAATCGGACGATATGAAGCGACGTCACGACGCCCTTCAACATATAAAAACCCGCCCAAGTCTCTCTCCGTTCCTCAGTACCCTCGCTCTCTCGAGTCCTACCTCTCCTCCTCTCACTTGACGTTGCATCATGTTCACTCGCATCTCCGTCGTCGTCTTCTCCGCTGTTGTGGCCATCGCCGCCACGACCTCTCTCAAAGTCGCCCGAGACACTCTTCCCAACGGCGAACAGTGCAGGAACGGGACCTCGGTCTGGTGCTGCCCCGGTTATGTGCGTACTGACTTCTCCTGTGCTGATGGCCTTTATTTTCCCAAACGCTGATGCATCGACGGCACAACAGGATGGCGAGATCGAGCAGGTCGAGGTGAATTGCACGAAGCCTGCCACCACTGCAAGCGATGAGCCGTCGTGTAACAGCACGGACAGCAGCACCGAGCTTGTCGCACCTACCGCCGGCTGCTGTATCCTAGTCGATGATGCTGACGTGAGTGTTCGCGTCTTCCAGCATATAAAGGTGCTAATTCAAGCGACTAATAGTACGGCGAAGCCTGGGCTTGCGACAATGGCAGCAGCAACAATACAGCGTTGGACCAGGCCCTCGGAGATGCAGGCTATTGATATGGTCTCCATGTCGTGGTGATCCATGTTTTAGAGGGTGTTGTCGAGCTGGGCATCAACGTCCCAGTATGCTTAAGGATTTGATGTTGCTGAGTCGCGATGCTCACTACCTCGCGTCAGGCATTATCTTCACGTACAACAATGCCTTCACTATGATGTGGTACATTACAACACCAGTGACTAATGGCTTGCCTGAATGCTTGATAACGTGCATATTAGAGGCCGCTATATGTTTGTGAAGCTATCTAGATGGTAAACGTAGGAAACAGGTATGCACGGAGCTCTATAGGCGCCGAGGCGCTCTACTGTCTTGTGAAACGCTAATCTCATGTCTCGTTCTGAAAGGAAGAACGCCTTTATAGCAGATCTAGGTATGCGCTACATACACCCTTCACAATGGCGCTCGCGCTAGGTTAATATAATACATTACAATAATATGTCGTAGACTTAACTAAAGCCTAATTTAATGTATCACTATAGTTCTACGAACACATGCACTATACTCGTTGAAAGACTAGCGAGCTAGAGTTAACCGCAGTGGATTTTGAGGCCGATAGTTATGCGATCTCTTCATCACCGCTGCTGGTTGCCAGGTGAGGACGACGAAGAAATCTCAGCTGATTGTTATCGGCCGTTTCGGTTGCAACCTGGTCCTCATATGCCTCTCTGCGCAAGTCAAGAACCATCCAAGGTCCTACGAGACCGTAGAACAGGTACCTGAGAGTCGCAAACGTTGTCCAGTACAGACCTTTAGACTGAAAATCCGCAGTTAAGCCGCCAGCGATTGCTCTGTAAATGCACCCAGCCACTCACCATCTCGATCCCGGGTATTTGCTCAAGCGTAGTAATGAGAAGAATGAAGAACGCACTAGACAATGTCATTGATCGAGAAGAAACGAAGAACGAGACGCGCTTACAGGAAGAAGTATACCAGGTTATCCCTCACAAGCTTGAAAACCAAGTTGCTCGCGAAGAACTTCGAAGAGCCACGGGTCCTGGTGCCTTGAACGAGGTAATAGATGGCGAACGCACAGAGTAAAAGTTCGTATGCGGCAAGCATTCCGTTATTCAACGGGATCAACCACGGACCCCATGACGACGGAAGTTCGCCTCGAACGAAACAGTCTTTGACAGGGCCCTCATCGATGAGTACTGAAAAAAAAATAAAGGTTAGGGCGTATGAAAAAAGACAAGCCGCGATGGGACGTTTACCTGTTGGCCCTGCGTATGCCACGAAGTACATGACAACCATGGCAACGGCGACGATTTGTGTAGCAACGAAGGTTACAAGCAGAACGACGTAGACTTCGCGCTGCATGCCTAGGAGGATCCACACTCGAACAGACATCATCCCTATCGATGGGCATTCGCTTTCTCTGAGTCCGAATGGTGACGAATATTTGTAAACGCGACATACCTTGCAGAAGAAACGTCAGGGAGAAGAGGGTGATTTCTTCGACGATAAATAACCGGTAGCCTACCATGCAAGTGAGAATTCAGTGAGGTGCGTGGATTGACCGATGAACGTACACCTGATGCATTCGCACGATTCCGTATCGCTCAGCATGTTGCAGATAATTACGGCTCCCTGAACAATTCCTGAGCCCACTTACCCCTGAGAACAGAGTAAGCCATAGCATCAATACTCATAATCATCCGAGAGCTTAGCGATACTCACATATGATGATGACGTCACGCCAATATTAAGGACTGGTAAATGAAAGTCACCGGACTGGCTTGACTGAAAAACAGAAAGACGCACGAGTGTGTATTCTATGAAGAATTATGAGCCAGTCAAGTAAGAGCGCATGTCATCCCACTTACATTGACCACAGTAAACCGCCGTACCGCAGCTAAGGAAAGGTACTCCATGAGACTTCTCGCTCACCAACGACGTCAAGAACAAAGGAGCTAACTGCAGCGTAAAAGACCGCCTTGATGAGCCACTTTCGCGTCGTCGACGATCGCCGCTTCTAGACAGAGTGAGCGTGTCAAAAGGTATAATCAACTTGAGCGTACCCATACGAGCTCGACCTGCACATCATGCCGTCAGCGAGGCCTTTCTTCGCCGTAAGAATTCTTCAAGTACGGACCTCGGAACCGATGCTAAGCACTAAACCAAATAACGTTAACTGTGGGCCTGACACAAAATAAGGGTCCCGTGCTTACCTTGATCATAGACAACCACTGCTAACCCAGCCACTGAATCAAGCAAAGGGAAGAACCTTTCGGTAAGCCGACATTGTGTGCTGTGGGCCGTAAGGGGATGAGGCTACAAGAGACGCACCCATGGAATACGTCGTAGTGAAGATATAGGACGTGATCTCCGCAGGTGTCGGCTCCTGATCGGTGGATGGTAATTGAGACATGCCGGGCCAACGTAAAGCCGGATAATGACTGTCAAGAGAAACGACAGAGATGATTGGAATCGACAGAGAAGAAGAACAAGAAGGTATCGAAGCTTGAGGAAAAAAACACATCACAGGGGCCAGCCTAATATACCTTCCATATCGTCATCAGGAGCTCTCCTGCACTGACGTCCGTCGTAAGGGAAGATACCAGCTGATTGCTGAAAAAGTTAACTTGGCCATTGCTTGGCCATTCCGATCCACATCCCTTCTATTTGACGAGAGTGACTTCATGTATCCGGCCCTACCCGGCCATTAATCTCCTTCCCGGCGGGTCTACGTCCCTGTGGTTAATTTCCAATTTAGAATAGGAGGCGGTAGCCCCACCTTCAGCTTCAGCTTCAGCATTTGCAATGGAAGACCAGAACAACGTTCCTCGCTGAGGGTTAGGGTTATGCAGGACCCCTGGTTATGCGTTAGTGCTAGGCTGTTATAGGGCTAGTGCGGCTTCAGTGGCAAGCCGTCGTGGAGGCATTGTCTTATATTTCGAGACTTTTCCAGCTGAACGCCTTGGCTACTCTCGGAGGCGAGAATGTGTTGGTCAGCGCGGATCCTCAAATACGGAAGGCAAATGGGGATCTCAACTTACTTCCAACTTACATCGCGAGTAACTCTTGAATTCAGCACACGCCTGGCAGACATTTTGCTCGCGAATCCAGGCTTTACCGGAACCCCCGATCGATCCGAGACGACCCACATAGAATGCGTTGATCGTGATCGCTGATCGTGTTCCGCGCCGGAGTGTTGTTAGGGCCAGGTGTAAGGCAAGTGGAGGCGGAAGAGGGCGGAAGAGGGCGCAAGGCACGAGAAAGGCCGCCAAAGCCCCAGCCGTATTTCGTCTTTGAGCTAACCCTAAGTATGGCACAACAGAACCACCAAGCAAAAAGTATACATTGTCCTTGCGTTGTCCTAGACGATAGAGGGGTAGCAACTTGGTTATATGTTGCGAAAGGTTTGATGGTTCTATGGTTCAGCATGATGGTACAAGAACGACAGCAGACAGTAAAAATGTCATCTCGATGAAATCACGGCGCTTCGTTGCCCTGGACCCTAGCCAAACCTCAGCATGGACGGCAAAGGATTCCCCAATCAACGTTGGAACAGGCTTGCTCGATAAAGCGGCTCAGATAAATCCCAAGAACAAAAGATACGCTTCAGAAATACCATTCTCACAGCTCTTTTTGATACTGTACTTTGAAGACCTGAAATGCAGTTACGGATGCGTTAGAGCCCTCTGAGTGGGTCGATCAAACCACCATGATACGCTTTGGCGTTTGCTCGGCGGCCGTCTTTGGAAAGCAGACGCTCAACATGCCGTTCTCCATGTCCGCCTTGACTTCTTCGGCCTACGATGTGTAATGTTTCGTCAGCACCTTCTGTCCCTGTCATAATCGAATGGGTGTAACTTCGTGCGTACCTTAACCCCTTTGGGGAGACTCAAAACCCTCTCGAATGTGCCGTATGATCGCTCGCGCACCGCGTACCCCTTCTCCTCATGGTCGCTCTCCATCTTAGTCTCTCCAGAGATCTTGAGCCGGGTGCCGTGCGGCTCGATGTTGACGTCCTCTTTCTTCAACCCGGGAAGCTCAAACGATGCCGTGACAGTGTTCTTCTCGCTATCCTCAAGGACGTCGACCCTGGAGTAGAGGAAGTTAGCGAGTTGGCGAGCGAGAAATGACGGGAAGCGTATTTGGGGCGGAAGGACTGGCCTTTCAGATGTTCCCGACTAGCTGGACCGCCAAAGCGTGCGGCGAGCGCGTTGTCAAAGAGGCGGTCGAGCTCAGAGAAGGGGTCATAGATGCCGTAAATAACAGACATGGGATCTAACCGTTGAGTACAGTAGGGTGCGATATGGGTATGTTGAGAGATGTCTCGCTGCTCGACGAAAGTGAGTTCGGTGTGCAGGCCTCCTAAAGCCAGCTCTTGGGCTTATTTCCTCCGCTCGAGAAAGACATACGTCAAAGCTTTCGTCAGGGCACGTTCCACGTCATCGTATATCAACTCATCTGATCCGAAGCAATGAACAGGGGAGGTGCTGAGACCATCTTTGAGTTCTACGCCGGTGTCTTGTGACGGCGCACACTTGAAGCAGGGTTCATGAAGCGGCGCGGGACAAGCCTGGAAAGGCCTCGAACGCCTACGCCCCTTGAACGGGCTTTCCTCTTTGAGCTGGAGACAAACACAGCACAACATAAATCCTCCCTCTTCCGAACCTTTGTCCGAGCCCGCACTTCCGCTACCGTATCGTTGGGGACATTTTTACGTAGTACTACCGTTGATCCATCAGCTCGCGAAACATCATTAGGAATACTCATGACGCACACCATCATTAGACATCGAGACGGATATATTGAAGACGCCATGCGCAGGCCTCAGCTAGGCTAAAGAACAATCGGTAACTCACATAGCTACTATACCTCCTGCTCTCGTCACCAAACCTCATCTACTAATCTCCAATCAACATGTCTCTCATCCGTGGCGTCTACGACCCCTTCGCTGATTTCAATCGCTTCTTTGACGACGCCTTCCTCTCCCGTTTCTCGGGCGGAGACGCGAACGCAAATCGCGAAGTCTCCGCTCGATAGCGCTTCCGCCCTAAGTAAGCTCCTCAATCTCTTTATTTGACAGTCATTGTAAGGTAGACATTCACGAGGATGCAAACAACACCGCCACCGAGACCTTCGAGTTGCCCGGACTTAAGAAGGACGACGTGAGCATCCAGCTGCACAACAACCGTCTCACCGTTTCCGGCGAAACAAACGTCTCCTCTGAGCGCGAGGAGAACGGGTTCGCGGTCCGCGAGCGCTCGTTTGGCCAGTTCGAACGTACGCTCAGGCTTTCAGAGGGAGTCAATGTATGCAGTCAGTCTTCTTGTGCAATATCGGGGACCGTGTCTGACCTGACGGCGCGCATGCAGGAGGCGGGTATCAAGACTAATATACAAGATGGTCTCCTCACCGTCTCGTATCCGAGTTTGCCAGCCGGGCAGGCGCCGAAGCCCATGATCGTCTTGTGAGATGACCATTACGCTGCCTCCACATCTGCATAGAAAGGTCACTTTACCAATACGATATGACAGTACTCCTGGACCCATCTGTTATACCATTCATCTGTACGAAATATTAATAACATCCGTTGACCTATATTCATACATAATGCATGATGGCTGAGGCGTTATAATTAAGGCAACGCGAATGTCATTTCCCAATTTAAACCAAAAGGACTGGATGTACATCAAAGAAATAAAATCTTGAGACGTGGAAGCACGCCGAAGCGTGAACACTGAAGGTTCGGACGAGGCGTGATAGGACGACGGTGTATTTCGGAGGCGAGGAAGAGTGAATATGAGAGAGCCAAGTACAGGAGAGTAAGAAGCTATCGAGACGAAGGCGAGGGAGCAGTGGTCTAAATACGAAAAGAGAGAGAGTATGCCATAGGCGCAGTATCGAGAAAGGAGCGTAGCAAACTTATGAGATATGTTTAGAATGCGTCCATAGAAGCAGAAGGAAGCAAATCCAATGTCATATTGGGTATAGGAGGATTGTCGAAGCCTGATCGTGGAGCGGGCTCGAAAGGTATGTGTCGGCGTGTCGTAAATCCGAGGAGCGGGCTTACAAGACGCTAGCGATTATGATACTACTAAGTAACACGCTAATCGCATAGTGAGAGTACTTCATGCTGATTGACTTGAAGTCACATCGCAATTGGTGTGACCCCCCAGTCGCTGATGTGGAAGTAGCAGCAGCTTAACGTTATTTGAACTAGCCTCAGCGTGCTTTCTGTACGCTTCTTTGCGTAAATCAAGCATCATCCACGGCCCTACAATACCGTAGAACACGTATCTGAGTGCCGTGTACGTGGTCCAGTACAGGTCCTTAGACTAAATTTGTTTTCGTGAGCAGCTGCCGATTCTGTAAGAATGAATGGATGAAGATAATCACCGATTGTATCCATGTGATCTCTTCTAATGCAGTGATGAGAAGAATAAAGAACGCCCTACAAGAGTCGCCATGAGATGTGGAGCAACCTGTCAAGAGAGGAGATGTTTGCTTACAGAATGAAGTACAGAAAGTTGTCTCGAATAAGAGTGGAGACCAGGCTATTGGTGAGCACTCCGCCAGGACGATGGTTCCGAGATACTTTGATGAGGTAATGAACCGCAAACAGGCAAAGTATGAGCTCAAACGCTGCGAGCATTCCGTTTGACCAGGGTATAAGCCACGTGCTCCAAGGCGGGAGAGTACCCCGTGCCCAGCAGTCTTTTGCAACGTGCTCGTCGACGCGATCTGAGAACACCAATATTAATATGCGTGTCATGCAATGACCGTCAAACAACCATGTACCTGATATTCCGCCGTATGCAGTTAAGAACAGGACAGCGTTGGCAAGAGCGATACTTTGGGAAACAACAAAGGTTGTGAGCAGAAAGACGAATATTCTGCGTTGCATGCCTAGCAGCACCCATACTCGGACTGCCATCATTCCTATGTATGTATGATCAGTTACTAGGTACTCAGCGCTGCGATCATCGAATGCAACGCACCTTGTAGAAGAAATGTCAGGATGTAGATACCGACCTCTTCTGCGATGTATAGTTGATAGCCTGGTAGAACAATCCATATGTCAGACATGGTGTACATAATCCAGCTTATGAGCTTACATCTGGAATATTGGTACAGGTCAGTATCAGTCATATGCTACAAAACACTGAACTGGCTTTCCACCAACGTACCCCTGGCAATGGAGAAAATCATAAGATCGATACGTTTGGCGTCACTCTTATCGACTCCACTCACATACGATGATAAAGGTACACCCATATTGAGGCCTTGTTGGCGCCAATCACGTCTCTGTTAGCGGATAAGAATAGTACCACGTACAGAAGTCTGATCTACGATGATTGACAAACACATGAGTACACTGGGTCAAAAAGCCATGGTATGCATTATCCGACTTACATTGCCCACAGCAAACCAACGTAGCGCAGCTTGAGATGAAAGACACGTCTTAAACGTGCTCAAGGCCGAATGTTAGTGTCTAGGAACTGATCATAGCATACACAAATGTCTTGATGTAGTACTTTCGACTCGAAGTCGAAGTTCGCCTCGTCTACTCAAGATGAGACGACCGCGAGTATAGCGCTGGCTACTAGATCGTACCCATACAAGCTCTACCTGCACAATGGCAAGGAATTAATAACATCTATGTTTACCAAAGATATTGACACATACCTCGACACCAATGCTTATTACTAACATAGGCAGGTTTCAGCATAGAAGCGAGACGCGTAAGTCAAGTTTCTAACGCTTACTTGTGTCGAAAATGATCACACTCAGGCCAGCCACTGGATCAAAAGTGAGAACCCTCTGGACTGTGAAAGACCAGAATACGCACTCATAGCATATGTCGCGGTCAAGATGTAATATGTTTCCTGCGCCGGAGTTGACTCTTGATCACTGGACGTTAGCGTCGACATGGCAGGCCGATTTACACCCGTGGTATGAGCTGGAAAAGGTTGATACACCCAACAGAAGAAGGAGCAAGAACCTGTCGGCGACTTGACTCAGAGTTCTTCATGAGAGCTTCTTAAATACCTATTTGCCATCATCGGGGTATTCAATACGGAAGCCCTTCTTCTATACTTGCCGTGCGACGGACTGACATAGCACCTTTCCTTTTTGGGCTGTTGGTGGTTGAACTTGCTGGAGACGCGCTCTGATATCACCGCCCATCCGTACCAGTATTGGATATATGGTTTCATGTGAACAGCGAGTCGGCCGGTGAGAGAGGCCATGTCCATACCGATGCCAATATTGGATATCAAGTAGTGGCACGAGGATATCGCACCAGCACACAGTTAGATGATTAAGGTGCGACTGTGGGGAAAAAAGGCACGCGGGCTGTTGTAGAATAAGCATCAGCCTTAGGGACAGGGGATAACTGCTAAGGTTGGAGCATACACGATAGGCATACACGATAGATCCCTTGGCGCTGATTCGATAAGTTGACCGGCGGCGATCATAATGAGACCCCTCAAGGTAAAGATAACGCCTACCCCGGCACTACATTCACCTTCAAAGATTATAAAAAGATATCAATACGTACCTGACTCTGATTATCCGGAGCTGATTGTGATGCTTGCAACCGGAATGCACTGGATACGAGCTATTGCAACGTTCGTGTGACCGCCCCGAATACCATTTGAGGTGTCTTCATTCCAAGATTTCGTAGCCTCTCAAGCTCTGAACACCGGCTCCCAACTGCAAACATGGACCTTAGTAACCAGAAAGCTCAGTATCTCGTCGTGGTTGAAAGGTTTAAACCGGCTAGGCAAGTCACAACAACCTTGAAAGACATTCCAAAGGACCATATCCAACGTACGAGCAGCTGAGTACGTACCTCTAGTTGTTATTTCTCTCAAAAGCATGAATGCCTAGGGAAGAATTGTGAGAAAATAGCGTAGATTATTGACGATTTGAGAAAGCGGGCTGAAGAAGAGTAACGCAAGAGCGTGCTCCAATCTAGATGTCGCATTCACAGCAAGGAATCGTTTTTGAAGGTGCTACAAAGTAAACTTGAGAGGGAATTGACGTCGTTTGTCTTGCCATACAATCCCGGGCCGATGACAAGGGTGCTGGTGTTGATGTCGGTCGTCAGTGATAGCGCATACGGCTACATTTCGATGAGAAGAGAGACAGAAGGTGATAAGAGCAGCATACGCACTGTACGCCTGCATCAAAGTGCCACCTGCATGATGGATCCTCACTCCTATCCCTGGGCATTACACACCCACAACACTCCAAGAATCTTTCGTATGCGTCGGCCAGCAGGTGAACGTTAACTCGGAGCACTAGGGAGCTCGCTGTACATGAAAAGGTGAGATTGAGGCAAGGATGGTCGCAGTCCTCAGCTCTAGGTCCTTGTGGCAATGGAAGTTTCATTGCCGTCTGTAGTTCCAGCGAGCAAACATATCCCTATGTCTGAGTCGCATTTTGTGATCCCAGAAGACAATGCGGAGGCAACACGTCGGTGAAAGAAGGCGAATTAGCCCCTAAGTGGACTGCATCCGTGTAGCATCGTCGGGGATTGTTTCGGAGTACAAAAGCATGTTTGCTTTCTCCGTTGCGGTTCCGTCATCATGGATTTATCCTCCTACTCAAGACATGTCAAAACGTTTCTTCAGATTTTGCCTAATTGTATGTTTTCCAATGTGAATGTTCCATATAGGAGATTCCATGACTATTGCTTGCGTTCTTCCTTGTCTCGTGAGTGCGCAAGATAAGGCTGGAAATGCTTGAGCGTCTTTCAGGCTTGTTTCAGCTAAGGGCAAACACGGAACAGTGCATGCATTCATCTGCCGAGCTCGCACCTCCTATTGCTTTGTCTTAACAGGCAATTCGGGATCGGCTACACTACAAATGGCCCCTCGTATAGTCCCTCAAAATGGTAAGTTCTGTCGGTGCATAGTTGCCCCGCGGGGTGCGGTTATGACCTGAACGTTGAGTTTGTGCATTTCTACATCGACTAATCCGCCCGAGTTAACACAAACGATGATTCAGTCTAGCCATGCGCTCTATACGATGCACGACAGGCTGCACACCTTAAGGTAAGCACACATCTGCTTCGGCTCAACGGCGGAAGAAGTATGAGCTTATGCAACAAGCTCAGCTACTGACTCTAATCTCAGTACTTAGCGACTCCGTCAAGGTCAACCTTTTCTCCCAGCACGCTCCTTCCCGGAGCACTCCTCGCTCATCCTATCGCCGCGCTTTCCAAGGCATTGTGATTTGCATATTCCCTTGCATCTCGGAGGAGAAAATCGACTTGGGTATAGTCTGAAACATGAAACAGACGCGTAATTTGAGTTAAGGTTTGCTGTATTCTCATTACTGGACTAGGAGCCGTGTCATCAGCCTACACTGGGTAGCAGCGTCATGATCTCATCTGTGAGGTATGTTGACAACTATCTAAGTAAGCTAGTTACTCTCGGAAAGCGCAGCTCATGTCCACCACTATAGGCTGTGCAAAACTATCCGGGGATTTGACACCTACGGCCATGATATTAAGCGACCGAGACACAGGCGAATTCAGCGTCCCTTCTCGCCCCCCACGTTTCAAGCTATATGTCCTCAAGTGTATCGCAGCAGGAATCGGCGGTATGGGCGCAGCTAACCACAGACTATACGATGAGTTAGTTTTATATTCTGCTCCCTTTAATAACGACTCTAATGCTATCTATCTAAAGCTGCGATGACAACCTTGATGGTGTATCACTACTGTGAGTACAGAGCTTCCGTCCCTCCATCTTGTCTGAAACAAATCGTAGTGCTCAGTGTGGATGTTGAAGTAGGCGTGCTTTGCTCCACCACATATCAAGAGACTGACCAAACTCATAGGTCGAACTCATATGGGTAAGTGGATCCTCGTAATTGATCATTCTTTAGCTGGATCGAAGACGGCAGACCAAGAAGCACTCCAAAATGACGGCGGTGTACACAGTGGTTAGTGTGTGCAAATTACCGCCTCCGTATATGACAAACTACTGAGCCATGGTCTAGCTGCGATATCTTGGCATTTTATGGGCCATGTAAGTGCTGTGGTTATTCGAAGTGATATGTATGCTCATGTCCTTCAGCTCGATTTTGGGTTGGTTGTCTTCCGTCAAGTCTTAAGATGATCTCTGACTTGCTTTGTGAAGTGTATAGCCTGGAGGTGCCTCTCTCAACCAGAGTAAGCGGATTTAACACGTATCAACACGTATCAGGGTGCACTTACTGACATGTCCGTAGGCGTACGTTGTACCTGCCATTAGATCCTCAGAAGTCTGATACAACGATGCCTACGTGTCCATTCAGATGTAAGCGAGCTCCTTTTCTACACGCAACACTGCTTACGCTGATGACATAGGTTTATGGCTATGCGTTATCGTAGAAGTCTGCGAGACTGTTATTGTATTTCTCCTGCAGGGTAAGGCACACGTTGTTAAACAATGTCCAAGCACTGACTCCAGATTTCCAGGAATGATCGCTCTGCGGGTGCACCTGCTTCTTTTAGGTGTCCTCAGCAAAGGCACTTTTCCCTTAGTGCTCTTCGCGACAGGCTTCACTATCTCTCAATTTTTCAACATAATCGGAACTATGCTGTATATTGCTTCTAGCGTAGGTCACACAGGTAGGCCAGGATCGAAGTGTGATCAAAACGTTAATACAACGAATCAAACAGCTGATAACGACATCCTTGGCATCGAATACTGCGGAGATGCTTTCAATGCAGACGGACTCGGCGAGTTGACGGGGACAATATTCTTCCCTCTCGCTAACTACTCTATGATCGCATTCGAAGTGATCCTGGGCCTATCTGCCATGTACTACGTTGCGAGTCAGATACGTGAAGGTAATTGGCGCGACCGCAAGAACTTACAAGGCACCGTGGTCTCGGTTCTCGTTCGAGACAATCTCTTTTACTTCCTCGCGTAACATATCTCTTTAATCTCCACCTACACGTCCACGTTTCTGATTATATTCTGTGACCAGCAACTTCCTCTTGTTGGTCATCCTCGTTCTCCAGCAAGTACCTGCGGTAGAGGCGGTAAGTTCGAGCTGCTTTCTGCAAAAAATGGTACGATCAGATAAATCGGAATTTTAGTCAACAGTTTGGAACAATACCAGTATCTCCTTGCAATATTTGGTCTATACCATGCTCGGGCCGTGGATCATGCTCAACCTACGAGGAAGGCATCCTTCAGGTTCCCGTCGAGGGTATACTACGCATAACCGACTGACGGCTCTGCATTTCACAAATGCAACACTCGAGCACGCGGAGACATATGAGACCAATATCACAGATGTACCTTAAAATCTTTAATGCCACGTAAGCCCACCACTTAGATTTCGAATGTAGCATCATCAGTTTCTACAGCTGTCAGCGTGCAATTATAACGCTAAGGCGACCGTCGCGATTTGATTCGGAGTCTCAATCGTTTACCTTCCCTCCTGCTTTCTACCCAGGACCCTTGCCCGGTACGGTGCATTTCGGACTCGCATACCTGGAACACCGTGTGTACCGTTGCACAATGACGGCGCCAACAACCGTATTTTGTTGTCCACCGCAATGGCACTGGTACGGCGAATCACGGTGTTCAAGGGAACAAGCCGTAGAGGACGGTAGTGCGGCCGACATATTATGAGCACGTTGGTGACCACTTCTGACTCGGGTGCCTGAACCTTCTGAGTAATCTCATTGCAGAGAAGTGCTCATGGGCCGCGGATATACTTACGTTGCGGTCGGCCATGGGTCGGTCTTGCCAGTCATCTGCTCCTTCTTGAGTAAGTTTCATTGTAAGTGCAGGTATCCTTGAAGCCTGATGACGTGGGGTGCCTCACCATCAGCATCTACGCTCATTTTGTTTTAACCTCAGTCGCCCCTCACTTGATGTTTGTCCTACAGAACCCTCGGTACATTTACTTACCAAGCTGGCGGGGTGGATTTGCGCCTTTCTGTCGGGATCTGCGCGGTCAAATGAGGGATAGCTTGAAACACTTCGGACAGAGAGAACCCGTTCGACTTTCCCTTCATCCACCGCGGACTTTGAGATCTTATCAAAGTCTATTGAGACGAAGGTGGCTCTTAGAAAGCTGAGAGCGCTGAGATCTCCCCACGTGAATGGTAAAGTCTATCCCTCGCTGACACTACTCACGCAGGGTCGCGTGTACCCAGCGTGTGCTGTCTGCTCCGATGTACCGGAAGCCAGCAGGAGGGACCTGCATAAAATGGCACTTATGCAAAGCAGCTCGTCGCATCGCCTTTGTCACTCTTGCGAGACACACTGTATGTCATCGGTAGTCTCCCAAGAGGAATCAGCTATAGCGGCGCAGCGCTCCACCGGCTACACAATGGGTTAGTGCTGCCCCAAATGTCTAGATCGCTGTTGAATGTTTTCAACTTTCAGCTGCTATGACGGTCGCGATGTTATACCAATATCGTAAGCATTTTGATCGCCATGTCAGCATGCTTACATCGAATGCTATGCAGTGCTCGACTTTCCGCATGAGGTGACCATCGTTTATTGTGAACGGCTGTATAATGACTGACTAATAGTTTAGGTCGAGTTCATATGGGCACGTGCCCATAAAATCGATTGTCTGCCACTAGCTGACACAATGCAAATAGACAAAGAGATACTCTTTCATGACAGTTGTATACGGTCTGGTCGGTGTATTACTACCCCGTTTTCTGGTTTATGCTAACGTGCCTACGTATGCATTAGCTACGCTACCTTGGGATTCTTTGGGCAGCGTAAGTATGCCTTTATCTATAAGGCGACACGCGGAAACGCTGATCAAAATGCTCCAGGACCATTATAGGTGAGCCAGAACCAGGTAATGCATCGAGTCTCTGATGCAGTCTTGGACCCAAAAGTTTACAGCCTAGAGATACCACTTGGCAGTCGCGTGAGTGCAAGCCTTTGCTTAATGCTCTCGCACTGATCCATCCACCATAAACAGACGTATGTGGTATTTGCTTTGCGTCTGCACAAACACCATTGATATTCATGCGTATCTATTCCACAGATGTAAGTGGGGCTTTCTCCATTTCGTGTTGCTTTGGTTGAAGTCGCGTGCGTAGGCTTGTGGCTATGCACTGTTCTCGAAGTATGCGAATGCCTAGTTGTGTTTTCGCTCCAAGGTACCTCTTGCTTACCATTGACCTGATTTAATGACTAAAAACCTTTATCTGACAGGAATGATTGCGCTTCGAGTGTATTTGTTTTTTACAGGCATCTGGAGGAAACGTGGTGTCACGTTGGCAGTGTTTGGGAGCGGTTTCCTTGTTCCACAAACCCTGAACATACTCGCAAGCATGATGTACGTGGCCGCCAGTGCGGGACAGACCGGTATGTCATTTGATCCTAGTATAAGTGGTATCAGCTCACATGTGGCTAAATGCCCCAGAGGATAACGTCATCCTCGGGGTTGAATATTGTGGGGACGCGTTCACTCTAGATGCTCTCTGGAAGACGACCGCTACGGTCATGTTCCCTCTGGCCAATTTCTCCCTGATTGCATTTGAGTTGGGCATGTGTGTTTCTGCCATGTACTACGCCTGGACGCGCCTTCGCAGTGTACTCGGTCCGGGTCGCCAAAGGCTTCGGAGTTCCATCGTTTCAGTCCTCGTACGCGACAATCTGTTTTACTTCTTGGCGTAAGGGTCATTCCCACTTGGTCATATCTTGGCTCACATGGTCGCCTTCGTAGAAACGTCCTGTTATTGTTCATTCTTGTTCTCCAGCAAGTGCCCTCGATTCAGGCGGTAAGGATTATGCTACACTATGGATAAATGGCACCCCAATGATAATAATTACATTTACAGTCGATTATCTGGAACAACACCAGCGTCGTTTTGCAGTACCTGGTGTACGCCATGCTGGGACCATGGATCATACTCAATTTGCGAAAGACGCAGGAGGAATTGACCAAGTCCGAGACAACATCCATCCACGATTGGCAGATGACCACTGTGGACGCCATAAGTGCTTCATTTTGGCCCGAGCCGATAGGCACAATTGCGAATTCTGGTGTACCATAATGCTGTTTCCATTCTTGTTCTTACTTATCATCGGGTTGCGCTCAGAACAAAAGTCGATGACCTAGAGTAGCCAAAGGGGCCCGTGGTGATTGGTAGAATACATCTTTGTTATTGAGCTGCTGAAGCGTCTATCTGTCATAAAGCCACACCATGGGAGCGGGATTGAATGAGGGGAGCCTAAGCGCCCACGGCTCTTGTCGGCATCGTCGGCTGAGGGCGATAGAGCTCATGGTGACCGTCTCACACAACAACGGCGACGCTCGTGTCAATGAGCTTACCATCCTACCTTTGTTCTTCTTCCACGCGCCCTTGTACCCGGTAGCAAAGTTACGGCACTAGCTGCCTCAAGGAACGTATATAAGGATTGTGGGTGATTATGGGTCCATGCTTTATCTCACTCAACACCAACCCTACGTCGTCGCTGTTCAGCATTATCTACTGGGTCCAAAATTTGTGATTATGGCCTCGGTGAGTCGCATTTTGATAGCCGTACAACAAAGTTCGTCGCATATGTCGCTGAACTTACTACTAGTATGCATCTAACAGCAACACGCACGTAGGCATCCGCCGACAAGCCCCTATCATGCAACTACCTTCCGATATCCTCCTCGCCATCTTCGACAACTTGTATCAGTGGACGTTGGATGTGATGAGGGAAGAAGATTATTACAATGAACCGGAGGGGAGATCCATGCCGAACAAGTATCCGATTCCTCACGCGGCATACCTCTCATTTCCCTACTGGACTGCAGCGACTTGCACCCACTGGCTGACTGTGATGCACGCACAGCCAAAGTACTGGGAGCGCATCTTCCTCCCACTTGTTAACATACCAGGGTCCAAGATCAGACAGTACCTCGCATTTTGTGCTGTGCACGCGTCCATGGAGGCTGATACGCACGAGCTATACATCGTCAATCCGGCAGGCGCTGCACCAGAGACGCCCGAGGAAGAAGATTCATGCATCCAGGAGCTGATGCAAGTTCTTGCACCGTATATCCACCAGAACCTGTTTGAGGTGTTGTACATCGAGACCAGGTTTCGAACCTCTATCATTGTCGCCAGCCAGTACCTGAACGACGCGTTTATCGCCAAGCTGCACACTCTCGTTCTCAAGTCGGAGATTGCCAACACTGTCGACACCCTCCGCGTCAACGAGTTGGTGACCCACGACCTCGAGCGCCTGGCGCTCGACGCGAAGAGTTTCATAGACCTGACCCTGAAAGGCGTCATTCCCCTGTGCTGCCATACAAACGAGGGCAAGCATCTCTGCATTACACGCTATCGAGCTCCGTCGGGTATCCCTCGCATCCCTCTAGACGCCTTCATGGACTGCCTAGGCATCATGACCCAGAAGATCGAAGAGAAGTGCCGACGCCTCGATCCGTCGTGCACGATATCGATCCAAGATGTAGCGCATGACGGCAGGGCGCAGCTTGCCTCCTCTCAGCCTCAGGCAGGACCGTCGTCGGCGCTAGCAATATGGACAGATCCTAGCTTTCGTACGCAATACGCGCAGCGCATCCGAAACGCCGAATGCCTAGTCTTCGAAGACGTTGACAGTGACTTTCTCAACTCCTTCTTCGCTGGAAGGTATCTCCATCCTGACGACATCCCGGACTACAACGACCAGAGCATAGAGCCGCTCTACCTTCGCTGGTGCACCTTCACGACGTCAGTGAAGATGTTCGAGCCCGTCCTTCACCTTGAAGGAATACGGGAGGAGCGTCAGCTCCGTCTTGCGCTCATGCAGTGGGAGGGCTGCGAGCTCATTGTCAGGGACTGTCCAGCGTTCAATGACAACATACTTGGGGCGATGATGCCGTCTATAGGGCGTAACCGACAGTATATGCGTCCAGAGCTCTGTTGGAATCTGCGGTCGCTCACGATCAAGGGTTGCATGTTCTCCGTGGAGGTGCTGGTTCATTTTCTGTTCATGAAGAAGGCATCCGAGTCGCAGATTAACTTCCTCGTGGCCAAGAGGGCTCCAAGTTTAACCTCTGCAGCAGAAGCGTGGCTCCAAGACAAAGGTAACATTGCGCGGTACTCGTGGAACGAGCAGATCACATACGAGTAAGTTCGAACATTCTTAGAGTTGATCTTTAGTCGCTGACGTAGGTGCAGGAGTCTAGGGCAAGATGACGAAGAGGAAGGAGACGCCATGGATGACGGCGATATGGACGTGGACTTGCATGAGGACTCGGATGACGAGATGGATGAGGCAACGCGCATATGCGAGCGGTACATGGGTCTGAGGATCGCGGACTGAGGCACACCTGCTGTTAAGACTGAATCCATTCAGCGTTTTTGCGTCCCGTGTTGTATTTGAGGCTGTGATCTATGAATGTATGCACTCTGCAGACCTGTCGTCTCGAGGGCAGGGAAGGCACAACATTGCGAGTTTTTGTTTGCGCATGTTGCTCAAGACCTTTGAAATCCAACAAGTACAAATAACCAAAGGCAACTGTATGACGTAGCGTAACCAAACCACATTGCACCCGTTGCATCTGGCTAAAGCGACCCAGCCCTTGAGCTAGTACACTGACTAACTCATAGGAGCGGAATAACGACCTTTGTAAGTGGCAAACTACCTGCGTGCGTTCCTGCGCTTGTCTACTTCAGCCTTCCGAGGATGTTCATGAACGGTGTCGCAGGTTAATCAACAGAAAAGCCGTAAACAGTTTGCAGTCCCTATCCATGGTCGACCTTTGCACCGATGGACCTGAGCATACTTCGACTATAGCTCAGGATCTTGGTCCGTATGGGCTGATAGATGACTCGCCGTGCTACGTTGCTCGGGTTCCTGTGGAGCTTCTCTCACGGATCTTTGAACATGCCCTTCCTCCTCCTCCTTTCGTCGAACAGGACGACGAGCGTGACGACGAAGAGGTCGCAGAACAATACAATGCACAACTTCTCTCTCTTGACGACGAGCCTTCACCATCCCAGTACCACTCACCAAGCTACCCCTCGCAAATGCTCGTATCGCACGTTTGCAAACGTTGGCGGATCACCGCGATCGCTACACCATCCCTCTGGACTTCCATTCGACTGACACTGAAGAATCTGCCACCGTTTACGAAGGCACATACGTGGATCGGAAGGAGTGGTAGCGTACCACTGGACATCAACGTCTACATCAACGACGACGAGGAGTACGTTCCAAACGAACGTGGTGGAGACTCGGACGCCTCCGGATCGTACGATTCCTCAGAAAGCGACGACTCTCCTTTCATGAGTTGTGAATCATTTGAGGATCTCATAGCGATGCTAGTCTCTCGTGCTTCGCAATGGCGCTCGTTTGTATTTGCGGCCTCCTTACCCGAATTTGTGCAGACAACGATCAACGCATTGTGGTCGCTGCCGCCAGCGCCGCACCTCCGTCACATTTCTATTCGTCAAATCGACTTCCTCCTAGACTCTCCTTATCTTCGACCCATCGTTGATTCTCAATCTTCGGTTCTCGGAGGCGCGTCTCAGCAGCTCAAGTCTATAGAGCTCTGGAATGTGCTAGTGGATGTAGACCGCTGTTTCACAAACTGCCACGCCCTTACACACCTAACTATTTCGTATTACCGCCCCGGAGAGACTCTGACCTGGGAATCGGTTTTCTCAGTACTGCGGTCTGCACCCGCCCTCCAATCATTGACGATCCGGCAGGCTACGCCGTACTTCGAACCCACAGAAGAGACGGTCGTCACTCTACCAGCTCTTAGAGAGCTCGACCTTCAAGAGACAGACGCTACCGCAGTTGCCAGTGTTCTGCGCCATCTCTCATTTCCGAATATAACGACCTTGCATCTCTCAGTAGGGGGTGAGGTTTCAAGCGACAGCAGGCTTATGGAAATACTCTCCGAGTCCACTTCCGACCGAGCGAGCCTGCTTAGTCGTCTGCAGCACCTTGCGTTATACAAGTTCCCTCAAGGCGAATTGGCTATTTCCGTGTTCGAACAGCTGAACTCGCTCAAAAGTTTAGAGTTAAGTCACGGGTCTGCTTCTTACAGAGACGACTTCGCAGAATTGGTGCGGCGAAGTGATGCGGCGCTTCCCTCGCTGCAGACGTTAATACTGCAGTCACCACCAATGAAGGCGGAACTTTCCATGATCAAGTCGCTAGTCAATAGGAATGTTGGACCGCAACTCCAAGAGCTTCGGATCCGGGGCGGTGTGGGGGATTCATTAACAGATACGGACTTGCGTTGGCTCAAAGAGCATTTGATAATTCGATACATACGATGATGACAGGGCCTTATATATCATATCGCAATGTATGTACATACGAGAAGCGTATCCATACGCTGCTGAATTGAGAGCTTTATCGTTAGCGGAATATCGAACGCCAACGACGGAAACACTCGCGACAGACTTGGTAAAAAGTTGGGTGTCGTGACCAAAGCAAACCTAATACAAACCTAATTATTCAGAAGATTTCCCGTTCACACCATTCCAGCTGAAGCTTTGAACATGTTCCTCAAACCATCGAAAGATATCTGCATCAATCTCGGGGCCGTCTTTGATATCTAAATGTTCGAGTGGTAGGACGCCGAGTCGCATCTCGCACATCCTCTTCAGAGCACTTGCCGAAAATTTGGTGCATCCACGAAGCTCGAAATATTGTAGACCCGCGCACGCTAGTCCTCTGCATTGCGGTTCGCCACTGGCAAGCGCACCTATGACCCGGTCATCGAAACCTAAGCAGTTGTCAAGGGTCAGGGTGTTACCCTCCCAATCCTGAAGCATGCGCAGCATCGAGCAGCTGGAAGTGACTTCTGTGATAAGAAGGTCGGTGCTGTATATTTTGCAGCGCAAGGCCACCTCACACCGAACAATCTCGGTGTAATCGCTCCCTCCGATAGCACAGAACATAGGGGCGAAGTCAGCCGCAATATCGCATAGTCGGATGTTATACGACTCATAAAAGCGGTCAACGTGGAGGACAATGTCCTCCGGATTGAACTCCACATCTTCAACGTCAATGTCTATAGGGTTTCGTTTGTCGTCAAGAGTGCGCAAAGCTCCAATGAGGCGACTTGCGCTTACACCGTCGGAAGGGTTCGCAGGTCGGTATCTCCCTAAGAAGAGCCTATAAGTAGTACTGGCGTCGAGGTGGCCAACGAACGTTGCTTTCTACAATGTTGACAAAAGTTTCGGCATCGATACTCAGATCTTTGACCTGAGGTAACGATAAGGATGATGCGATGTGGAAAGGGGACGGCGTCCGTTTCTTGCGAAAGGAGTTTCAGGTCGGTCAATTGGGTCATGACAGCGCCGTCGAGGAACTGCCCTATGGAGACGATGGATGAACGATAGACGGCTTTGATGGACAGACGGGTCAGGCGGCCCAAGTGAGGCCTCATGAGCTCCATAACAATGCCGATCCTCTTACGTTCCTGACGTGGTGAAGAGGAACACGCTGTCGTTTCGCATGGTGAAATGGTGAACTGGATCAAATTGTCACGAGAGGCAGAGAAGAACTTCTCTACAACGTATGGGACGAAGGTAGAGCCGCTAGTGGCAATCTCCAAGGTCTTCCAATACTCTGGATCCATCGCAAGGACATCTACCCATCGCCGACAGACGAACGCGAGCTGTTGCGCGGAAGGCGCCGTGTACTCCTCCGGTTCCTCGGGAAACCCTACGATGCGAGAGAGGTATGGCAATGGTTTCGGCTGTCGACTCGCCCAAAATAATATCAAACCGAGGAGCTCAGTTGGTAAAGTCATGATGTGAGAGCGGGGATATGGTGGGGCGGTGCTGGGGCTTGGTGTAGTCGCCATCTGGTAAGACGACTCAGTGATAACATATTAACACACCTTCCTTCAAAAGAGACAATGCCTACCTACTATGGCGCGTGAATGCAGAGACCCGGAAGTGCGAACGTAAAATCAAGGAAGTAACTGTTAACAGATAAGGATATGGACGAGTGGTGCAGTTTAAATGAGGGATAACGTTCTCGATGCGATGTTGGCGCAGACGTTGCATTGATGCTACGCGACAAACTCGTGCGCTCCCCACGTGTCTCACAGATCCAATTGGCCCCTATCCTTTCCTCCGAGCGTGCATATTTGACTCCAAGCCGAATACGCCGACTAAAAGCAACCGATATGGATATGGCAAAAGTAACCTAAGCATCTATACACAGTTCTCTCGCCTGCCATTCAAATGCCAGGGTATGCTCTGTAAACCATCTCCTGAGGTCATCGTCGATCTCCGGACCATCCCTGACCTCCAAGTGGTCGATACCGTACTTCCCGTACCTCATCTCGCACATGCGCTGCAATGCTGGAGCCGAAAATGAACAACCATAAATCACGAGCTGGTTCATGATCCCGCACGCGGGGCCGTTGTCTTTCATGCCAAAGAAAGCCATTGCCCCGAGCACCCAATCGTCGAACCCTGGGCAGTCCTTGACAAATAGCTTAATCCCCTTCCAGTCCTGTATACCGTATAACAACGAGGTGCTCGATTGAACTCCCGTTAGGTAAAGATCGACGGCGGGGAGTTGGTAGTGTGACGTAATTTCACTGCTATTGATTTCGACGAAGGAGAGCTCTCGAGAGTCGAGAGCCTGGCAAATCATCGGAACAAATGAACCATCTATCTTGCGGAGAGTGAGGCTGTCTAGGTTCACTAGGCGAGAGCCTCCCCCATACCGCTCTTGGCTGAGTTCGACATCTTCAATGGTGAGGCTGATGATGTTATGCTTGTCGAGCGCGACTAAAGCTTCAACCAGGCGAGATGGGCTGATAGCACCCGTGCTGGTGGGAGGTCGATACCTCGTGAGACGGATCTCGGCGTCTTGATCATCCTCTGTGAAACTAACATTATGAGTCGGGTCCATGAGATTCACGAAGCTCTGTGCATCGATATCTAACGACTCGATGTAAGGACATTTTAGAGACGAAATTTGCAGTGGGGAGGTGTCGTCGGTGACCTGGGAGACAAGCCAAAGTCGATTGAGATGGTCCATGTCGGCGCCATCCATGAAATGACTAACAGTCACGATGGTAGAGCGGTAGAAGGTATCCATCTGAAGGTCGGAGACACGCCCGAGGTGAGGCTTCATGCACTCCATGACGAGGTTGAGGCGCGCCTGCTCTTGAGAGGGAGTCAGGGAAGGCGAATCCTTATGTTGTGGGCCTATGACAAGCTTGATTAAATCGTCTTCGCCCCGAGGAATCGAGAAAAATCTTCGTATCACAGAAGGAAGAAACGTGGGCTCGTCGGTTATGACCCTCAAGAAGCCCCAGTACTCAGCCTTCATCATAGCTGCAACCTCGAGCCATGTACGACAGACGAATGCGAGTTTATATGCAGTATATGCTTCCGAGCCGGGCCACCCCCCTTGGTGCGTCCAGTAAAAGATCATGAGCAGGACTTCTGCCGGTAGTGACATGATGGGTGAGTGCGTGCCGGATAAGCAGCTGGGGTATGCGGTGGGCGTCTGGAAGGTCAGCTGTCTGATTAGAGGGGGTCATTTTTCTACTGGTCGAGAGACTCACCATTACGAACACCTGTAAATCAGCTCTCCTCTCACACTTCTATAATTTCCTAAGTTGAGTCCTTGAGTGAACTCCGAGGCCAAGTGGACAAGACGTCTTAGTTGCTTGCCTGTGGGCTTCGCTATGAGTTGTTCAGCGCCTTGTGCAAGTAATACATGTGAGCGTACGAACAAGCTTACATTTTGGGCGTTCTTTGGAAGGAGGTACACACGGCGGCCTGCAAAAAAAAGTCGCTCCTCGTCGCGCGGGTCGCGTATTACCGTAACGCGTTCGCGACACGTTGTCGGAGCTCGTTCTAGCGGAGCTTGATAATCCGTGGCCAATGAAAACATTCAGAATAGGACGGAGCTCCAAATTGCGGCAAGTTTTGCCGCACCATACTATGGCCCAAAGTTTTGGAGGCCCAGCTAAGTTAATAAGGTGGCTCAAGTCTCAGGAATAAAGAGAGGGCACCGCTCGTAGAAATGCAATTGTATACACGGCCAGAGCTACAATCTAACTTTGAAGTAGACGGGTGTTCGGGCCTCAATTAGTGTTCATTCTTTAAGATACGACCAGGAGATCTAGACTAGTGGCTGATCAGAGAAGCTGGGGACAGCCGATGGCATGAATGTTTGCGGGCCGACGGAGAAGATCAGCTTGGTTCCTGACTTTGACCGGCTCAGAGGCGTTCGCGGCATCATAGCGTAGACAGTTGACCAGGCTTCACATTGACTCTCATTGACTGGACGCGCTGAAGGCGGGTTTGCAAGGCACGTCTTGCGCTGGACGCGCTGCTTGCTGGCATGTCATTTCAAACACCGCTGCGTGGTATCGCTCTCTCCTGCCCGAATCTCGCACCATTTATAGGGCCGTTCACTCCCAAAGTCGCGACCGTTTATTTCTATTTATGGGCATTAATATTCTCCATTTGGTGAATCGCGCACAGTTGCTCCGGTGTCACGCCATATCGTGCCATGCCCTAGATAGAGCGTCTGGCGCTCCGCCGTCGCTCAAGATTTCAGGAAATGGGTCCAACAATGCTTTCTCTCCAGGGGCGCCTTTCTTATGGTGACATCTAGCTTGCTCGCGCTATATAATCTTGCTTCTGGGACAGATCCTTGTACAGGGTCCTACCCCACTGGCCATTCGACGTACTAGGCGCGCATCAAGATAGTGCTCCAGCCTCCACAATGTCTTCATACAGTGTTTACGACAAGAAAAAGGAGGAGCACGTTGGAGTGGCCGTCATCGATGAATACGACTCAGAAAGCGAGGGTACTGGCGCTTTCAATGAGCTAATTGCTGAAGGTGAGCACACATCACCTCAAGTCCGGGGAACTGTATCGTGAACGGCCCTTGACGGCCCTTGACTAATTCATGTCGTAGATCAGAAACATGACATCAAGCTCCGTACAATGTCGTGGAAAAAGGCAGCGTGGTTGCTCTGCGGAGATCAAGTCTGTCTTGCCATCATGGCGCAGACATGGTCGCTATCGTAAGTCGGCACGCACTGTGGTCGCCTCTGGTATGCTGACAATGGTGTTCTTTTAGAGTCCTCGGATGGGTCCCAGGCATCATTACCATGGTCCTTGCTGGCATCCTCTTCTGGATCACCTCCATCACCATGCACAAGTACATCATGAAGAACCCTCAAATTCAGAACATCTGTGACTTCGGCTACTACATCTTCGGCAAGAGCCGGGTCGCATACGAATTCAGCGGATTCATGCTGCTCGCCAACAACATCCTGCTCATCGGATTTCATGTCCTCACTGGCGCTAAGATCCTCAACACGCTTTCAGATCATTCCCTGTGCACTGTCAGCTTCTCCGTTATTGTGGCTCTGATTGGCATCGTATTGTCCATGACGAGGACGTTGAAGCATGTCTCGTTCATGTCGATGTTCTCCGGTATGTAATCAGCATTTCCACGTGTCGCGCATTGCTGACTTTCTTATATTACAGCTGCCTGCATGGGTATCGCTATCCTCCTATTCCTCGTTTTCGCTGGCATTGAGAAGGCGCCATTATACGGCTACAATGGTGACTACCCCACCGATGGACTCGTCAAAACTTACGCCTTCCCCCTCCCCGGCACGACCTGGGTGGCGTGCATGAACGCCGTCCTCAACATCACTTTCCTTTGGGTTCCCCAGATCCTGTTCCCATCCTTTATCACTGAGATGGAGAAACCCCAAGACTTCCCCAAGGCTCTCGCCGTCCTCGCCGCCATCTCTGCCTTTCTCTTCATTGTTCCCCCATCAATCGGCTTCCGCTACCTCGGGCAGTACTCGACCGCACCAGCCTTCGGCAGTCTTGGCGTGGTCGCCTACAAGAAGGCCTCCTTCGCATTCGTCATTGTCCCTACCATCATCATTGGCGTCATCTACGCCAATGTTAGCGCCAAGTTCATCTACTTCCGCGTGATGGGCAAGTCGCGGCACGCGCACAGCAACACGGCCGTCGGATGGGGTGTATGGGCCGCGGTCATGGCTGGTATCTGGGTCATCGCCTTCATCTTCGCCGAGGTCATTCCCAGCATGGGCGACTTCCTCTCCCTACTAGGTGCCGCTTTCGACTCTTTCTTCGGCTTCATCTACTTCGCCGTCGCGTACTGGCAGCTTCACAAGGGGAACTTGTTCGGTGGTGCGGGCAGGAGCGTCATGACGCTTGTCCACGCCTTTGTATTGTGCGTCGGACTCTTCTTGCTCGGTCCGGGGCTGTACGCTGCTGTTGAGGCTATCATGGCTGACTACTCGGGGAGCGTGACTCCGGCTTTTAGCTGTGCTAGTATTTCAATCTGAGATGGATGGAAGTGTGTTTATACCCAGTGCATACATAGATACGGATGAAGACTCTGTTACTGCTACAAATATCTGCCGAGAATGCAACCGATTTCGGCGACCCTCATCTGTTAGTGCCAATATCGTTCCACGCACGCAGTACGCGCGTAACTGTAGTGAGCTAGCTTAGAGCTAGCCTGGTAAGAGTATTATCGCTGAACCTGCAACGTGACCGGCTCGAGATTCAACCGGTAAATTTACTTTCCCACAGCCCATGTCCTGAACCAAGATTCCGTCCTTGACTCCGTCCAACGCGGCGACCAGATGATATCAGTACTTTAGCCAGGTTCAGTTCGTGGTTATCGTTATCTCCCGTTTCACCAATTATCAAAACCCACACTCAACAGAAACTGGCTCCGTGACTAGCAACGCCGTTTACAGCAATTCACCCGCCCGCGCTCGGTCCAAGACCGTGTCGTACGTACAGCTTTGCCGTGGGCGGAACTGCCTTGTGCCAGTCCTGCACGAACTCTGTAAACCTCTGTCTTGTATAAGGTCTCAACGCTGCGCATTCGAACCACAGCTAGCCTCGAGACCTGTTCCGGTGCATACAACCTCCGATAAGCGGTTCTTATTTGGCTCCGCGACCGCTACGTGGACGATCCAGCTCAGGCCCTTAAGGCGACTACAGTACTCTTACAATCGTTATTGGAAGGATTTAGTGTTTTTTGTATTCATCGGTACGTACCTGGATCAATCTATGCGTCAGTTCGTTCTCAAAGCTACACAGTCTTCAGGACGCCTCTTCGCTACTTTCTATTGTCCAGGTCCATAAGCAGCTCCCGATTGGGAAACAAACGCGCAAAGGCTTGGACCCACAACTATTGGTGAGCTACATATATAGACGTTGCCTTACCAAGGTGTTCCGTCATCACCCTGACCCAGCGTCTTTTCTATAGTTGAACTCTCCTTCCCACCCTCATCTCGTATGAACACGCCTGCTATCACGGTGAGCATCCTGTCAACTCCGGGCCACAAACACCGTTCTCAACTCTTATACCTTGATATTCATAGATTAGTACCCCTACTTCCAGTCACAGTCATCCAGAATCCCAAACATCTCCGGAACCCTTCATCGGGGGCTTCATTAACCCAGCCGACCTCAAACGCTCACCCAATGACCCGTTTCATGTAGGGCCTCCAGGGTCTGCTGGCCCATCTTCACCTAGTGAGTAACCAGGAAATTCGCATCGGCGAGGAAGATAGCTGCTCACGAACGTTGCTTGCGTTTTAGCTTCACCGAGTATCCCGAAGAAGCCCAAACCACCACACGTACTGGTCGGTTCACACCCATACGATGTCCTTGTGCGGTATAACACGGTGTTCATCGTGGATGATAGCGACTCCGTGAGCGGCACCGAGGAGGCCGATGGCGTACGTCACCCACTTCGATATCCTCCGCTCCTGTGGTGCTAACAAAACACGGGCTATGGCAGTGTTGGCTTGCCCTCAAGTCTCTTGCACACGTTGCGAACAAATACGACATGGACGGTGTGGACGTCCACTTCGTTAACAGCAAGAAAGTTGGCAAGAATCTCAAGGTTTGTCCTAGCCCCTATCTTTCTCCCAGTCGTATTTCTGAAGGATCCGAACGCCAGCATACGAAACAGTTAAGCGAACTTTTCCGATCTGTGACGAAAAAGGGGGACTGCAACCTGGGCAAAGCTCTCCAAGATATACTATCCGAGTATGTCAAACGCCTCGAGAAAGCATATAAGGAGAAGGATTTGGGTAAACGTGCCAAACTGATGGGCAGCATCCGGCCGGTGAACTACATTGTCATCACACTCGGCGAGATTTGTGCGTTCTACCTCGTCGGCTCATTGGCTCTTTCATAGCTCACATGTTCTGCTTCGTCTAGCTGACGAGAAGAAGCTGACGAAAGCCATCGTCAGCGCTGCCAAACGTATGGATGAACTAGAAATCTCTATCACACAGGTACGTATCCTTGCATCACGTTCCCCGGCTTGGTATCTTACACGAACTGTAGATGGGTATCCAGTTTATACAGCTGGGCGAGGGCGATCGACGTTCTGAAGATGCCAGCATCGCCAAGTACTTCCAGAAGCTCGACGACGAGCTTGAGGGAAAGCATCGCATACGCGTAAGTGCCGTATTTGATCATTATGTCAGTACTTTGGCTCACAGCGGTTCTTCATACCAGGATATGGTGGACACCGCATATTTCGACTACTATCAACATGATCACTCGGGGTCTCTAGATGGTTTGGAAGACGATGAACTAATGAAGTTCATTCTCGGTGGCGTCAATCGTCATTTAGATGCATGTGCCAGTCGCGAGATTGATGATACCCCGTACTAACGCAGCTGTATAATTGTATCCATATCTTAAATTACTAAGTTATAATGATCTTATGGGACTTACGGGACTTTCATCAGAGGTGTTTGACATTGCAGTCTCAATCACGAATGTATGTATAACCTGCTATGTTCGATTCGTAGGGTTCAACTCTATAATCGAGCTGCGGTTGAGAAGAAAGATATGGTACGACTATATCATATTAGCGTTTTGATTTTGTACTGTACACAATAACTAAGAGGCCGGCATCTCTACATCGTCTCTACATCTCCTTCTCTTCCCATTGGAAAGTATCCATGTTAATTTCAAACCAGCGCCTCAGACTTTCGTCAAGCTTCGGGCCGCCCCTCACTGAGATGGACCTGATACGATTATGGGATTTGTTCGTGTTCTTCCGCCAAACCTGCAGCCTCATCTCACATAGTCTCTGCAACGCGCTAGCAGAAAATGTACACCCAATGAGGGCGAGATAAACTAGCTCTGGGCAGGGAAGACGCGAGAGCTTCTCCTCGCTGCAGAAGGCCAGTGAGCCGAGAAACCAGTCGTCGAATCCTTGGCACTCTTCAATCGAAAGCTCTACCCCATACCAGTCTTGGACCATGCGAAGTAGCGAGCAACTAGAATCAACACCTATTACCTGAAGGTAGGGGCCGGAGATTGTCACGCGTTCTTCGGCCTTGCACCTCGCGACCACGGCAGACTCAAGGCTGTGAGCTTCAAAGCTGTCGAAGAAAGCTGCGAAATCTGGGCCTTCCAGGTCATAAACCTCGAGGCTATACAGGCTATCGAGTAGTAGGCGTTGGTGCGAGGGGTCTTCGGAAGCAAGCGTAACATTGAGGACTTTTAGATAGAGCACGCAATCGTTGTCAACTAGCTGCAAAGCTCCGAAGAACTCGGCAATGCCTGGAGCGGAGGAAGGGTTATTTGGTCGAAACTTCGTGATGGAGAAACTGAAATTGTCCACAGGGCCGAATAAACCGAGGGGCTCGGACGGCGTAACACCGGCCTTCATGAGATCAACGAAGCTTTTCGCATCAATGTGTAGCGTTTGGATGAGTGGAAAGTGAAGAGCAGTGCATTTAAGATGAGCGTCGTCGTCTGTATCTTGCGAAACAAGGTGCAGTTCGGAGAGATTGGGCATGGCTGCACCATCGAAGAAGCTGCTTATATTCACTATAGTAGACCGGTAGAATGTGTTGATGCTGAGTCGGGATAGCCGTTCTAGGTGGGGTTCCATGTGTCTCATGATGAACGCCAGCCGTTCATGTTCTTCGGCCGGAGTCAGAGAGGGGGAGGTGAGGTCGCGAGGGGCAACGCTGACTTGGATTTCGTTGGTGCGTGATGCTACGAAGAAGGTTTTGATGATGGATGGGATGAAGGTGTCACCGTCGATGGTAATATCGAGACTTTTCCAGAAGACACCCCTCATTGCGAGGACGTCTCGCCATCTGCTACAGACAAAGGCAAGCTGTTGCGAAGTTGCAGTAGTGTACTCCGAATTTCGCGCTTCTTCCTCTTCACGGCTGCCGGAGCCATGTCGAGCTTGGATCGTCATCAAGTCCACCGCACTGACTTGAAGCTGACATCGACTAGCCCAGTAGAAGATCATGAGTAGAATCTCGGCTGGGAGAAGCATGATTGGCGGGATGGCTTCTTGGATGCCCGCGTCGCGCATCTGCAAATTCATGGTTCAGAACAGCTACTTCTATTATCAACGCGGGGCTCACGATAACCGGCTCAGAGGATCCCATGAAGTTGTTGTCCGAGTCGCTGTCAACGGTAGCGCTGGATGCTAGGGATTGGCAGTGCTGGTGAGCCGTGATGCAAGCGGGACGCATCGCCCTGGAGTGGCTGGGGGCCTGGCGCGGAGTCTCAATTCGACTTTCGCAGTCGCAAACCCCTGTCCCAAGCCAGAGCTTGACTTCATCGAGCTTCAGCTCCATCGATCATCGCGTTCAATGCTTTCATGACAGAAGCTCCGCCATCACAAAACTTGTAACGTAAATCTCGCCCGCCAACTACAATGACCAAACTGTGAAGGAACCTTAGAAATCGGAGTATCAAATGAATCAGTTTGCCGAGGTGGACTACGCGTGCTGGCGGTTGCCGAGCCTTTCGTGTAAATGTGGACCCACAAGCGCTGAGGATCAATTTGTCGCCATGCTCCACACATCCATCACGCCCCTCCGCTACAGCTGAGAGCATGGTCTCGGTTCCCGTCAGCGACTGGATTCTCACATCCTTGCTTCGTGAATACGACTCGGAGGAACACTCTCGACCATTCAAAGGACACTCAGGACGCATCACTTCCATTGAATACTCTCCCGACAATCGGTTTATTGCTACTGGCGGCTCCGATGGGACTGTACGGCTTTGGGACCCCCAGACTGGCGAGCAAGTTCGATTGCTTACGACTAACCATCCAGTTCTTTCTCTCACATTCTGTCGCTCTAACCGATGTCTATCTGCGATATGCGGAGTCCAGGATGTTGACAGAGCTCGTGTCTTTGTCTGGAATGTGGAAAAGCAGCCAGACGATGAAATCACACCAATAGAAACAGAGTACGAAAGCATGGGCATGGGCTTAGAGGCAGCGCATGCGGTCAGCTTCTCCTCAGACGGAGGGCTGCTTGCTATCCTCACACCCATTGAACTCGCGGTACAGGACACAGAATCGGGAAAACTGGTCGCGCGAGTTCTCGTTTCTAGCAAGATGGATGACCTCGTCTCTTTTGTGGCCTTCTCTTCAGACGACCAGCACGTTGTATATGCATATCATGGCGAAAACTCTACTCTGGAGATGCGTTCTTTCGGTCTGGATTCAAAGCAAGAGACGGGCGTGTTGTCCCGGGTACCCGCTTCTGAACCGCTCTGCTGTTTTCCTACAGGCAACATACTCGCAGGACGTGCACTGGCCGGGGGCATACAGATATGGAGTTTAGTCACGGGGGAGGCTACACAGGGCCCGCTTCGAGGCCACGTTGACCAGACCTCAAGCATGTGCTTTTCTCCCGACGGGAGCTGGTTAATTGACAGCTCAAAGGCGAGAACGATCTGCGTGTGGGATACGTCTAGTGGTACGCTGGTTGCAGGGCCCCTGAGGCACGACAGACTGCAAGGAGCTATTCGCGCAGTCGCGTGTTCGCCGTCGAAGGATCGCGTTGCGTGCGTAGAGGGCGAAAACGATGTGGTTATCTGGGACATCCAAGATAACGAGGTGGTTTTGTCCTCAGTATGCCCGTTCCCTCCTCTATGCGAGCTTCAACTCAATAAACTGGATATTTCTAGTGGCAGAATCCAGCTGACGAGAGGCGACTCGTGCTTCATCGCTCGAATCACGTCCCAATCAACGCCATACAGTGGCTTCCGAACGGCCGTCAGTTCATCAGTAGCGCTCCGTCTGACGATTACATCCGCACATGGGACGCTCAAACCGGCAAGCAAGTAGGTGAACTTCTGTTCCATGGGGGCTCTATAATCTCGCTGTCTGGCGACGGCAGGCTCCTGGCCATCGGCTCTACGCGAGAACTCGGCACTATTGTCCTTGTTGATGCCAAGACTGGGCGAGAGCATGCTCCCCCTCTCATGGGCGTTGATAGTCAAACCCGCCGACTACAGTTCGCGCCGGATTCTTCTACACTGGCCGTTGTACTTCAACAAAGTGGCGGTCTACATCTAGTGCGCGACGTTTTGGACAGCCGCAAGATTATCCTTGTACCCAACAGCGGGGCAGTTCTCGATATTGACTTTTCTCCAGATGGAAAGCATCTAGCGTACGTGAACGAGCGCTCTCGGAGTGTCCGAGTTTGTGATACCCACACACTGGAGGTCGTCTTCGAGCGGGAAGTCCAAATGAGCGGTAATGCTCTGGTATCTTTCTCGCCTGACGGTCGCCACCTTCTCGGTACCGGCGGCACCAACGATGTCAACGTTTGGGATGTGACCACAAGTAGGGAAATACTCAACGTGCATAAGGAAAAGACCAGCGTTCTCGCAGCAGCATCTTCTCCTGACGGGCGCACGTTCATCGTCTCTTGGGTCAACGTTGGGCCGAGCGTGCCTACCGCTGAGACGGGGATGTTTGACGCAACCAGCGGAGAGTCTGTGTGGAGAATGCTAGATACGGAGAACGTGACCGCCATTGCATTCTCCCCGGCGGGAGAAAGGATCGCGATCAGCTTCAGGGATGGACCGATCAAGGTGGTGGAGGCTTCTACCGGCGACGTAATTTTGTCAGGGGGAGTAGAGAATCCATTATTCGACCAAGATGAGGTACGTGAAGTCGCATGTGCTGCATGGTATTTGGGCTGATATTTCTTCGTCGACTATGTTCACTTGCCTTGCATTTGCCTGTTGAAAAGGACGTACACCCAGAAGGCAGGGGTGCTCACCTTTCCGACGTCGATATGGAGTCGATATTAAACGCAAGTCCTTTCCAACTGTCTTCTAGCGTCGAAATTGAGCAGCTTGCAGATGCCTGCGATGCTTAGGGCCCCTGCGCGAGGCGTACGCACCGAACCCCAAAGGCAAAAATCACGAACTCTAGCCATGGGAGGCCAACAGCGGGATCCAGGAGAGCAGGCTTCTCGAGGGCTAGCGTCCCGCCTTGTTTCCCGCATCCGCCTTACTTTTGCGTCTGGTCGCGATGGCAGAGAAAGTCACCACCCTCTGAGTGTGTTCAGTCTTGTAAAGGTTGCCAAGGATAAAAAGGTAAGACACCGCTTAAGTCTCTCGTGCACGTTTTCTGAACGCCGACTCCATCATGTAGCGTGTGCTTGCAGGTGGTGACCAACGCGACGGACAGCGAAGGCGTGATCAGGACTTAGACGAGGATGGTTCTTCCAGTAGCCCATCTCCCCCCGGAACTAACCGCGCAGGCTCGCCTCGCGCAGCCGTAGCTGGATCAGGTGAAACCAAGAGCGACACGTCAAGTGGCAATTGGTTCGTAGATTACGTGTGCTATTGTGTGTGTTTTTCGTGTTGCCGAGGAGAAGGCTTCACATCATAATTTCCCAAGAAATATTTTCGTCGGTCGTATCGTTCACCGTTGGATTTGGATCTTCCCGTTTGTTGAAACGAGCTCTGATGAGTCTGTGTCTCTTGCTGAGCTGACGTACGGGAGTAAAGGAACAAAAAGGGATTGCATAGCCACATGTGGCACAGACCTGTGTTTGCCAAGTGTTTGCACCCTCGGCCTCTGGCCTCGGAAGCATTGGCGCATCTTACCTCCTCGCTACGACCATCCTCGAGCATCCAGGTCTGTTCATAAAGGAGAGCAGTGAGCACGCATGCCTCACTAACTTCTACCAGCTATGGCGTAGTGGTGATGCGGCCCTTCCAAGAGAAGCGGTAATGAAGAAGTGTCTTGTAGTGCAATTGTTTTGTATCGCCCCGCGTGCTGTCCTGACGTGTTCAAGGGGAAGCGGTGCAATGACAATTGGCCCTGGTATGGAGGGTGTGCTTTTCTGTCCCTCTCTTGGGTGTTCTGCTGTCAATGGCTCCTCGATCCTTACAGATTGTATTTGCCTGTAGTGACGCTCACTGTGATTTGCGCATGTTCCATTGCACTTGTGACCCTGAGATCTTACACTGTAAACCCGGACATACCTGAATATCATGAGCACAAATCGTGTGCAAAATCTACGATTATCATTCATTATGTATATGGTATCATTGGGATTCTGTCATGACAATCAGGTCCTTGCCCGAAAATGAATCATGTACATTTTTGTACGATTCCATTGTCCGAATCACCTTACATGTACCTGATTTTTTTTGGCAGAAAGGCAAGAACACAGCATAATGATTAGTTTTCATTGAAAACAAGGCAGTTATCACACATCGGGAACATGCAAAATCAGGACAAATGCAATTCTATTAATGAGCTACATAATAATATAAATAGCTACTGGATCTCCGCCACTGCACCCGATCGGACAATCTTGGCCGCTTTCCTCGGCGGCGCCGGGGTGCCCTCATCGTCATTGTCGGAAGAATCAGTATAAAAAAGATCACGATGCTTACAGACACGTTTATTCTTGGGCGCGGAACCGACACCATCAACACTTCGTCCCAGAGATCGTTGGAGTGGGCTGGGTGATTGGTCGTGTAAGTGCCAGCAAATACGTTAATGTCCTTAAATGACGTACCACATATCTCAGTGTCGAGCGACAACAAATCCCTATCGCAACTTCTACAACACCGGCACCACAACCATCAGCTTCCGGTCTGTCTCCTCAAGCTGTTCAATGTGCACAGGAGCACCGTGTCGGCATCATTGCACCCGCTCGCGTTCGCAAAGTCGACATAGATCTCGAAGGCCCTTCTTCGAAGTAGCACCGGCGCGCCGCGCATCATCCGAAACATCGTTGTTGATGTTCGCGTGGCCGTGGCTGCGACCGAGCGTGCGGTTTTCCTTGCTGCATCCGCTGGCAGTGCTAGTGCCAGCGTCTATGCCGATGGCGAGCTTGGACTTGGATGCACGCTTCGGTACGAGCTTCTTCCGTGCACCGCCTTCCTTCGGTGCGAGGACGGAAATAGCGGGCGGTGGGGGCAGTTCAGCCCATGGCGAGGCCTCAGGCAGCGCTCGTGTTCTGAGAAGTGTTGGCGGTGGTGAAGGAGGTGCTGGGTTCCGAGGACGTGGCAGCTACGAGGCGGATGTGGGAACAGCAGGGTTAAGGGGTGGGGTGTTGTGCAAGAAAGGGGGGGCAAGTGGCGGCAACGGGGACTCGGAGATGGGGAGCCCAAGCTGCGCTCCGAGTGGCTGCAGGGAGGGGAGGAGCAGGCGCACCGTCCGGATGGGCCGCCCACGCGCTGGAAGAGAAAATAGCATAGGTGCGCGAATGAGAAGGTAAAAGGATTTACTGACATGTTACCACACATCCCAACACTGATACACTGGTGAGGGAGACGTCGGCCTGAGGAAGAACGCACGAGCAGAGCATGAGCGTAGAGGCGGCAGGGTGTGTGGATTCAGAGGGATGAAGGGACCAAAATGAGATGACTTGAGCTTGCGCTTGGAGCGCAAGATGGCGAAGGGACGGCAGCTAGGGCAATGAGGGTGCAGCTGGGGTGAAGAGAGCATAGCTGAGGGGACGGGATAAGCGTTGGTCGAGGCGTGAGGCGTGAGGGTTGCTGTGGTCGACACAGTGTAGGATGGACGTTGAGACCATGGCGCGCGTTGAGAATGTTGAACGTTGAGAGCCGCTCGCTGCGGAGTTACAAACTTCTGCCCGAATATAGCAAGTGTTCACACGCGTCGACACAAGTCTCACCGGATCATAGCTTAGGAGGGGAAGCTCTACTAGTCTTGCTACTAGTGTTAATGAACACTGAAATTCATAGTGTAATACAATTGCAATGGTTTCAGCTGAAATATTTATATTTGTCTATAATCAGCATGGGTGGGTGATAATGATTTTGTGGTTTCAGGTAGCTGTACATGATTTTGTATACCAGGTACATGTACATGACTCCAGAACCATGTCAAGAGCACATGATTAAACAAAATCAGACGCCGTGTACCTTGTGCATACATGAGAATCAGGTACATATGTTTTTGCAGTGCTTGGACCTTGCCTCGAACAATAGTCAATTGTCTCGCCTCACTCTGTTGTTGTTATCCACATGCGCTTAGTTACACGCCAATCATGCTTATATCGGGATTAGACACTTGAAGTCTCGGGGGCGATGTACCAGTGATTGTACAGCCTCTTGTCATTGGCTGTCTACAGCAAAGCGCTAAACTTAGGAACAAAGCTCTCGGTGCCGCCCTTCTCCAACCCTTGACGACCCTGTATGGATGAATCCCCATGACCCTGTCCGTCAGATTGACAACCTGAGTGGCCCCGTAGGTGACGAGTGGCAATCACATTTCTTTGGTCGCATTGACCTACAGGTATGGAGGCCTGAAATTATAAAAGCGCTGCATACGGTCCAGGTCCTCTACTCCTCTCTGACCCCGTTCAGTTCATCACCGTCCCCCAAGAAATAGGTCTGCTCTGACAACGATCCGACATTTATAGCCCACAGTATGGGAAGCTCCTCATCTAAATCCTCTCGTCAAGAACTCGACCAGGGAGCTTATTCTTCGCGTTCGGACGCCCCTCCGCCTGCCTACTCGAAGGAGGCTCCAATATCAGATTCGGCTCTACTCTCCGCGTTCTCTGACGCCTCTCACTCGGGAAAGGGTGGGAAACAGGGTGCACGGGAGAACGTTTTTGCTGCGCTTCGTCGGTACGACACCGTACTTATCATCGATGATTCTGGGTCCATGCAGGGAAAGCGATGGTCACAGGTACGTGAACATCTCCTGCCCACTTTTGAAGCGTATACACGTTAATAATGCGGATTATCAGGCTCGCGAAGCGATCGCAGAGCTGGCTGCTATCGCGTCCGAATATGACGCGAATGGTATCGACATCCACTTCCTCAACAGCGATCACCAGGGTAAAGGGCTCAAAGTAGGTTTGATTTGTGTTGATTCGAGTAAACGGAATCCTAATATATGGCTGGGTAAGAGCGCAAAAAAAGTCAGAGACGTCTTCAACAAGGTCTCTCCAAAATATTCTACGCCACTTGGACCCGTCGTCCGTGAAGTGCTAGCGGCTTACAAGGATCAACTTGTTGATGGTAAGAAAAGAAAGAAGACCATCAAACCGGTGAATTACCTCGTCATCACCGACGGCAGGCCAGGTAAGTCCTCTACTATTTCCGCCGAAAGTTTACGTGCTCATGGCATTACTTGGGATCGTAGACGACGAGCAAGACCTTGAGGACGCGATTGTCAAGTTTGCGCACTGGCTAGACAGGGAAGAATATCCTCCCACTCAAGTACGTCACGGCTCCCGCTAAGCATACATTATACTGAAAAAGTCGCCGGGTCCAGGTCGGAATCCAGTTTGTGCAAGTAGGAAACGATTCGGAAGCATCTGAGTACCTCCAAAAACTAGATAACAATCTGTCGCCAAAGAAAGGGATCAGAGTGAGGCTCCATAACTTTACGTTGATTCGTATCTGACTTCGCTTCGTCAGGATATTGTTGACACCGAACGGTACAACGGCGACGTGACTGCCGCGAAGCTCATTAAGCTCATGATTGGCGGCATCAATCGACGTGTAGATATCAAGGGTGGGGAGGTCATGATGCAGCATTAGGCTACGCATAACATGGTGATGAAACAAGTCAGCTATCCTGTGAGAATATTGTATAATACCCAGTCTAATCACGACCCAACTTCGAAGCATATCATAGTTAGCACTGTTAAGTCGACATAGGAAGTCATACAAGAGACCGTCAAGCCGGCCTCGGACGTGTAGGAGTGAATTGATGAAACATTCGTACACGAGGCTCAGATCAGACAAGCTATGGAGCCAGTTTAACCCAAGAAGCTGATTCAAAGAACCCAAATTCCAGGGGGTACCCTGAGTAAGAAATCACAGAAGTCACATTCCATGGAACCTGCAATCGCAGTGCTCCTAAGATTCCAACGACTGAAGCGGCACCTTCGCGGCGATCTCAGCGCCGATGTCAATGTGAAGGAGAGAATGGAATGTCAAGGAACTTCGCGATATAAAAACCCGTGGGTCGGAGACGACAGGGCGTTCCACCTTCCGTCACTTCTACCCACTTGCGCCTGCAAAAAACCCCTCCCGCTCTTTCAGCAACACATCTCTACCAACCCTCACTGTCTCTTTTCACTTCCCCGCATTCTAATCATACATAATCCACGTTAATCTCGTTTATCTCTACCATGCGTCTCTCCGCCCTATCCGCTCTTCTCCCTTGCGTCCTCTCGGGCCTCCTCGCCCACGTCGCCGCCGCACCCGTTTCACCCCCGCGTGTGCCCGGATCGGCCAACGACGACATTGCTAGCATCGCCATGAGAGACACTGGCGCGGACTCGGACTCGGACGCGGCTGCGCTCGACAAGCGCTACTTCGTCTTCTACGGCGGCGACCCGCACCACCACCGCGAGGGCGAGCACGGCACGCAGGGAGAGGACGACCGCCGCGCGCACAATCAGCTCGTCGAGAAGCGCTTGCTCCGCTTCTCTGCTTCGAGGCATCGCCCGAGGCCGGCCAAGCGTCAGTGGGACGGGTCCGACGATATGTGGAAGAACTTGGACTGGTCTGGCGCCTCCGGCTCGGTCTCTTCTGGTTCTGGCCTGTCTGGTTCGTCCGGAGCGCCCGATGCACACAAGGTTCAGGACATGAACGGCGCTCAGGGGCAGGAGAAGGAGAAGCGCTACATTTCTGCCTCAGGGCTTCGCCATGCTATGACTTTTGGCGGTTCCAAAGCGGGCCACCGTGGGAAGGGAAAGCGTCAGTGGGACGGCTACGACGATATGTGGAACAAGCTGGACTGGTCAGGCGCGTCTGCCTCTGCTGCCTCTGCTGGTTCTCCCGGCTCCGGCCCCTCCGCCGCGCCTGCATCGCCCAAGGCTCAAGACTCCGACCACAGCTCTGAGGCGAAGTCCGCCGACGCGTCCAAGGACGACTCTTCCTCTAACGACGACAAGAAGGACGCCGCGCAGATGAAGGAGAAGCGCCAGTGGGAGGGCTTCGACGACAACTGGAAGAACGTGGACTGGTCTGGCCAGGGTGCTAAGTCTGGCGCTGCCTCTGGGTCCGGTAAGGACGTCCAGGTCGCCAAGGCGCCCAAGGTCGACTCCAAGATCGACAGCGAGGACAACTCCAAGGCCAACGGCGCCGAGTCGAACGGCCAGTCGCCCAAGGACGGTTCCAACGACGATGCTGCCCTAGGTGAGCTCTTCCGCTCTTTACTTTACTCATGTACGCCGCAACTGACTGTACATTCGTCGTAGAATCTGGCAAGTACGAGTCCACTTGAGTTTGACTCGGGCTCAGGTAGAGTGGCTCTGGTGGGTACTTCAGTGCGTCGGGCTTGGCGCTCGTCTTCGTTGTCCGTGACTTCTTATCTTTCGTAATCTTTCGTACTCGGGCTCCTGTCCTATACATGTAGTGACGAGGAATAATGTGTGTTGACTTTACCTTGGTGTGGTCAGTAGTGAGCATATGCGTGTGCCGAACCTGCTCTAAGGGCACTGTCCCCCGAGACAGAGGTAGAGTCGGGATCTCCGGTGCGCACCCTGGTGTCATGCACGTATGTATGAGAGTCTGAGCGTTGAATGTTGTTGGCGCACACGTTTCGTTATGGGAGCTCCGAAGAGAAAGTGGTTGATTGATTCGTCATAACACGACATGCAAGAGCGATAACAAGAAGCCGACAGACAACATGATACAAGTTTTGACGTACGAGTACGTTTTACCTGCTTGATCGTTAAATCCCAAATACGTTCGACGAAGCAACACATCTGCTCACATATACGTCTGCGCCGAAGACAGGATTACGTCGTGAGCGTCGCAACCTCTGTGCGCGTCCCGAGCCCTCGCCACTGCGTGACTGCGCCAGGCTTCTGCGACTGGTCGGGCGGAAGCTCGGTGAGCACCTTGGCAATGAATGTCGGATCGCGGAGCGGCGTGCGGTCCGACTTGTCTGGGAGACGCTGAAGGGCAAAGAAGGAGATCAGTTCTCCTCCGCTGAGTGGACGGTTTGACAGGGAATGACGTACGCGGAAGATAGCATCGTACGGCGCCTCCCAGCCGCCGATCTGGCGAACGACGACGTTGGGGGGAGGGGAGGTGTCGAGGGGCTGGGCGGCGTCGGATGTGAGAGAGACGTAGAGGCGGGTGTCGTGGATGCGGCAGAGGACGTTGTCGACGCGGAGGGCGAAGCGGGAGAGAAGGAAGATGCATGTGGGCATGACGCGCTGTGTTGCAATATCGGTGTCAGAAGTTGAGCGATAGAATACACAGGGAGGGAGGGAGGGAGGGAGGGATGGGTGGGTGGAAAGGGCGTACCACGCGCACGACGAGCAGGGACGACCCGTTATCGTGCAGCTCGTCCTCGAACAGCGGCACCTCGGCGTAGTACAGAATCGGATCGGGCCGCGTGAGCTCCGCGAGCGGGATCTCGTGCTGCGCGGTGCCCGGCTGCGCGGGCGCCCATGCGACGGGACGGCCGTTGGACCATGCGGTGGACGTGGCTTTGTCGGGGAAGTCGCCGACGGCGGCGGCGTTCGGGGGCGGGTGCACGGGGGCCTCGCGCGCGGGGTCGGGGACGTGTCCGGTGTAGGTGGTGGTGTAGGTCCAGTCGTGCGGGTTGGAGGGGGTGGAGAGGGTCATGGGCTGTTGGGTTGTTGGGTCTGTTCTGTCCTGGGGGGCGGGGTGGTTAGTTATCGGGGGTGCCGGTGAGAGAGGGGAGAGAGGGAGGGGGTGGGTTACGCACCGGGTCTTTAGCCATGCGTCTGAGTAGCCGACTTTGACGCCGCCGTCTTCGTCGTTTAGGGTGCCGACTTTGACACCCTCGAGTGCGCTCTTGGCGTCGAAGGAGAGTGCGAAGCCGGATGGGGCGTGTACGATCTGGAGTGTGTTGTTCGGGAAAGTCATCTCGGGGAGGGGGAGACGCAGGTGACGCTCGAGTGCGGTGCGTTCCTCGTCGGTCGCGATGGGCTGGGTGCGGGCAGAGATGCGCCAGTCGGCGATGGCGATGCTGCGTGTGTAGGGCGACTCGGAGAGCTGGTGGTGCGGGATGGAGATCGCGCTGGACATGGTTGGGGGGGTGTAGTGCGTTGGAGTGGTGGTTGTATGCGACTGATGATAATACGATTGCTTATACGAGGAGGCTGAGATCTAACAAAAAGATGGTTCGAGCCTCAAGGTTATCGGCAGTGACTTGGGCGTACTGATGGATCTCTTTGTTGCTGTGGCTGGGAGACGCGCAAGAGAAACGCGTGGCGGAGATCCAATCTCCCGTCCTTAACATGATCACTACAAACTTGCAACAAACCTCGACTATCATAACCTTCTAGCACAACATACCAACGCGCGATGGAGCTGCCCTCGCGTCCCTCCTCCCCTGATGCACCGCCAGCTGACCTTTGGTCGTCTATCCTCGACTCGGTCTCCTCGACGCGCTCCATACCCTCCAAGCAGATCGTCCTCCTCGGCCGTCCCCAGTCGGGCAAGAGCACACTCGCATCCGCCCTCCTCCGCAAGCCGCTCTCCGAAGACGAAGAGCGCGAGGACGCACGCGTCGATTTCGCACTGGGCTACGACTGGGCAGACGTAAGAGACGACGCAGACGAAGGTGAGCTTTCGTGACGGCTGTATACCATGCGCTCGTGCTGACCCAGCTCTCTTTCTCCGATACGGCACGCAGACACCCTCGCCCGCCTCTCGGTGTACACCGTCCCGTCCGGCGCGCCCGCGTACTCCGCGCTGCTCCCGCACTTTCTGCCGCCGCGCGCGTCGCTCCCGCATACGCTTGTTATGATTGTGCTCGACTGGACGAAGCCGTGGACGTTTATAGATGATCTCGAGCTCTGGCTCCGCTGGGTCGAGGCCTGGGCACGCGGCGATGGCGGTGCTGCACCGGCGGGACCAGCCGCAGGTGCGGGTGCTGTGGCAGGTGCAGCTACAGCAGCGGCGGGGAAGCCAGCGGACGGAGCGAGGGAGCTGGAGATTGCGAGGGAGGAGAACCGCGAACGGCGTGCGTACACGTTCCACATGCTCTTCTCACTATCAAAACCATGCTAAACGATGACACACGACGAGACAGTACAGCACCACCTGCAGCACTATACCGAGCCCTCGGCGGACGCACTCCCCGCGTCGACGCTCACGTCGGGCACGGTTCTCCCGCTCGGCGCGGGCACGCTGACGCACAACGCCGCGGGCGTGCCGGTCGTCGTCGTGTGCACCAAGGCGGACCTGATCGACGAGGAGAGCGACGGGACCGGCGGTGTCACGGGCGGGATGGGCGGGATGGTCAAGGGCAAGGGCGGCGAGTGGGAGGAGCGCACGGATAGCGTTATGCAGGTGCTCAGGACGATCTGTCTAAAGTGTGCGTTCTCTTCACAACGCGACGAATGCGTGTGTACATGGCGTGTGCTAAACTGATATGCGGCGCGCATAGACGGTGCCTCGCTGTTCTACACGACCCCGCAGCCGTCGACACTCCAGAGCCTGCGGCAACACGCCCTGCATCTCCTCTTCATGCCCGCGGCATCCGCACCCGCGATGGCAGGCGAAGCGCCAGCGCCGACGCGCAATCCGTTCCCGTTCGAGCAGAAGCCGAACACGCTGGACCGGGACCAGATCGTCGTGCCCGCGGGGTGGGACTCGTGGGGCAAGATCGGCGTGCTGCGCGAGGGCTTCGAGGCGCGCGTGTGGGGGGACGCGTGGGAGGCGGATCTGGAGGGCCCGGCGCCTGTGGATGGGGAGGATGAGCAGCAGCAGAATCAGCAAGGAGGGGGAGGGGGGCAGGGGGCGAGGAGGATGTATAGGTTGTTGGTGCCTGATCAGGGTGCGAAGGTGAGGTTTTGCTTTTGCTTTTGTGTAGCGTTGTCATTCGTGCTGATCAAATTCTGTGCCCGCTGCAGCCTGCAGCGCTCCCGCCATTCAACAACCCCACGCCCGAACAGGCGTTCCTCGCGCGGCACTACGACGACAACGCCAAGAAGCCAGACCGCGACCCGCGCGGTGCGTTCCTGCGCAACCCCACTACATCTGCCGCCGAAGCCGCTGTCAACGGTGCCGCAGGCGGCACAGGCGCAGGCGCGGGAGCAGGGATCGTCGGCCCGCTGGGCAACTCCTCGTTCTCGCTCCCGAACGTCGAGCGCGCGCTCAGCGAGATGGAGGCGGGCGTGGGTGGGCTCGGCGCGAGCGGTGGACCGGGTGCAGCGGGTCCCGTGGCGAACGGGGCGGGCGCGGGGTCTGCCGGGGCCGCGGGCGCGTCGGTGGTCCTGGGTGCGAGTGGGGGTTCTGGTGCGGGGATGGGTGTGGGACCGGATAGGCGGTCGTCGGGATCGCGCGGTGCGGGTGTCGGTCGGCCGGGAGGGCTGGGACAGAGTGTTGGGCCGGGCGCCAGTCCAGGGCCGGGTGCAGGTGGGCAGGCGGGGCGGTCGACGTCGCCTGCGCTGGGTGGAGGACCGGGAGGCGGGGGTGGGGGACCAGGGCAGACGCAGCATGAGGTGCTGCAGAATTTCTTCCAGAGCTTGTTGAGCTCGCGCGAGCGGGCTGCGGGTGTTGCGGGTGCGGGTGCTGGGGGTGTGACGGCGAGGAGTCCGCCGCCGCGGGGGGCGAATGGGACGCCGGAGGACTCGGGCAGGGACAGGAGCGGGAGCGGGAGCGGGAACGGCGGAGGTGGGGTTGAGGCTGCCCCGAGTTCGGGCGGGAGTGCTGCAGATGAGAGCGAGACGTCGTCTTGAGCTGAGATTTTATCTGTCCGTGGATATGTTTTTGGATGTACTTGTTGTACGCTCGTGCGTAATTTGTTATGTTTTCTTCTATGATAAAAGATTTTACACATCGTGACCTGTTTCTGCGAGTGTTTGGTTTTCCCTCGTGGCCATAGATGATTTCTCATAGTGTGTGCGTTCAGCCACCGAGCCGACGCGTGGGGAAGTGGCTGTGCCTGTGGCGGGAGCAAACAATGAGCAATAGAAGGCAAACAAGAGTTGACAGGCATCCCACGTTTTTGTGAGGGCGCAGTGTCATTAATTGTCGTCCGTTGTCTTCGGTCCTCGTTGTCGTCGTCGTGACTGTCCTCGGACTGCATCGACATCACCTGACCACTTCGACCTCCATCTCCATCTCGACTTTACCCGGTCTCTCCTATATCCCCTCTTTCTCTTCTCCTTCCTCCTCGTCGCCTTTCCTCCTCGCTTCCCTCCTCCCCACCGTTCGCATAGACTCTGGCAGACATGGGACAGTGGTGCGTCCACTCAACCCCTTTTTTCATTTCGCTCCCACTGACAGTTGCTTGCTTTGTTGGTCCCTCGCCTCCTCTCGCTCTGCCCTGCCCTGTCTACGCACCCACACCCGCCCACCACACCAACACTAACGCCAACTTCAATGCCAACGCTTACACCAACCCTCACTACCAATTCCTCTCTTGGCATCTTGGAACGACAGGACGGCAGAGTACCATGACACCGTCCTAGGCTCCAAGATGCGCAGCCTCGTGTACGTCCTTGCCGTTATCCCCCGCCCCACCCTCACCCCCTGTCATTCACCTCATCGCCATAGACCGCTGTGGGCTCACGATATGATGTGCTGACACGGTCTTGCTTCTGACAGCTCGGGCGCTATAAAGCGGGGCAGGCTTGAGAAGACCAATCCCTCGATATCCTACGAGGCCTTTGTCCGGGACCTCGACAAAGGCGACTCGTTCACTACCTCGTTGATTGAGATCCTCGTCAAGGTCCGTTTTCGCTATCCTCTTGCTTTGCGCTAGGCACTTATTAAGGCCATTTACGGTCCTTTGCATAATTGGTATCTCCACCACCTCCGCTTGCATCTCTCTTCCCACATTCATTCCCGCATTCTTGTCCATCTCGTATCTCAATTTCCTTCCCCGCGTTCGTCTATCTGCCCATCTAATCCGCCAATCTCCCTCTCTCGTGCCTCACCACGTCACGACGTCACAACCGACGAACCCCACCACACTCACATCCACAATCTCACAAACAGGAATACGCCGAACGCCTCTCCCGCCCATCCAGCATCGAGCGCGGCCTCGTCTCATACACCACCCAACGTGCCCTCCGCCGCCTCTCGACCGTCGCAGCCGTATACCACGACGCGCCCCCGTCGCGCGTCCCCGCCGCTGCCGCCGCGCTCCATGCCGCGCGCAGAGCGGGCCACGCAGCGCGCGCGGTGAACGCCGTGCTCGATCCGACGGAGTACCTCAGCGCGCCGCCGAGCGAGCTCGAGCTCGAGGACGAGGGGAGCAGCGGGTCTGCGCCGGGTGCGGGGATTGGCGCAGGAATGCGGATAGGGTCGGGCTTGAGAGCGGTGGGCATGGGGTCGGGGCTGGGCGGTATGGTGCCGGGCTTGTCGCGCGCGCGTGCGCCGGGTCCGGGTCCGGGTCCGGGCGCGGGAGAGGACGAGGAAGACGAGGAGCTGCTCGCGCATGTGCATCCGCTTGCGCCGTGGGCGGACGATGTGAACGCTGCTGCGGCGCTTGCGATGGGCGATCTGCCGGAGACGTTTGGATCGTACGATGCGCTCTCGCTTGGCCCTCGTGCTGCTGATGGGACTGGCGCGGAGGGCGCAGCGATTCCGACGTCGTCTCTCAGCGGCGCTGGGTGGCCGCATGCTCCTCTCACCGCATCAACGTCTACTAGCTCGTCGTCGTCGCCGTCTATACCCGGGACATCAGGAGGGTGGAACCGGATGATCGGCGGACGGCGCCTACCGCCTGCGATATCCGCATTCGACCGCGAGCGTGGTCGCGAGCTGCCCGAGCCGCTGCCGCCGCTGCCGCCGCTCGTCTACCCGTCGGCGCGCGGGTCGTCATCCTCCTCTGCGAGCAGACGCACTCCTTCGGGTCTCGCAGGCAACGGACGAGACCTCCCGTCCGCGAGCAGCATCCTGCACTCGTCGCTCTCGAGACAGCGCCATCCGTATCCGGCCGCGGTGAGGCGCGCGTCGCACCATGTCCACCCTTCATCTTCTTCGCAGCGCAGTGGGTATGGGTATGGGGGTGCTGGTTCAACCTCAGACTCAGGGACAGGCGCAGGGACAGGCGCTGGGGCAGGGACAGAGACAGGCGCAGGTGCGAACAGAGTCGACGATTTCTCCGAGTTCACATCCCGCCGGCGCACAGCGACGCGCGTCCTCCCGCCCTACCCGCACCCGCCCCACCACCCGCACACACACGCCGCCCCGCCCCGCAGGCCGAGCCGCTCCGGTGCAGACCCATCAACATCGACAGCTCCAGGCGCCGCTGCCGATGCGGATGCGGATGCGGATGCGGGTCCATCAGCCTCGGCAATGGCGCCGGACAACCTCGACGCAGACGGCGACCCCATTCTCCCCTCTGCCGAAGCCGAAGTCACCGACGCCGCAGACGCCACTGAGCCCATCGAGATCCCCGCGCACTGGGCCGCCCTGCACGGTCTCCGCGGCGGCCCGTCCGCGCGCCGGTTCTTCCCCCGGACGACGGGATCCCCGTCCATCGCGGCTCCCAGGCCCGCCCTCGTAGGAGCACCACCATCCATACCCACCCCGCCCGCATCGGGCTCCGACGCCGACACAGACGACACATCCGTCGCCGGCACTAGCGCTGAGCCAGGCACAGGCGTCCGAACAGGCGGCACAGCAGACGAATACTTCTTCCCCGCGCCTACACCCTCGGAGACTGCTATCGTCGAGGCGGAGGCCGACGATGACACACCACCCCAGCTGCAGGCGCCCCGTCTCCGCAGAGGCGGCCTCCGCTCACCAGAGAGCATGCGCCTGCTCGCTGCCGCATCTGCCGCCGCCGCCGCGGACGCAGACGCAGTCGCAAGAGCGTCACGCTCGGTGTCGTTCTCGCCCGAGCCGGCACCCTAAAATAAAACCGCATGCATAGCATGTACCCGCCCTCGCATGGCGCCCATTCTGCATCATCCCCCTATGCCGCTCGTTTTGCCATAGCGTTGTCGTGATTAGACACGACCGCCGGTATCTCGTTCGCTTGCTCGCTCGCTTGTTTCTCTTTTCGTGTTATAACCCATAATCATTCATATCACATACGTACATACATGCATCCACCCATCGCCCCGGTCGTATCTTCTGTACGATGCTAATATAGCACGTGGTTTCTTCTTCGTTGTTTGTTTGCTTTTGTGAACGCTTAACTATTTATGCATTGCTTAATTCACTCCTTCGAGGGTCACACAATGAAGAGTGAATACGTGCTTCGCGATTGCGTCAAGTCTGTCCGATCGTGAACCATACAGTCGACACCAGTACAAATACACGCATCGGCCGTCCAAAAGTAAAGGCTATTTATGCAGAGATCTTGGTGTTGCCGTCCGCAGGGGCGGGAGCAGGAGCAGGAGCAGCAACCGGTGCAGGACTACTGGTAATCGCCCCATAGTCTGCGTTCTTGATGAACCCTTGGTGCAAGGAAGGGGGAGCGGACTCGGGACCCATACTGATCTCCGAAGTGGCCTCGCGCTTCATATACTTCTCACCCCAGAAACCGGGCTCAGAGCCTTGGCGAGAGCCACGGAAGACGTCGTGCGCCGACGGTTCCTGCTCCCGTCCAGGCGACTTCACGTGCCCGTTACCCTTGCGCGAGGACTCGTGCCCGGAGTGGCCGTGTCCATGCTTAGGGTGCCGCGAGTCAGCGACGCGGTGGTGCGTGCTCTTCATCCGCTTCTCAGAGATCTCTTGCGTGCCGTGCTCTTCTTCTTGCGTGTATGGCGCGCGGGCGATGATGCTGCCAATGAGGCTACGAGCGCGATGGACTGCGCGAGCGGTGATGTTCGAGATACTGATAGATCCGGCGCGTGCGTGGATGTCAGTGAGATTGACCCCTGCGAGGCGGCTTTCTGCGAAAGGTGGTGGCTAGTTAGCGCCGGGTCTGGCTTCGAGTGGGGCGAGAAAGTAAACGTACGGAGCTTCCCGATGGGAGCCGGAAGGTTCGCGCTCACGAGCCTCCGAGCTATGTGGGCATTGGAACAGGAGGGATGCAGTCAGCTACCAGTGCCGAGGTCAGAAAAAAAGAGAAACGAACAGATCTGGGGCGTATCGACGTTCATCGGGAGACCTCCGAGAGACCCAAGGCTCGCATCCGACACGGCATCGTTTGGAGTAATGGTACCAACGGGTGCTACGGAAGTACTGCTCTGAGTTGAAGAGGTGGTGCTGCTCTGAGACGTGGTAGTGCTCTGAGAAAAAGGAGGGCGGTAGCGATGGGGGCGGTGGTGGCGGTGGTGGCGGTGGCGATCGAACCGGTCCCTATCGTAGCGCGCTAATAGCAAACGTGAGCGTCGATACAAGATAAACGCCCAGAAGAAAAGAGGACGTACCGTGCAAGACGCCACCAGTCGACGTCAGCTTCGAGAGGTCAGCACCACGCTCAGAGAGGGGCACGCCAATAGGCGATGCGACACCAGTAAGGGCGTTAGAGAACACGAGGGCGACAGCGGCTGCTGCGAACGAAAGACGCATGGTGACCGAGCGTGAAGACGTGTGAATAAAAAGAATGTGTTTGGTAGGGATAGTAATGTGGTGTGGGGCGCTGGCAAAAAGCGAGCTGGGTGAATGGAGGAAAGAAGAAGAAAATAGCCGGAGGCAAGCAGTTATATACCTCCTCTGCGTGTGCGATGCTTCTTGATTTGAACAGCCGTGTCGGGAAGGCATTCCGCCTGATTGAGGTAGAAAAAGAAGGCGAGCCTGATTCTTGGAATTTCTGCATGCCAAAGAAGCCAGCAAGGAAAGTCCTCGCATTTGTGAGCCAAGTTTTACCGAGGAGGAGTGCTCTGGCTGAGCTGCAGATTCAGGGTGTCCAAGCCAAGATCGATCGCAAAGGAATACAGCCCCAAATTCCCGCCATGAAATGCCCGTCCTGTCAGCAGGTAGAGAGTGCCAAGCTACGACGCGATCAGAATTAATGTGCCGTCGGCTGCCGAGGTATGTTGCGATGACTGTTCCAGTAGCGTCGACTGTGAGTTCAAAGAGTTTGAAAAGGGCAGAAGCAAGACCAGATGAGAACACCCGGGAAATGGGAAAGGCGGCATATGCCGCCGTGGCGGCGCGGCGGCGCGGCGGCAGTGGCGGTGCACATACCTTCAACTGGACCGGATCTACGCGGATCCTTTACTCCCTTGACGAGCCACCGTACGGACGGCTCGCCGCCGTAGAAGTGGCATATGACGAAGAAATACAGACTACGAACATAATCCGTGCGCCGAACCTTGGTGTTGAGAGCGGCGTTCAAGAGCATTTCCGGTGGCATGGTACAGAGTTACAAGCCTTTGAGACGGAGCCGTATTAAGGGAGGATATTGTACTCACACAATCTTCCAGAGGGCGGGTCTGAACGCACAAAGCATATGAAGCATTGTCTGTTCGACTTTGCACAAGTAGTAGCTTCCGCATACTTAGGTACTTTATCAGACTACCCCACTCAGGGAGCCCATGTGAGAGCTGCATGAAAGAGGATGGAAACTGTGGACCTCTTGAAAGGCACGCGAGGTTGCAATCGTAAATGGATGAACGATGTCTGGGGAGGATATCGTACATTTATGTAGACGAAGGATCTGAGCGAAACGAGGATGGCTTGCGAGATGAACAGCGTATGGTTTGTCTTTTGGATTTCGCATAGCACCTTGGATACCAGGCTATCGTCTGCAGCTGGACGTACCGATACTATGATTATCCATGCCCACGTACTACGATGCTCGTGCTATGTCTCGCTGCCTCATTGTCAACGCGTGCAGCCATTGCTGCTCTATCACTCTCAACTGGACCCTGTCGCTGAATTTAAACAGTTCCATGCAGCTCAGTGCATGACGCAGCATTGATACAAAGTACAAAAGTACAAGAGAGCTGATGCGGTCAACATAGCTACACTACACTCCGAGAGATAGAAGTTAAATATCGTGGTATCGTCGTCAGCCCGAGTCGCTGGAGTATCAATCTAATTCATGTTCACTGGAGTCCGAATCGGCACTTTCAATAGAGTCCGAATCATTCTTATTCGAGTTTGGATATGTCGAAACTTATAGTGTAGGGATACAACGTTGGCGGACTCAAACACGCTCAGTCTTTGCTCTAGCACGCATAAGCGTGGCGGCGAGGCGACGCGCGGCGGTCACATCGTGGGATTTTTAGTTTATACACCGCCACTGACGCCGCGCCGCCCAGCCTGCCGCCGCGACTTGCCGCCTTTCCCAGATCTCGGACTTTCTGGACCAGATTCAGCTCGTGAGACAGCGGGCGCCGGGTGCAGAATGCCGCGTGTGCACAGCCACCAACACCACCCTTCACTTCCTTTCCCCGCCATGATCAAACGTCGAAACAGACCCCACCCACGCGTCCGCGAACCAGAGTCCGAGTCCGAGCCAGAGAAGGAGAAACGCATCGGCTCAGGCTCGGAAGAAGAGGACAAATCGCTACCGTGCGTGTCTGCGCTGCCATCGCCTCGGACGCGAACGGCTGCTCACATTCTACAGCCTTGCAGAACTCCTCGAGCTCCGGCGGCTCCGGAAGCAGAGACAGGGCATTGACGCGAGTAATCTATTCAAGGGCGATGGTAAGAAGAAGAAGAAGCGAGTGGCAGAGGAGGAAGGGGAAGAGGATAAGGGCGGGCTCAAACTCGGTGTGAGGCAGGAGGAGGACGCCGGAGATGAGTGCGTGCCATGTCACTTTGTCTTATTTCCTGCATGATAATGACCGTAACTCGTGCGTTAGCGAAGAAGACGCAGCCGCTCAGGCTAGACGTGCCGTTCGAACGAGCAACTTCACGCAGCAGACCAACACGCTTGATGTCGACAAGCACATGTGCGTCCGTCTCATTCCTCTCTCTTATAGTATCCGGGATAACCTACCATTCTTTCACGCTACAGGATGGAATACATAGAAGAGAACATCAAGAAAATGCGTAATGCCCCCGACTTGTCCGAGGACATACCAGCCGACGCCTCCGAGAGCGAGCACAAGTCCGACAAGTGGAACATCGAGAAGAAGCTCGCAGAGGAAGGCAGCGTTACGAACAGCATGGCCATGCTGACAGCTATACCAGAGGTGGACCTCGGCATGGAGTGAGTACTCGTGTATCCGATCCACGAGGGCAGCGCTGATCCAAGCCATAGCGCTCGGCTAAAGAACATTGAGGAGACCGAGAAGGCGAAGCGTATCCACGCAGAGGAACGTAAAGAGAAGAAGAGGGTGTACAACGACGAGGAACACCTCGCCGCGAATCGATGTACGTGCCGTCCTCCCTTTGCCCCCATTGCATCTGCGGCACCATCTGATCGCGTAACCCCTACAGTCTTTCGTCCTAACCTCAGGCAAAAGACGGACGCCGAGATCATGCGCGACGCACAGCGCGAGGCAATGGGTCTCCCTCCCATCCAGGAGCGCCAGCGGAATTACGAAAGGCCGCAGATGTCCACGGACGAAGCGGTACGTGCAGCTCCGAGTCTCTCCTTGTTATATTCCCTGACCCTGACCGATTGCTAGGTCATGGAGCGCTTCAAGAAACGTATGCGCAAATAGCTCTCACCAAATACCCCTCAGAGAAGCATGTGCGTTCACCAAGGGGAGGCAACGGCAGTGTTTTGTTGTAGACTGCATCAGTAAAACCGACAAATACTTGTGGACCTTGCGGGTCTTTTCGTGCCCTGCCGGCCTGTCGCAAGGTAACAATTTTGACAAGGCAAAACAAGTTATACAAGGTGGAGGTACTAGTACAGTATATAATACATAGGCTACTCGTCTCCTTGTAAAAACTCGTGCGAATGATGATCAACATAACGATTAACGTAGAATGCACGAAATGCGTCTAAAGACTGGTGAAATTCAAGGTCTTCGGGAATGGGTGCACGACCGTAAGTACCAATCAGATGAGCAGCGCGCGAAATAGAATCCAATGAAATAACAGCGAGATTAGCCCGACCGTTCAGGAATTCGGGCCGGACAACCCATAGGCCTGTATCCTCATCTGGTCTGTCACCTGCCGGGACCATCCACTGGATGAGGGCGCAGCGGTACGTAGTGGTGTCGTACTTAAACGAGAAGAACAGAAAGACACGACCTACCATCATACCCCGCATTCCTGACTCGTCGGCGTTGGTGTCAATGAAAACCGTGTCGCGCCGATCATATTCTCCACGCCAGTTGGGATGGCTTCTTATACGTTCACGTCGCATTCCGCCGATGCCGGAGAAGTCGCTCGGAGACCAAAACCGAGCGACGGCTGAGTGGAATATGTCGACTCGGCCGCTAAATGTAGGGCACCTATGAAGGGGTGGGGGTTCGTCGTCAGAGCAGTTGGGGTTCAACTGGTCGTACAGAAAGCGTTGGATGAGCTCGGGGAGTCGAGGATGGCCGACATGGTCGGTAACTTGGGCGAGGTAGCGTGGATAGCCGAATGCTGATAAACAAGTCAGCATTAATAGCGGAATAGAGTCCGAATAATGTGGCAGCTCACCTCGACGTCGAGCCAATTCAATTGAGGAGAGAACTTTTGGACCAGCGATGGGGCTCTCATCGTCATCATCGGGGTCTTCAGCCTGTGGGGGTGGAGCGGGAGGGGCGGGGACTCCACCACTGAGTATGAAATGTTCGTAGCTTGCCGTAGTTCCCTCCATCATCCCACGCTGGGCGAACACCTCACGAGCCGCTCGGAGCTTGTCGATTCGCAGGTTAATTGTCAACATCTGGCTTAATGCATGATACCGGCTGGACCGGCGCCACGGCTTCTTCACAGCCACAATATGCTTCGATTCTGTAATTGACGAACATAAACCATTCGGGGAGCCAAACAGGGTGATCGAGCGGATGTAATGTGAGAGAGCATGTTGGCGGGGTAGTGAGATCGTGTCCATGCGAACGCCGGTTTCGATGAAAACTTGGCGATAATGGTGGAAATCATCCAGGGAGGCTTGAAGCCTGGTCAGGTCATCAGCGGAAATGCTATTCCGGCGGGCTGTGTAACAGAACTCGAGAAATGCGCGAAGACATTTGACCATGTCGGATGGGACGTAGCCGGCGATTGCAGGTAGGTATACCTGACAAAATATTAGATACATTAAAGCCGCCATTGTGGCAATGTAGCGTACCTTCATGAGCGCTTTGCTGTCATCCCCGGTCCATTGGTGGAAATCACGACCATCCGGGAAACGACGTAATCCAGGAAACGGAGGTACTGCACTAATTCTGAAGAGAGAAGGGTCAGTAGGGTCCAAAACATGAGTGAGCATGACGTCAAAGGCTCACCGGCGATCTATGTCATCAATAATGGCTTCACCCTCAACGCGTCCGTACTCCAATAAAATATACTGGTTTACCCACTCCACGACGTGGTCCTTAAATGTACCCTTGATCACCTGGTGAAGGAGGTCGGGCGCGAGCAGTTGATGAATGTCCGCGCGCGGAAAAGAATGCATGAATGGCTGGCATGAACATCAGAAAAGGCTATGCAACATAAAATTAACAAGACGCACGCGATAATCATCACGGATACCAAAGTCGGTCCAGAGTACTTTAGTCTCGAGTCTTGAACAATACGCATCCGTTTTCTCTCGACTCCTTCGAGTCGCATCTGGTGAGTCAAGGTCCGACGGCTTCGCATCGCATCTGACCAATGGAAATTAGCAATCACACGATAGACAATAGAATGATGGGATATACGCACTTGGGGCACCAGTTGGACACGACAGCGGATAGCCATACCTGTTCAGGGTAATCCGCTATGTATGGACCTAAACCGTAGATAGCCCGTCGGAAATGCCCATCTGGGCACTTGACAATGTCGGGTGTTATCATATGTGCAGCAAGCGGCGCAAATGTGATGCGGAGAGCTTCATGATAGAGCTGCCGGCAAAATCGCTTGAACTCGGGCTTCTCGCGCTGACGGCGCTTTGCTGAGTTTGACGTTAGTGAAATGGCCAAGGAATCAAAACAACAGTACTGAAAATGAAACGTACCACGGGGGATTGGCAGGAAAGCTACCGGTAGGACAGCACTGCCATGCCCACGGCGGGCTGTGTTTGTAAGGTTACCAGGGGACATATAGACGGGGTGATATTCTTGATGACCGCTCGCGACTGAAACGGTCGTCTTGTCGCTGCCAGCGACAATTGGGACAAACATGGATCCGTGGGTTTCGGGATCCTCTGCAATGGTATTCTAGAGAGGATGTTAAATGGCGTACATGAATTAGAGACAAAGGATTATACTTACTGCTTGCTGCCATGCCCATTCACCGGACATGAGGTTCGAGAACACTCGCTTCCCATGGTGGTTGAAGTGCCGGTAAGGCAGATAGCTGATCTGGTCCTTGAAATCTGAGGACCGGAGCTGCTCATGAACAACAGCACGTGCGTCTCGAACGCATAGTTCATACGCTTGCGTCATCCATTTCGGGGGGGAATTGGCGGGAATGGGGCCTTGGTATCGGATCTTGTAGACGTGCCAAGGCACACCGCCGACTTGAACCTTATCGATCGTCCTGTACATATCTTTCTCATTCTGCCAGCGAGGTGTCGAGCCAAGCGGAGCGCAAATTGCAGACCAAAAGTCGAGCTGGGTCTGGATTTCGCTTGCTGAGCTCTCAGCTTTGACGTAGTGGTGGTATGCAAAGTCGAACTCCGTGCGAGACTGGAAAGGATGCCATGCCTCAGCCGTCTCAGCAGGAGCTGTAGGACCAGTGGGTGGTGCAGGTGCATCCTGATCAAGGTAGCCACCCATACTCGTCGTCTTCCGTCCTAAGTTCAAACAGTTGTTAGTGTTAACCTAAGAAAGGGATGACCCGCATGTACCTGTGAGTTGAGGGTGATACTGGAATGTTGCGCGTTCGGGCTCCGCACTGTCGTGTCCTGGAGGGAGCCCATCAGTGACACTCTGGTGGACGGTATTCGTGTGGTTTCTAAGACCTCGGGCCGTCCTGCATCTGCGAGGGCAATGAGGACAGGGAAAGGTGCAAGGAGTTCTAAGGGGTTGAGAAGTGCGAGGGGAGCCCTGAGGCGACGTGCGAGGGGATGTGTGAGGTGACATGCAAGGAGATGCCGGGTTAAAATTACAGGAAGTGTGTTGGTTGAGCGGGTGGCCACGTCAGCGTAAAGGTGCAAGGCGGACAAAGGGGAAAACAATTGAATCACTGAGCGGGTGAAACAGGAAGTAGTGTACGTACTCGCTTGCCAAGAGCCCATCCCGTCCAACTGTTTTTCGCTTCCCTCCTCTTCCGTCCTCCTCCGTAAACTTTTCACAATGGCCAAGTCCAGCATTTCTACTCCTCCTGCCCCTACTCGCTCGTCAGCTCGTCTACACGCTGGTGCAAGCGCCAAGGAGCCTATGTTGACTCCCGCTGCAATGGTGGCGGTGTCCACTTCTGAAGATAGTCAGGGCTTTCAGCAAGAGTCAGTGCATGTCTTATCCCACAGCAATAATGACGGCTAACCTTCTGTTCAGTGACCGGAAGCGTCCTCGGTCGGCCACCACCACATCCGAAAGCCATAACCTGAAGAGGAAAGCAGCCAAGGCGCGCAAGCGGTCAGGTACCAAAACCGCCGACCAGCTTGAACATACGGCTCAACCACGCACCTCAACAAAGCCTCTTCCCCCTCAACGCAGCCCCCAGCCCGACCGCAAGGGGAAGAACCGTGATCCAGCCAAGCCGGACAAGCCGCACCCAAAGCGAACATCTGCTCAAGTTCAAGCCGACAAGCAGCGAGAACAGGAGCTCTGGCACAAGTTCCGAGCTAGCCATGCTCGTGATCTCCAGCACTTGGCCGACCTGGAGGTGGATGACGCAGCCAGGCAGGTAAACGAGGATATGGGAATGATGCTTACCTTAGGTAATCCATCTGGCAATGACGTTAGTGAAGAGGATGACGAAGAGGAGGGTGAGGAGAGTGAGGAGAGTGAGGAGAGTGAGGAGAGCGAGGAGAGCGAAGAGGATGATGAAGAAGAGGATGGCGAGTTCGACAACAAAGCCGAGCCTGATTTGCCCGTGATAACAAAGGTAGGTCAAAAACTCTGGTAGAGAAGTTAGAGACTTACCGGCGATATATGTAGAAGCGCGGAAAACATGAGAGGGGCTCAACGAAGGCAGCAATCGTTGCCCTGAAGGCAGCAAAGGCGTCAAAGGGAAAGGTCAGCACCGCACGCGCTCCCACGGCGAACAGGTATGGCTATTTGTGACGCATACCCCGAAGAAGCACTCGAGTACTCACACTTATTGATAGGTCTCTGAAGCCGAACACATTCCCCACCGGTGTGAATGCGAAGTGGAAGGCTCGAGCGACCGCAACGCAGTCCACCCGCAAGTCCAAGAAGCCCTCTGTAGCCGCTGAGGTTGCAGAAGTTGGTGTTGGTGGTCTCACTGACGCCGACGCTGACGCACCTTGGTCTGAGCTTAGCACTGCCCGGAATCTATCGCGCAATGAGGTGAGTGGTTATTAGTTTGATCGCCTCGTATTATACAGAAATCTTACATACCTACAACAGCTGGTTTCTATCGTCGAAGACATAGATGACGAGGACGCTGGTGACAGTGACGGTCACACCGGGAACGCGAGTGATGCATCTCGGGAGCTCAACGCATCTACTGACAAAGGACGATCGCGAGTATACACTAGAAGTCTATAAGAGCGCGAACTCACCGGGCAGTTAGAGTTGAAGGTTGAGTTAGTAGCTTGGTAGCTGGTAGGCTGACGATGGTAGTCGTTCGGTGGAGAGAGAAGACTTAGATGATATTCATGGTAGCGACTGTATATATATGACAGGAGCGTGTGAAGTCACTACCGTATTCGTAACTACTGTGCAGTCCAAGTCCCACGGTAATGTGGAACGGCTACGTAAGCAGAACGTGGCCCTATGCGATGAACGCGGAGCCACACGAGTGCGTGAGCGCTTAAGGTACCGCTGGGATACTAAGCGCCTGAATAGACGTATGAAGGCGATGTTTACTTGTAGACCTCTAGGAGGAACATCGCCGTATAGGAGGCTTCTGGATGAACCAATAAA